ACATTTCAAAATTTTTAGAAATTTTTTGTTGAAGAAATTTCAATTAAACAATTAAAAAAAAAAGTTGTCACATGTAAAAAACTTGAAAAACTACAAGTGCAATTTTTTAGAAATATTTTTTTAGTTGTAATTTAATTTAAAAAAAAAAATCAATCATTTTTAGACGTCTGCTAACTTCAGTGTCGAATTAATTAAAAAAAAAAATTCTTTAAAATAAAAACAGAAAATTCGTAAAAAATTTATCTCTAAAATTATAAATTCAATGAAAAATTTAAAAAAAATTTTAAAAGTATAACAAATGATCATATTTTCATAAAGTTAAGGTAAACTTGTGATCCTAAATAAAAAAAAAATAATTTTTCATTAAATTAAATCTTTCATTCTCTTTCACCAGATAAATTGAGGTATAAAAGAAGATTTTCTTCCAAACATGGAGCTTTCAATTACAAGAGATTATTGATTTCCTTTAATTCCTTTTATTATCTGCTTCCAATCTTATCTATTCTATCTTAATAGCAAAATAACGTTCCAAAAATAAATATATCACAGAACGACTGAAAAATAAAATTAATTATAATTACGTATTATCAAAACACATGTGTTGTTGATAAGTATAATCTGAAATTAAAACATTTGAATATATTAAACATTACAATCGTGATAGTGGATTTAATTCTAAAACCCCTTCATTTTGTTTGTCAACCCACCGACCACCTTTCTTTACCCCCATACACTATATAACGCGAGGATAAGTTGCGTTGGCCACGAGCCAACATGAGTCATCGACTCCGAGAAACCCTCGCAGTTCACATCAGTTTGATGTTGAACGTGGTGCCGACGAATACACAGCGTTTAGACGACTTGACTAGACCGGCTACTCACATCACAACTCACATATGTTTTTTCGTCGCTTCATTTCTCTCCCTTGCATTACATTATTAGTATAGTTTTTAGTCACTCGTATAGTCTTCTTGGCACAGAATTACCGAGTCGTTAATTCAACACACAAATCAAGTTCAACTATCACGCTTTTCAATGTGTCTGACGTTTTGAGAAAAAATAAACTTTGCGGGGGATAATTTACAAACCTTTTTCTTTTTAAATCATAGCTACGCTTTTTCAATTACTTTGTCTGAGTGAACACTTATAATCATCACCATGAATCGTTTTCATTCTTGTGGTAAGATTTTTTTTATTATAATTCGTTTTTTTTTTTTAATCATTATTATTATAATTATACTTTTGACATTCTCCTCCGAGGGATCGAACTTTCATTAGAGAGGATTTCTTTTATCCTTTAGAATTTTTTTTTTTTAATAATAATAATAATAGAGTTTTTTTTTTTTATTTTTACATAAATTTTATTATATATTTATAAGTTATTATTAACAAAATAAAATATAACATATGTATATAATTGTACGTACGTACGAAACATGCAACAAGACAGTAAACGATATTGATTTTTGACAGCTGCTGCATTTATTCACCAAAGACTTCGAGGGGTGCCAACCGAGACAAGGTTGGATGTCATCCTCCTCCACACGAACATTATTCTTTTCTGAATGGCTTTTATTTTTGAAATATCTATTTTACTATAACTATATACTTTAAAAAATTATTGTTTTTTTTAGATTCTTTTAAATCTCCATTTATCGCATAAAGCATTTTTTGCAAAATAATACTTAGTTATAAATTTAATTATTCGTTTTTACTTTGTTGATCATTTATTTTTAATTTAAGGAATTTTCTTTCAAAAAAAAATTAATGCTTAGAGCTTCAATGATTAATTAAAAATATAATTAAAAACTAAAATTAGATTAGTTATATTAAACTTTTTAATTATCAACTATAGCAACCTTGCAGTCACTATGTGACTGCCGTAACTTGTGAACTATAAATAAATAAAATTTTGGTTTATTAAATAATGACTTTTGTTAAATTGCACTGTACTTTCTTAACTATTGATATTTTTAAAGATATAAGCTCATCCCGATGTTACACTCATCAAGAGCTTTCATTTGAGTACCCACATGGATTTTGATATATTTTTCATATATACATATATATAAATATATGAAAAATTGATGTGGGTACTCAAATGAAAGGTCTTGATGAGTGTAACATCGGGATGAGCTTATATCTGCAAAAATGTCAATATTTCACAAGATACAAGGTGATTTCTTAATTATGTATCTAGAGATAGAGTATTTTTGAATGCAGCCTAAATACTTATAATAAATTGACTATCGGTGAGAATGATATGAAACCTTGAAAAGGAACAAATTCAAATCAAGACCTTTGTAATGACACTAAATTTCACTAAAAAAACCGATTTTATCATATGACTATCCTGGAGACAAAATTTTTCTTATTCTCTTAATAATATAGCTGAGTCAGTGTATAAAAATACCAACATTTTTGTCTTTTACTATTTTCAGGTACGGATGATGGAGGAACGGTTAGTAAAGGGTGAATACAGCCTGAGCACATCTGGAGTAGGTTCCCCAGCACACTCATTGGCATCTACCTCGGGTACACAGAATGATAAGATTGAAGAAGTTCATTGTGCTTGCATTTCTAAACTAGAAACACAAGTTGAAGAACAGGTAATATTATTATCGTATTATTTCACAAATGAAAATAATTCAATAGTAGAATTTTATATTTATGTATAATATTTTTTTTAACAGAGGCAATTACGACTTCAAGACGCAAAACAAGTTGAAGCAAAAGCTGCCCGAATAAAGGAGTGGGTTACTAATAAATTACGAGAGTTAGAACAACAAAATCAACATTTGCGTGAGCAAAACAACAAGTGTAATCAGCAACTTGAACTTTTACGAAACCATATAACCAACATTGGCCTAAGACCTCTGGTAAATTATAAATATCATATTTTCTTTTCAAGTTGAATGTCACTTCAAGACAAGTTTGAGAAAAAAGAAACTAAAATAACTTTTGATTTATAGGTGCCTGCTACAAGAGCTTCTTTATCTTTAGAAGTTGATCAATCTTTACGTAGACGTTCTGAAAGTTTAGAAACAACACCCCAAGTAATTTCTGAAAACGTTAATCAAACAACTACCGGGGACTTCCCACAAATTGGAATTCGCCATAGGCGACACCTGTCCGCTTGTGGAACTATTCATCAAGGAATTACATCTTCAAATATGGATTCAAGGTTGTTATTATTTTTTCCACTGAAAATTACAATAATTTCTTCCAATCCATTCTTTTTTTTATTTTAAAATCATGCAATAATTTTAATTTATGAAAATAAACAGCACAACTCTCCTTGGGAGGCCTCACGACGTGATAGTGGCTTCCGCGTTTTACAGGTACCCTGTAACGTCCTGGGACTTTCTGAGGGGGCCCCAAGTTCTATTTTTAAAAATTTTAAAATTTTTTACTAATATATTTTTATATAACACAGCCTTTACACTCTATTCAAGAATATTCTGTTTATAAACGACAAAACAAACATTGCACTTATGCGATTTTATTTTTTGAATTTATTTCAAAATTAATTAACTTTCAGTAATCAAGAAAACTATTGTCGATAAAAAAATAGTTTATTATTATTTAATTTTAGCCTATTATCTGAGGAGCTTGCGGCAGCTGTGGAAAATTTAGTGATGCTGCCGACTATTCCAGGCGTTTCAGAGACTAATCGTGACAGTGGTAATTCAGAAGCTATACATGATTACGCCGAGATTTATACTCCTAGTCGTGAAGATATTAATTGGGCTAACCAATCTGGTAAAACGTCTGCTCCTCGACCACCGACTCCTCCTTTGCACAGATTTCCTAGTTGGGAGGCTAAAATATATCAGGTAATTACAACATAATCTTCTGTATCAATAGCTAAAAGGACCATCGTCTTAGTTCACATTAACCGGGATAAATATTAGACTTTTTTACACAAAATGTATACTATATGATTCCGCGTATTTTTAAGATGCTTCAAAAAATTTTAAATATAAATTTAAAAATGCTGCTGTATGAGGAACAGTGTGACTCAACGAAAATGTATGAATTTATATTTATATTTAAAATGGTGTGAAGCCGAAAAGTATGTACATAAGCACAATGTTTCACGTTTCTGATGGATTGTTAGAATCAAGAAGAGATTTAGAAGGGACAAAAAGCATATAAATAGAAGCTTCCACGAGATAATTTTCAAATACAAATGAATATATCGTAATGGATTAAAAAAATTTTATTTTCCTTAAATTAAACGCAAAAAATACTAAATACTCTTTGATTCAAAACATTCATGATTTAAAAAAAAATAAGTTTATTTCGGCCCTTGCTACCAAAGCATTGGACCGGGTTCGAGTCAAGCGTACACCAATTAATATTTTCAATATTTAAGTGTATTATTCTGCTCAGCCCAAGAAATACAAACGAGTTCCAATCTCAAAAGTTTACCCCCTACCGTAGTCGCTCATGACCTTAGCAGTTTATGCGACTTTAAACAGTTTACCCCCTACCGTAGTCGCTCATGACCTTAGCAGTTTATGCGACTTTAAACAAATAAAAAAAAAAAAAAAAAAAAGTTTATTTTAAAATTATTTTTTATTATATTTTTTTTATAATTTTTACAAACGAATTTTGGAAAAGTCCTCATCATTATTTATGATAATTTATTGAATAGGTTGCCGATGGCGGACTTGGTATTGGACCTTCGACAAATGAAGATACATCGGGTGTTCCTTCTTCTACATCCAACACCACTTCGTCAAAACATTCTCATACTGCGGGTCATAACTTAACCACCCATAATTCTCAAGGGTACTGTGATATATCTGTACCAGTTTACGCTACAGTTAAAGGTAAATTTTAATTTTAACCATCTTGATTAAGTATAATACATTCAAAAATTTATAGGTCGTGCAAGTCAAATAAGATCCATGCCATTTGGCGATAGCTCTGATGACAGTTCTGATGGTGAAGAACATGCAAATCCCACCGAGACCAATACAAGAATAACCAATAGTTCATCAGATAACACTGACTCGTCACTTGGTAGTGGCAGCAGTCCGTCGAAAAGTATTAAAACTACCAGTAGTCTCAGTCCAGCTAAACGAAGCTCAAGCGGTTCACCGAGTAAAAGCGTTAAAAGAGGTTAGTAAAAATTTCAATTCTATTCAAATATATCATCTTTAGGTATATAAAACGTATCTTAAATAATTTATGGATTTTATTTTTAGACATATCGTTAGAATCTGGTTTATCTGAGGATTATGCTATTCCTCCTGATGCTTTAAGTTCTACCTCAATTGAATCTAGTATGCCAAGTTTATTAATGCGTGTAGCTGGTGAAAGTCCAAAAAAATTAGAATCTTTGGAAAAAGCTGGTCATCTTGCTAAGCTTGGTGGCAAATTAAAAACGTGGAGGAAAAGATGGTTTGTCTTAAAAAATGGTACTCTAATGTATTGGAAGAGTCAAAATGATGTTAATAGGAAACCTCAAGGCCAAGTAATATTGGATGATGTGTGCAGGTACTAATTCATTTATTTATTTTAAAACAAAATTTTTTTTTACAGTTAAAATAGTGTAAGCGGTAAAAAATAATTAAACTAATTGATGTAAAATAAATTTAATTTACAGAATAAATAGAGCTGACGGTGCTGCAACTTTTGAAATATCAACAGGCAAGAAAACATATTATTTAACTGCGGATTGCATTGCAACCATGGAAGACTGGATAAGAGTTTTACAAAATGTTCAAAGGCGAAACGCAACAAAATTATTACTCAGTAGAGAAGACAATAAGCCTACAATTCAGGGATGGCTGACTAAAGTCAAAAATGGTCATGCTAAAAAATGTTGGTGTGTGCTGATTGGAAAAATGTTCCTTTATTTCAAATGTCCTAGTGATACGGTAATATAATATTGAAATAAAAGTAGTTTTATGTTCTATATTTCGTAAAAATATCATTATTCAATATTTTTTTTTTTTAATTAATTTCAATAGAATCCTATTGGCCAAATAAACATGCGAGATGCTCGTGTTGAAGAAGTAGAGCACGTTTCAGACAGTGATAGTGAAGAAAGAGACGCCGAGTGTCCGCATGAAAGAACAATTGGAATTTTTCCGACTCATCAAGGACCCACATATTTATTAATGCCTCACAAACAAGATAAAGATAATTGGCTTTATCATTTAACTGTGGTTTCTGGTGGTGGACCAAATGCTGGTACTCAGTATGAACAATTGGTTCAAAGATTAATGGAAACTGATGGTGATTCCAGTTGTGTTCTTTGGCGACATCCACTGTTACTACATACTAAAGAAAATATCACAAGTCCATTAACAAGTCTTACTTCGGAAGCCTTACAATCTGAAGCAATTAAATTATTTAAAGTACGAAAAAAGAAGAATTAATTTTATTTTAATCAATCATTTCGATTTATTCATTTTTAATAAATAATTATTGTGTAATTTTTCAGGCTTGTCAGCTATTTATGTCAGTGGCAGTAGAGCAAGCTGGAATAGACTATCATGTGGTACTCGCGCAAAATGCTCTACAACAGTGTTTAGATCAACCTGAACTTCAGACTGAATTTATATGTGCTTTAGTAAAACAGACGAGCCGTCATACACACCAGCGCTTGGGCGTACAGGTAAAAAAGGCCGCCAGACTTGTGTCGCTGAGTACTGCGCGTGTTGTAAGTCTTGCTTATTGTTTAACAAAAGATACCAATTCGTATACCATTTTTTTAACGATCAAAATTTTATTTTAATTTTTTTGTATTATTTATGACAAATATTTAAAAAAATTATTTTTGTTTCTTTCTTATTGTTATATGTTTTGTATGTATAAAGCTCAAAAAATGGTATAACGAAAAAGCTTGGTCAAGTATTATTTTACATAATTATAACAATAATAACCAATATCGACGTTCTAATTAGCAAATTGTCTAACTCCATTTTAGAGAGTCTTCCATTTGTACGAAAAAAACAATTAGTTCAATATTTATTATCACTTTTAAAAACCATTTAATATCATTAATATCTAATAAAGGTATAATATTTTGGTTTGAACCATTCAAATAATTTATAATTGGATTATTGCTACATTAAAATGTTAAAAAATCACCCTCTTAAAAATAAGGAGTTGGATAAATTGCTAATTAGACCGTCGATATGTGACTAACTCAACTACCTAACTTAACCATTTTGTGTTGTTTTATAACTAATTAATAATTTACTTCACTGAGTTTAGTAATAATTCACTCTGTACTATTTTAATATAGTTTGTTTGCAAATAGTGACGCACAATAATACTTGACTAAGAACTAATACAGAAAAATTTAAGTTTATAACATCCATTGTCATTTTCATTTGCCGCTTTGAATGCGCTATGTTGTGCGCTTTCTAATATGTAAGATGCATGAATGTATATTTCCAATAATTGTTTCATACCATTAATATGCACAAATTAATTAAGTACATTTGTTTTATCACGTATGTCTTACTTAATTCATTGTATCGAATTATTATCTTAATCATTATCCCTCACGTGAAATGAACGTAATTTGATCAGTTCTAATAGAATTATATTTAATTTATATAATAGTACTAAAATATAAAAATTTAATCATCAATAGTAAACTTGAGAGATAAAGAAGAAAAATTCTTAATATAGTTAAAAAAAAAATTTTTTTCAAAATGCGTTTATTTACACATACACTTGCAAAATGGTATGTTGGTGTACATCAGAACCCAAACACACAAAACAACATTATTAGAATCAACTTTTTGCCTCTAATCAGTTGATTTCGCAATTAGATTGATATTCTTCTTTTTTTGTCGTATGCCGCTTAATCAATTAAGTAATAGTTCATTATTACAGCAAAATATAATAGCCGGATTTAATTAAGCTAGAATTTTTTATATTTTACACTGAGTGAATTACAACGACTGAGATAAACAAATGAGTGAACCTTTGTTCCCCGCTTTTAATTATCATTATTAAAAGTGATAATGCGTTGTGTTTTTTTTTTTCCAAATTGCCAATTCAAAAACATTTTTTTTGTTATTAACTTCATCGCTTTAAATTCACATTATTTTATTCATTAATTAATATACTTGTAATTAACAAATCGCGTTTTTTTTATCTTGCACTTTCATTATGGTTTACTAAATAGTAGGTTTAGATATTAAAAAAAAAAAAAAATTCAATTATTTTTTCATTAACTGATACACTTTTTTATACATTTTTTTCTTAAAAAAAATTTTTACCACTTAGTCAAATTTTCTTATCGCTTTTTTATCTTTTATTATTCATCGCCATTTTTTAAACTATAAAAAATATTTATAAAATAAACATAAAAATAAAAAATAGATTAATGTTAAAGATGAGGCTTAATATATTTTAAATTGATTAAGGGTAACATGTCAAATTAATAGAAAAAAATAATAAAAAAAAAAAAAAATTCGACAAAAAGGGTCTTAGAATATGTTATAAGTGTGGGTCGAAATGGACGGATGATAGTAGTATGCCAGCATACCATTACAGCAACTCCTTCTGTGCGCCACGCAATCGCTCTTCACTTGCGATACGCAAAGCCCCGCGGCAAACGGCGGCGGTGAAAATGCGGATGCGCAGTCGACGGCTTCAACTTCTCACAGTCCTCCGCTCACGCAGGGTCATTCAACATCAAACATTTTGGACTGCAAAACAAATCCTGCTCAGTACGTGCTGGTTCAAGGATGGCAATTACTCGCGCTTGCTGTTTCACTCTTCTTACCAAGGAACAATCGTCTACTCTGGTATTTAAAGCTTCACCTGCAAAGAAATGCGGATTCTAAGTAAGTATTCTGTTTATTATTTTTATAGGAATAAATTGATAATTAAATATAATTATTTATTATTTTAAGAACGGAGTGCGGAAAATATGCAGCATACTGCGAACGTGCACTGGAAAGAACTCTTCAGAATGGAGGAAGAGAAGTTAAACCTTCTCGGATGGAAGTTTTATCGATCTTATTGAAAAATCCGTATCATCATTCTTTACCTCATGCTATTCCAGTTCACTTTCTCAATGGAACTTATCAAGTTGTGAGTTTCGACGGAAGTACGACGATTGAAGAATTTTTGCACACACTCAATCAAGAAATTGGTTGTCGGGATGCACATCAGTCTGGCTTTACATTATTCAGTGATGATCCTATTGAAAAAGATCTGGAACATTTCATTGATCTTCAAGCTAAGCTTTGCGATATCATTTCTAAATGGGAAACAGCACTACGAGAAAAGGGTTCTGGTAAATTTGAAAATACTCGAGTTATACAACTCACGTATAAGTCAAGGTGTTATTGGCGATCAGCTGCAAAAATGGAAACTGATCGAGAACGTTTATTGCTATGTTATCAAGTTAATCAACAAGTAGTACAAGGAAAGTTTCCATTAAATCGGGATTTGGCTTTTGAGCTTGCTTCACTTATGGCACAAGTTAGTTTTTTTTTTTTTATTACAGTAATGTTTTTATTCACAATTTTATGTGCCTTGATTTTGATTTAATTTTTAAAATTCTTTAGATTGATTTTGGAGAATATAATAATGATAAAATACGAGGAAGTGGACCTGCTAATAATCCAAGTCATTTGATACTACAAGCGTTGGATAAATTTTTCCCAATACGATATCGATCAAATATTTCAACAGATCAACTAAGGTTTGTATTGTATAATTAAATTAATAGCGCATTATTTGTGGTTTATAATATTATTTTTATTACAGAGAATTACAAGAAAAATTACAAGAAAAATGGGTAGGATTACGAGGCCGCAGTGTTATTGACTGTGTGAGAATTTACCTTACTTGCACTCGAAAATGGCCATTCTTTGGTGCAACTTTATACCAAGCAAAAGTAAGAAATTTTTTAATTAATAGATCATTAAAAAATTTTAATTTATTTTATGTATTTATTTATTTATTTTTTTTTTTTTTTTTTCAAGTAGATAATATCGTTTTATATCACTTATATTAAAGTTTCAAGTTTCAATGTCAGTTTAGTCAGTAGAAACAAGATAATTTCAGACTAATACAAATAATGACAAATAAACTCTGAAATCATCGTGTTACATCCCTTGTCAAACAAGATATTAATAAATATGTTATATCTAGTTGTTTATGATATCGACAATAATAACATTGTATAATTTTTTCAGCTCAAGCAAGCAGAACCTATTACTTTATGGATTGCAGTTTCAGAGGATAGCGTTACATTACTAGAATTACAATCAATGGCGGTTATGTATCGTTATAATTACGCTAACATAATAACATTTGGTGGATGCTTGGACGATTTTATGCTCGTTGCATGCCCTGATGAAGGTGTAGCAGAACAAAAATTAATATTTGTTCTCAGTAAACCGAAGGTATAATTTATTACAAGTTTATTTTATCTAGTATTATTTATTTTAATGAATAATCGATTAAAATAAAATTATTCTGATTGTTAGATTTTGGAAATAACTCTATTAATTGCTGATTATATGAATGCTCTGGGGCATACATTACCTGGTACTCCTCAAATGAATACGTTAACAAGAAATGGATCACACAGATCAATTAAATCTACGATGAGACATACTACTGGTAAATTTAATTAAGAATGATCTTAAATAATTATCATTTTCAATTGTTTTATTCATAAATTTTGATCAATAGGTTCAAGCTGTCTTCCGACTCAACCTGATATTCTAAAATCAACACCAGATCATCAAAGACCTTGAGATGTACACTGCGAAAAATATTTATACAAATTTAAGAAGTAAGGTAAAACTAAAAATAATTATATTAATAAGATGAAATCGTGTAAAGTTTACCACTTATACTCATAGGCATTAAAGTAAATAAATGAATACGATTGAATGCACTGCCTAAAAATAGTAATGATGGAAAAATAAAATAATTTTGATGACTAAATATAATGAAAGAACATGAATAGTAAAATTCTGAAATTAACTATAAAAAAATATATTTTATTGCTATGATTGCTTGTACATATGACGTATTTAATTGTAACGTAAGATTGTGATGTTTATCGTCAATGAAGAGAACAAAAGTAGAGTAATTGAATTGAAAAACAAAAAAAAATTAAATAAAACAAAACTGTTATGTAAATAGTAAGTCTTTGTCGTATTCAATGTGTAGAGTTTTGAGTTAATTATAAGGGAAGATGCGGGACATCGGAGATAACAAGGGCCGGTTTTCTTGCCATTATATCGAGTGTAAAATTTTCAAAAAAAAAAAAAAAAAAAAAGAAATTGATTGAAATATTATGAATTATTATTTACGTATTCTTTATATGTTTTTACATATACTAATTTTTTATTACATTGACGACCTAACAATAATCAGCAATGGAGCAAAAAAATATTGATTAAGTAAAATCACTATATTGTACAAAATTTAATCATGAACTGTCGAACAGAAGTTTGATGATGTACTAATGTAGTTTTAAAATTATCGACTGTTTAATTTTACAAGATAAAAAATAATTTCAATTCTAAATAAAATCTTTAATTATTATTGTAAATATTTTAATAATGATTTTTTAACAAAACAACAAAAATTGTCAGATTGAATTTTAATTAGTTGTTAAATTTTTTATTTTTGAAACAATTCAATTGTAAAAATAATGCTTGCAATCGAAATATTTAGATTAAGATACATATATTAATCTCGATGTTTAATAGATTTATACATAATTGATATTAATTAATTAGTTTTTCATTAGTGCGTATGTAAATTTACTTTGCAATAAATATTATACATTTTCTACATATATATTTATGTAATTCGAATCATAAAACTATGTCTAATTTTTTTGGTTCAAACCAAAAAATTCTTGTAATTATTCATAAATCTACGTTTGTTTTTTTTTTCAAAAATCTACGTTTTTTTTTTTTTTTTTTTTTTTTTACTGTATTTTAATTCAAGAAGTAATTGAATCTTTTTAAAAATCCTTATTTCAGAAAAATGCATTTTTAAGTATAGAATATTTAAAAGTTTTAGACTATTGTAATTTTTATTATTATAACGAAATTATAAAATATCAATTCCATAAAACATTAAATTAAGTACTTTTTTCTTAATTAACAGTAATTACTTCTTGTGCCATGAAGATATTTTTCATGAAAGTTTCAAATACGGAGATACATATTGTCACATTAAGTTTTAATATTACTATCATTGAGAAAAAAAAATTAAACCATTAAATTAATATAATCATTGTAGTTTTATACTTTGATATAAATGAACATGAACAAATGTAGGAATATTTATCTTTTATTAATTTTTTTTTTTTTCATATAAAATATTTAGTACGTTATTAGAAAATAATATTATCGATATTCTGGTAAAAGCTAGTCTTGCGTTTATTTTTAATTAATGAGTATTATAAAAAATTATACGTATTAAACCAACCAAACTTTTTTACAAACGATTGATATTAACTTACAAAAAATATACTCAAATATTGAAAAAATGTGTATGTAAAAGAAATATTGATGTGAATAAATTACGGACGTCTTCCCTTTTACGTATGATAGGAACCTTCACGTTAAAATGATGTGTACTGTAATATATTCAAGTATATACAAGTATATACGAAGATATATGTGTACCTAAATATATACGAGATACATGAAGTATATGAACCGCATATACACCGTTTTGCACACCAAGATATATTTCGTGTAAATATAACACATATATATTTCATGAATATGAAAAAATCGACTAAGTTTTTTTTTTTCTAAAAATTAGTCGATTTTTCGACTATAGAGAAACAAATTTGATGGGTAAGAAAAACCATTCCTAATAAGGCGATTAAGAAAATAGCTACATAACATACAAATAATAAAAATATGTATAATTGTTCAAGTAATTTTATAATTTAAAATAAATAATTATGTCATAGTGATTAGTACAAAATATAAAATATAAACACAATTTGTTGTCTAATTTTTTATAAATAAACATTATTGTACTTACGCTATTGGAAAATGAATAAATAAGAGTTTCTGATGAATCAATATGTGTTTTTGGGTAATGCGTTAGATTTATATAATTTTATCGGCCCGATGAAAAATTTAGTAATTATGTGAAATTAACACTTGTATGCAAAATTTTTTTTCATGATATTTCCCGAACGACTCAAAGAATTTTTAAGTGCTTTGCGGCAGTCGGCATCTTTTTTTGAGTCGAAGAGCTGATCGGATTTTGGAATTAATACGTACAATTGTTTGAAAAGTTTTGTTTGAAATTTTATTTTTGCTATTTATCAAAAGTTTATCGGATCGAATTACTTCACATTTTTTCAGATATCTAAATTTGGTGGAATCCTTTTATTTAAAATGCCACAAATCGCGTTTTGATTGATCGAGCCGTTCATAAGTTAGGAGAAGTTTTTACAAAACACACATATACACACGCGCGCGCTTAACTTTCTAAGTATCAGAAATGAAAAAATATAAAATTAAAAATTTTTCAACTACTCTAAACTCTTTTCCATAGAATTCCGGTTTGATTTGTGTTTGAAGAACACTAAGGAGTTAATTTTTTCCTTTCTGATTGTAAAAATATAATGGCTATTAAAAACTTAGATTAACAATCGCTTTTTTCATTTACAATTTTCAATAATATGTGTGTATGTATTTGGCATATATTTTACATTTGGAGTGAATTTAAACCAATTTAGTCTGATTGTTTTAGAAAAATTTGTAAAATAAAATATTCCAATTATTTTTTTTTTTCATAACTTTTAGAGTATTGTACCTTTACCTTAACACAATTATTAGATTTTAAAAATATTTTTATTCAGCAACTGCCAAAACTATTTGTACCGACCAGGTTTTCTGCGGTATTCAACGATCTCCATGCGAATGAAGTTATTTTGTTTTATAGCATTTTACGGGCAATTCAATCAATAATTTAAAAATAAAAAAACCGTAAAATTTTCTACAGTGATATTATGGAAAGATTCATCATTGTATGATGGGAAGGAAGTAAAATTAAACTTTTAAAAATTGCATTGTCACTCTCTTCTTGATTATTGATAATGTGATTCTTTATTTGGTATATTATTTACAAATATGAGTGACGATTTGTGATAATTTAAGAGTTATGCTTTTGTACAAATTGATCAATAAAATGTTTTATTCTATTAGAAAAAAAATTCTCATTACCGTTGCTGAATTTTTTAGGTCGACCGCTACAAACTTTATCCTTCATCAGGATATTATGAATTTGATGAATTAATGATGAAGATTTAAAAAAACTACACAATAGTTTCTACTTAAACATAAATTACATCCATTGTTGTCTCATCAAACCAATGTCATTCAACTTCTTCCGGACGTACCGGATGAGTTAGAGGTATTACTGATTGTTTTAATACATCCCTTGATAAAGCTTTTCTCATATCTGAATAAATAAATCATACGTATTATTTAAAATATAGAGATGATAATAATAATTATTATAAATCTATATTCATTACTAAATTTACATTATTAATAATTCTTCGACTTACCGTAAGCATTTTCGTCCGGATCTCCGTTGTAATATTCCAATACAGTTCGATAAACAATGTAACCTAATTGCTGATACATCTGTATTGCAACTTTATTACTAACTCGAACAAATAAATCCACGAAATAAGCTTGTTTTCTAGAACAGAAGAAAATTTTGATTTATTAGAATTAAAGCGAATCATAGTTCCGTAAAAAATGTATTTTAAAATATTACTTTTCAGACACTTCTTCCAAGTACTTCATCAATTTTGCAGCAAGACCCAATCTTCTATAATCTGGAGAGACAGTAAGAGCTGTTACATGTCCATGCCATGATTCTCCACTTCCTTCAGCTTTTCCCATAACTGAAAATTTTAGATTAATTTTTATTGTTAACATAGAGAATTTTTTTTTTAAATTGAAAAAAAAAATTACTTGAATTTTTTACTCTTATTTGTACGAAAAATTTTTTTTTAATTTACTCTGTAACCAATTAGAGTTTAACTTTAAGTAAAGCATATTTGCTTTACTCTGAAATTTTTTCCAAGTAAAAAAAATTGTAGATTTAAAATTTTTTAATTTCAATTAATATAAAATTATTCTTACTGTAACCCATTATTTCTCCACTGGGGGATTCAGCTACTTGGACATATTCTGGCCAATGAGCTAGATAGAGCATGTAAAACGATAACCCATACTATTACTAATTAAGGAATAATTTTTAATGAAGATTAATTTAGCAGATATTTGATAATTTTAAGAATTTTTTTAACAATTAATTGTGGCAAAAAAAAAGTAGAAAAAAAAAATTGACATGTAGAAATTTAAAAAAATAAAAAATGCAATTTTTTAAAAATAATTCTTTGGAAAAAATCTATCCCAGAATTTGTTAGAAAAAATTGAAAAATGGTTAAGTGACTGCTAACTTTAATGTCATAATAACTGAAACAATTTACTGACAATTATAACAAAATGCTAATTGTATTACTCCAAATTATATTTTTGTTTCAAATGAGTCAACAAAGTAAATGTGTAAAAAAAAAAAACTTAAAATTAAAGATTATACGTTGTTATGGCTGAAATATATACACAAATAGCACTGTTATATTATTTATTCAAATAAATAGATAAATAAAATGTTAATTTTTTTTTTTTTTTATTATAAGGATACAGTCTCCGTCAATGGATCAAGATTACTGAAACAGAAAAATATAAAATCATCATTTGACAATGAAGTGAGTTAATAATAAAAAAAAAAGCTTTTCAATAGTATGAAACTTGAAACAAAAAATAAGATTAAAATTTTTAGTAAAATATAAATTGAAAATATTTTTAAATTTAATGTTTAATGAAAATTAATTGTCAATACTTACACATTATTAAATTTAAATAAATCATCGCAAGTAAAAGGCCGTATAATCGACATATTTATGTTTATTAATATTGATAATTTACGTAAGTATAATTACTTTAACCTCTGTAATTTTATTTATCGTAGAAATTAGGTTAGACATGCAACAAAGCCAATTTAATTAATTAGTAAAAAATATAATACAACAATATGGGCTGCAGCAACTATACCTAAGTATTTAAATATATCTGATGTATGATATTGATGGTATATTTCGGCGCCTTCAGTCTAGTACTTTCTATATCCTACATTACCTATAGTCTATTTTGCTAACTCCGTTTTATTAAATTTGTTGTTTAAATTTATTGTTCCGCTGATTTCAGTTAATGACTTTGATTGGAGTGTTTACGCATAAATTTGCGTTTCACTGTGTATAAACAATTAATTTATTCATTTATTAAGAACAATTAACAAGTTATTTTTTATTTGGAATAAAACAGTGGGTGATAGTTCAGTGTATTGAATTATCAAAATATACTCTAAAACGTATTAAATAAAAAAAAAAAAAAAACAGTATAGTTGAAAATAAGCATTGCAAATTTAGCCAATCATGACAGGATTGCCTTCGGGTTAGGTTATAAATGATGAAATCCATTGGACAAAGGTTGCTTTTAATTCTTTAAACTCTAATAATTTATATGAGTATATAATAATATTACATATTATATATGATATAATAATTAGTGCGCGTCTTCAAGATAACAGAAGTCGATTGGAAAACGTCCAAAAAATATTCATTAGCAGATAACCTTTTTTTTTGTTCAATGTGAAAAAATTTTCATTCTGCTGAGGTGATTGATGTAACACTTTAATTTTTTATTCGCAGCAATCAGTATTTGAGGATCAAAGACTACAACCAGGACAAATATATAATCACAAAAGAACTCAGGATACAAATATAGTATTTTTCTACAATATACCAATTGATGATTTAATTTAATGAGCCGGTAATAGAGAAGTGAATCATTTTATTGATGACGATTGCTCCGTACACACCATTTACGTTTTTTATTCTATTACAGACATTAATATATTTATCGTCCCCGGCAAGTAAAACTTGATAAGACACTGCTCTATATTTGTATACATTTGTGTGTTGTACATAAGTTAAAATAACAAGTTTTATTCAATTAAAAAAAAAATATATATATACGTATACATATATCTATAATTGATATAATTTACGGCTACCAGTGTGCTTTGTATTATTCTTCGTGTAACATGTATATTATGTAATTTTAGTTTTAAGAAATGCTATGGTGGACATAAATTGTGCACGTGAGAGCTACTCGATATTGTATGACGGGTGGCATTTTTCTAAGATGACAGATTCATCATCTTCGCCTTCATCGGCTTTTATCAAGTAAGATTAACCCCTTGTGTTTATTATTCATATCCAAAATTAACATACGCTCTGTTATTTACTTTTAATTATGGTTATATTTAACCGGTCATTGCAGAAGATTTTCACAAAAATTCTGGATTTAATTTTTATTGAGCATTTAAAACATTTAACTATTAAATAATAATTCGTTTATTTTATTTACAGGAGATTTAAAAGTAACCATTTATGTTATTATTTGTTACTTAATCGTTATCCGAGTATGTTATAATACTTGTCATAAAGCATCCACTTTATTTTATCCTTGGTCAATGTTTTATTTACATTACATGGAACTTTTATTATTTTTCAAATCACGATTTTCTCAGACCGGTTATTGCATCATATTTTTATGATATACAAATTAGTAGTTTTAGTTATTCAGGTATTAAAAAAAATATTTGTCTGTTACTTAATAATATCTAGCATTCAATTGTTATCTATGTGTTTCACTATGTCTTAGATAGTAGTATTGATAATTATTAATTATTGTCTTAGCAAATGACATTTTTTTCAAGGTTTTGTTTTTCGGCGGGAAACAGAAGCTATTTTCATTTTTGTATTGAGAATAATCAGGGAAGAATCAAAACAATTGAAAATAAATACTGAAAATAAAAATTGACACTGTCTACCATCAGTATCACTCTTAATTCAATAATATAGGTCGTATCCAATTTATATCATCTTGAGGATATCTATCTCAATTCTTAACAATATAATTGCATAAGTGGATAGTGCAAAGGCTTCAAAGCTATATATTAAGCACAATCTTTCAAAGATAGATTGTTTATATATTTTATATTGCTAAAATTTATTCATATACATATTTAAAAATTTTATATAATAGGTCCAATAATTGTAAATAGAAATGTGTTTGTAAACAGATAAAACGAATTTAGTTTTTTTTTAAATCAGATTCTTATAATGTAATATTGAATATAATTATCATAAACATTAGTCACTGTTTGTGATGACTACGAGCGTTGGTCGTCGAAAATATTTCGACCAAATTATCAAGGTTAAGGTAGTACCCTCGCGACATATAGTGCGAGTAAATTTAGGTATAGTTTAGGATATTTTTGTCTTTCTCACTTGCTATTCCTTACTCACTTTTACTCATGGTTATTTTTGAATAATACAGTTATTTTTTAATAATATTTAAAAATATAGATGGTAAAAATCAATGAAAGTTTGAAAAAAACAAATAATAGCTGTTTTTTAATAGTAGTTTAGTTTTTTATGAAAATCTTAAAAAAAGTTTCTTAGTTATAATCAAATATACGTGTAAAATTTTCGGTATCCCGTATATCACAGTGCATAACCTCCTTTAAAAATTCGAACTTTGAAATTAAATATCTCTGAAACTAGATGGTCAAAAAATTTCAATTTGCGTCAATCGATGCAGAATTATATAAATATTAATCTGCCAAAATTTTAAAAAATTCCTAAGAAAACGCCTCTGGCGAGGGTACTACCTTAAATTTCCTAATATAAAATTGAGATGAAATGTATGTGGCATCAAACTATTCGTAACGTGATTGGTTGAATATATCATAAGCATGAAAATATATGCAAACTCTATAGTCAAAGCGCGCGCTTGCGCGCGTAAATTCAAATTCTAGTATAAATAAAAAAAAAAAAACGACGCCATTCGGCCATACCGAAATGGAAGGTAGATTTCATAGAATGAATTATCGTCTTGTATCAATAACTTTCGTTTGACATGGATAGGTTGTATTACACATTGCCTGAAAATGGTTCAATTGAACTCTTAACTTTGAGAAAATAACTAATAATGAACGAAAAGTTAGCGTTATATACGTCAAAATACATAAGTAGGTTGTATTACACATTGCCTGAAAATGTTCAACTGAAAATGGTTCAATTGAACTCTTAACTTTGAGAAAATAACTAATAATGAACGAAAAGTTAGCGTTATATACGTCAAATTAAAAGTGTTTTTATGAGTTTTCACGTAAATTTATTAAAAATCAGCTATCTATCTTTTTGCTATTAAAAGTTATACACAAATAAAGTCACCGAAAACGTAATTTCTCCTATTTTGATCATTTTGAAGAGCTACTATTTCTGAACTAATCGAAGGATTTCGCTCATTTTAAGGCTCATGCAAGCTAATTGTCAAAGGAATTTGTATATTAAATTTCATTGGGATCTGTTACGAATTCTCGACAGAATAACATTCATAAGTCGGCTGCACTACACATTGCCTGAAAATGGTTCAGTCGAACTCTTAACTTTGATAAAATAACTAAAAATGGTCAAAATGTCAATGTTATATATGTCAAATTAAAGGCAATTTCATGAGCTTTTACATGAATTAGCCATCAAAAATTAGCCATCTCTTTTCAATCAAAAGTTACACATTAATGAAGTCACCAAAAACGTGATTTTCACTATTTTGATAATTTTGAAGAGTTGCCATTTCTAAACTTATCGATGGATTTCGCTCATCTTCAAACTCATTCAAGGTTATTATCCAAAGAATATGTGTAACAAATTTCATCTAGATCCGTCAAAAACTGTAAACACAATCGCGGCAACATCCCGCGTTATATTACATATATAAATTTTTTAACTAACGTTATTTTTGAGCTTTACTCGACTAGTTAAGTGATATTACAATAAAATTCCGAGTAAATTCCGACATGAGGACCAATGCAAAAGATTGATTTCTATGAAATCTACCTAAAAATATTAATTGTATTAATCAATATCTATTATTAGTTTCTAATGTTCTGTTCCAATTTATTCAGAACTATATAATAATTGATATTAGACTTGTATTAAGGTACTATTATGTCAATCAATATTTGTAGAACATCAAAATAATTATGCGATATTTACGTCGAAAAATCAATTTTTTTAATATCGAGTTTTATCAAAAATGTTTTTATAATATTTATCATTGAGATAGTTATAAAAAATTCTAAATGAATTCAAGCTTGCCCTAAATTTCAATAAGAATTAATATATATTAAATAATTTATAATTTATTCATTAACGGAGATAATGTGATACATCGAAATAAGTATTAATAAACATTTAAAATTTTATGAATAACTGTAATTGACTCTCTTGAAAGGATTTAACATGTACATTGCATGTAATGTATACAGAGTTAAATCCGCATTAAAATCGATTTAGTTATTCCCTAGTTATAAATAAACACGCATAGTTATACAGCCGCTATGTTTTACATGTTATCTACACTTGACTTATGTATCTTGGTAGAAAAAAATAAAAAGCAATTTATTAATTAATTAACTATTGTTTAAAATATTATGCTTTGTAATTGTTATTTTTCTTTACTCGATAATTTTTTTTATCATCGTGATAAAAGTACAATAAAATCCAAATGATTAAATAACATAACTTTATTTATAATAACGATGTACTTGAATATTATTGAAAATAATTTAAGAAAAAAATATTTTATGATTTCAGTATTATCACCAATATTTTTACTGTTGTAAAAGCCGTACTTCGCATCGGATTTGTTATTCTTAATAATATTTATTGTATACCAACGTATGTAATATGGATGATGTTGTTATCCCCTGTAAAATTATTTCAACCCGGAATTTATTGGCGAATCGAGGGTCTTTTTTTCCACTGGTTACTAGCGATGGTATCCATGTGGTCTTGGTCAGCCGGTTATGACAGTAAGATTTTATATTATAAACAATAACTTTATATTTATACTTACTAAGATTATCATAACTGAACTATTTTTTTTTTTTTTTTTTCTAGTAATTGAACATGGCGATGATTTACAACCAATCATAAATGACAGAACACTAGTCATTGCAAATCATCAAAGTACTGGCGATGTTCCGATGTTGATGGCTGTTTTTAATTCCAAGCCAAATGTTTTACCAAATTTAATGTGGATAATGGATCGTATATTTAAATTTACAAATTTTGGAATTGTTTCATTATTGCATCGAGATTTCTTTATTTCTTCGGTAAATATAATCAATAATAACTATTTTTTATTATTTTTAACGTACATATGTAAATATTAGTTTTTTTAAACAATGGATTTTTTAACAGGGTCGTAAACGAAGAGAAGAAAGTCTTAAACAATTAGAGTTACATTTGGATAACTCATATATACCACTTGAAAGAAAGTGGATAGTACTTTTTCCGGAAGGTGGCTTTCTGTGTAAAAGACGAGAAACTTCCCAAAAATATGCAAAAAAAAATAATTTACCAATATTAGAAAATGTGACTCTACCAAGAGTGGGTGCTATGCGAACAATATTTGATAAACTTGGCCCCGTTTTAAACAACGATCCTTCTGAGAACCAGTTGAACGCTAGATCAAGTAAATTGTTACTTTTTCTTATTTATTTTATCTTAATTTATATCGTGAAGACAAACTTTGTCAAAAGCAATGCTCCTGCATATGCCAAATTTTTTATTATGTTTTTTTTTTTGTCATATCAGTAAATATTTACCAAGTGAGTAATGCAATAAATTACCCAATACAAGTTTTGTATTAACATGTATGATTCACTTATCGTCAAGTAAAGAAAAGTATTTGGTTTTATCATATCTTATTTTTATTTTTTTTTTTTTTTTTTAATTCTCAAAACTTGTATTTAACTTGAGAGCATTAAAATTATAATAAAATGAAACTCGTCATATTTTATAAAAGTTTTTATTTACGTTTTTTAATAACATTGATTTACAGATGTGGGTCTAAATAAACCGGAAATTCGTTGGGTTTTGGATATAACAGTTGCATATCCTCAGGGTAAACCGATCGATTTACCAACAATCATTACGGGGTCGAGGCCGCCCTGTGAAACCGTCCTTTTTTATCGATTATTTCCAAGTTCTGTAGTAAGTTTTAATCGAATTAAATTGATCATAAATTAAATTTACTATATTACATTACAGAAAATAATGCTGAATTTTTTTATATAGGTTCCAAAAGATCCCGATTTATTGTCTAAGTGGTTGTATGACAGATGGGCAGAAAAAGAAACATTGTTAGATAATTTTTACAAGTATGGATCATTTGTGGGTTCGTCTGATTCTTCTCGCGAAGGGTCGAAAATTCAACAAGATCCTCTTCGATATTTAGTGCTTCATCTATTTTTTATAACATCTAGCTATATTCACTATCACATGTTTTCTTATGTATTGTCGTGCATTTGGTGAAATTGATTTTATTTATTATACATCACCAGTCTACCATTTCACTAATCATTATGACTATCATCATCAAATTCCGTCAAAAATTATCACATTTTCGCACGATTGAAAAATCTCACTGCAGAAATATATTTATTGTTTAGGTATAAAAATTTTTCTCTATCAATTTACTGTTGCAAATTATAAAATTTTTAAACTATTCTGTTCAATAAAAGTACTAACTCTTGTTTCGTATAAAAACACTATTGACAGTGTGAAAAATTCGGTGAATAACTTAAAAATCATAAATAATTATTTTTTGAGTGAAAATTTTTTAAGTTATAATAATAATAATATTAATAATAATAACTATTTGATTAACGATTTATTTAAAAAATAATGTAAGATAAATTTTTTTCACTTTTTGTTTGTTTATTATTAAAAAATGACCGTAAAACGGTGCTTTATGGGTGTAAATCATTTAAATCATATTTTTAATTTTGTTTCTTTTTAGGGTTATTAATTTGTGATAAACTAAAAGGAAAGAACAAAGATAGATGAAAGAGAATAAGGAAATATTTTTTAAGCACATAATTTATCGCAAGAACATAGAATTTTATACGTCCGAATATCCATGTTTCTGGGGTGTAAATTTTATATAATATTAAAATATATACGTATGTATGCATGTATATAAACTAATATTTATCGAAATTAATAATTTAAAAATAATCTGAATCTCGTTACGGGATAAAAGTATAAATCTATAGTAATTTTTTCTTATTGGATATTTTGTTAATTTTTTCAATTTTATATTAAATATTTCAATTTCATAATGAATTGCTCCACAAAGAAGATACCTTTGTAGTTTTTTGCTAAATAAAAAAGAAGTCATTTAAAGTTTAATAAATAATAATTTTATATCAATGGTCAACATCAAATGATAGTTTTTAAATTATTTAATGTAAAGAATTTAGTTACGCAAAATTCCAATTTCTAAGTTTTATTCGATATCTGCTATGATCCAATGAAATTTGAAATCAAAGCTTCCATAATATTGAAAAATTAATCACCATACTTCAAGGCGCCTTAATATGCATTTTTTAAATCAGTATTTTTGATTTTGTTTCATAAAAAACGAAAAGTCTAAATATTTAGAACCATGAATAGTTTATTAACAATTAAAAGTATAACATCTTGAGTATATAACTGTATGGATTATATCTATTTCCATATCAAAGTCGTACTTTGATGAGCAATTTTTGAAATTCTTCAGTTTTCAATGCTATTAACATTCTTAACTTGGCCGTCCATTTTTATACAATTTTTAAAGGGTTTAATCTTTCTTTTACGAAAATTGGATATTAATAAATCATTGATTTTAATTCAAAGTAGATAAAACTTTTTGTAACTAAGAACTGTATGTCGTCAGTATTGATTAAAATTTTCTAATATTTTATTGTTCTTTTTATCACAAATGTTTTGAATTGTTTATTACCTGTTTTTTATACTTATCATGAAAGCCGATAAATTATCCAAGTATTATAACTCAGTCACAGTTCAATAAATAATTTACAAGGCAGTAAATTTCCAATTATTTATAGTTACTATAACAATAAAGGCGCCTGAAGAATTTTATCAAAAAATAAATCAAAATAACTTATAAAAAAAAATTTTTTCTTCACTAAACTTATCAAAGTCTGTAGAAGTTATACTGTACACAGAAGTGTTTTTTTGTTTGTATTTGAAAAGTGATCATCTTCATTAACGTTTATTTTCAATTAGTGATTTTATTAAAATACTAACATTTAAATTAAATTTTTAAATTACTTGTAAGAATAATAAAAAAAGAATGGAGTATGAGAAAACGACACTATATGTTATTAAAACTTGCCAATTGTTAAACAATTTGCCGTCTAGTCGATTACACTAATATCAATTTCTCCTATAATTATGACAATTGTTTTTATAATTATGCGAAAAAAGTAATTTTTGTGCTATTATATCACATTGTAATCATGTATAAATTTTTGTAACGTTATTTTACAATTTAATTTTTATATCATCCATCACCAATGTATTATTAAAAATTTATTGTAAGTAGTGACATTTTTTCAGTATGTAATTCGACAGCCTGATATATATGATTAAAACATATTCTATTCTACATATTTTTTTTAAACTTCCTTTTCATTTAATTTTTACTAGAATAACATTTGCACAATTATGAAATTCAATAATTAGAAAAAAAAAAAAAAACTAATTTTCATCAAATTCTATTTTTGTTTATTATTAATATAAGTATACTCAAGTAGCACAATTTTTTTTTGTTAATGATTTGTTGAATTTAAGTTAACAATTATTAATTTTTGACTTCTTTGTTGAGTAAAATTTACCAAAAAGTTTTATGACGCTTGAATATTTATAAACACTTCAATGTTTTTTTTTTTATATATTTCTGTCGTAAAATGTCTATTGGAGTTATTCCTGCTACAGTAGGTAGACTTAATTGTAAATTGTTTGCTATTTTTAGTATTTCATATTTTTTTAATGCTAGAAAAAAGTTAATCACTGTAGTTTAAAAAAAAACCTTTTTTTTTTTTTCTAAATAATTTTCATCCTATCCAAATATTTAAAAAAAATTTAATTTGCAAACTAAAAATATTTTTAACTTCCCGGTGAAAAATAAAAAATTTTAAAAAATTTGGGAATTCTCTTCAATGTAAATTGTACTTATCTACTTATATTTTATTTAAGAAATTACAAAAGTCGGATATTAATATTTTCAACTATAATACTAAAATAAGCTGACAGCTGTTAATTTTTTAAATTCTTATTAAGAATTAATGAAAATGACATTAAAGTTAGCTTCACTGACAAATTTTTAATTTTATTTCAGAATTAAATTAATTCTAAAAAATTATTTTTAAAAAATTGCATTTTTAATTTCCACATGTCAATTTTTTTTTCTTTTTTTTTTTTCATGAATATTAATTTAGAATATATTTTATAATTTTAAGAATTTTTTTAACAAATAATTTAAGTCAAAGAAAACGAGAAAAAAAATTGACATTTAGAAAATTAAAAAAATAAAAAATCAAATTTTTTTGAAATAATTTTTTAGAGCAAATTTGTTTATTAAAAAAAATTAAAAAATGGGTCAAGTGACTGCTAACTTTAATGTCATTTTTTCCCATAATTTATTTGTTAACAAAAGTTCTAAAAAAGTTATGAAATATATTCTGCTAAATTAATTTTCATTTAATTAAAATAATAAAAATGCTTTTGAAAATTTCCACTAATATTTGTTTTAATTTTGCCTGGTGGATTTTATTATTAAATTTTTTTTAAATAAAATTTTTTTTTTTTTATAATAATTTCATTGCTATAAAATTCTAAAAAAAATTTCTATAATGTCTGTCAACAACTTCAATGTCATTTTTCAAATCCGTATTCAAATTGTCTTGAGCCGAATTTAACTAACATTTAATTGGCTTGATCTTGACTTGCTCCGACCATTCATAAGTTTTATCTATAAAAATTGTTCTCATGAACACGTCACAACGGAAGTAGATATATCGACTTGCGCTTTTAACTGTATAATACTAATAATTTACATACGGCGCATGCGCCTGTCGAGTTTTATTTCAAGTGCAACATCGTAACCATAACCTAATCAGAAGCAAAAGCTAACTGACTGTTGAGTGACCTTGCCAAGAAGCGGTTCAATATTCTTAACAACTTAAAAATCTTGGTAAATATCAATTTATTTATTACTTACTTATTTTTTACCTTAAAATACTAATCCGTTTATCGAGCTCAACTACTTTTTTCTTCAGTAATTTACGTAATTGACTTTTTTGACTTTGGTGTGAGCATGCTGTAGTCACATAATATATCAATAATCCGCTATTCATAGAAAAAATTCAAATATTTTTCAAATTATGTTTATATCTAAGTTTAAAAACTATTTTCTTTATTATTAATAACATTTATCAATTATTTTAATTCTTTCATTAATAAAAAAGCTATAATCCAGCTATCATTTTTTTCTCTCACATATGCACAGATTTATCTGAAATAAAAATTTAATTTCTATATTAATAAAATTTCATAAAAGATAAGTAAAAATTTGTTAGTAAAAGTGTGAACATTAATTTTAAATTGCAGAACCTGCAAATAAAAAATGTCAACTTTTGGTGGTTTAATAGAAGAGATACCTGGGATTTCAGTGGATCGTTTTGATGGCGAAAATTTAAAATCATCACTTTTTTTTTTAAGTCACTGCCACACCGACCACATGCAAGGATTAATATATCAAACAGATTTTGTTAAAAAATTATTAGCGCAAAATCAATATTTATATTGTTCGCCAATTAGTAAAAAAATACTTGAATACAAGCTCCACAGATTTGGCCCTGAAGCTGATTTTATCAAAACCATTGACGGTGTCTCACCAATAATCGTGGAATATAATGTAGAAAATAAAACGGAGTATCTTAAAGTAACGAGTATTTCTGCAGGACATTGCCCTGGCTCAGTGATGTTTCTATTTGAAATTAAAAAGATATCTGTTCTTTATACCGGGGATTTTCGCTTTGACTCTAAAGATTTATCTAAATTTAAACCTTTGCATGATTTTGTTGACGGTAAAATGATTCCTAAAAAATTTGATAATATTTATCTAGACACAACCTTTTTCAATCCTAACAATGATTTTTTTCCAAGTCGACAAGACTGTGTAAGAGAAATTTGTAAAGTTGCTAGTGATTGGATAAGTAAAGATAACAATAATATTGTCATATTAGAATGTTCCGCTCATTACGGTCCTGAGTATCTTTTTATTGAATTGTCCAATGCGTTGAAATTGCGGATACATGTGAAAGATAAAGTTTATAAAAGCTATACATTTTTTCCGGAACTATCTAAATGTGTTACTGATGATCCTAATGCAACTCCGATACATGCTTGCATGGAAAAAAACTTTCGTCGTTTTTATGTTTTACAATGTCGTCCTAAAGTTAAAGATGAATCAATAATTACTATTATACCGTCAGTTTGGCGGTGGAGGTATAAAGATGTTAAAAAAAATATCTGTGAATGGGAAGCTATTAACAAAAGATTTTATACTTGTTATTCATGTCATTCGTCTTTCAGCGAACTTAAAAATTTTATTGAATATTTTAAGCCCAGTAAATTATATCCCTGTGTTGTTCCAATTAACGCTAATTTCGATGATTTTAAAAATACTTTGAACGAAATTTTAATCAATTCAGAAGAAGCTACCAATAATTTTACCGGATTTAATATGAAGCCTTTAAAATTTAAGCCATTAGATGATGCTAAAAAAAAGACTTTTAGTTTAAGTGACGATGATGATGATGATTATTAATGAATATTGATATGAGGCTTTTTTAATTTTGAATATTATTAAAAATTGTTATTGAAATAAGATATTTTTTTACATAATATTATTGATTAAAATTTTATAATAATGTTATAATCTGTTTATTGAATTTAAATCATATTGTAGTATGTACTTTATACTTTCATACAATAAACATACAAAAACAATCTTTATGTTCAAAACTATTCAATCATTTTTTTATGTTACTATTAATAAAAAATCGAGCTTTAAAAATGATTTTTTTTTAATTAATGAAATTTTGTTCCAGAAATTTGTAATTTGTTGTAATTGCAATACACAAATATCCTGAAAAATGGCTGTATCCGCACTTGCTCAAGAAAACTTTTGGATTAACAAATCTACTTACGATGCTGCCGAACGTTCCCACTATGAACGTCTTTACAAGGTAAGATTAAAACATTTTTTTATATTTATTATCATGAAATAAGTTATAAAACTAATTTTAAATATATTTAAACATGTCATAAAAATACATTGATAGTTAAATAAGAACTTTTTTATTAATTTATATAAATATTGTTATTATGATATGTTTAAAAACTATTTACCTCACATCATTACAGTAAATTGACATTAACACTCATTCCTTTTGTCATTAACTATTTGGTTTTTATTCCGTTAATCATGCACGAGGAATATCTGGTGACAGTATTGATTAATCTATTGCTCTTTTTTTTTGCATCTAACTTTATCTATATTGAAACTGGATAAATCATTGATAAGATAATGAGTAAACGTATCCTCAATTTTTTTTCTTTGTTGAAATATTTTTTTTTATTGCTTTAATAATATTATGTCTAATTAAAATAAAGATATTAATTTAATATATTAGTTTTTAATAATATTGAGAGTACGTTTATTAATCTTTAAACAATAATCCCCGAGTGGTTATCACTGCGTTTGAATATTATTATTTGAAACTTTTTGCCAAAACAATTATTTTTTTTTATTTTATTTGACACAAATATTGCAAACTTACATACGAAGAAATAAAATTAAGCGTAGGAATTTTTTTTTTAAATCATATTTGTAAGTTCAATAGTTGAAAAATGTTACAAGGTGGCCTCTCGTAAAATTTTGGAATGCAATGATTCCAAAAAAATTATTACTACTAAAGTACAAGATTTCGTTCCGGGAAATTTACCAACAAAGTCATCATCTAAAAAGTCTAAAGAGAATAAAAATAAAGCTGATAAAAAAAATAAATACCTAAAAAATGCTGAAAATGATGTTGCTACTGATAAGAAAGAAGTTTTAAATCAGGTATATGATGAAAATGATAGTTCAAGAATTTGTTTTTAGTTTTATTGTTACAATAAATTATTTTTCATAAATATTTTTATTTTGTAAAAATTTTGAGTTATATAGCATGAAGTTTTTTGTAGATTAGTTTCGTATTTTTTAAAAATTGAAATTGTAGCTAGTGTGTTACTTTTAGTTGAATTTTTTATTGTAATTATAAATATTGCATCAATTATTTCTTTAATTGAATCATTTTAAATGAAAAGACTAATAACCTAATCGCTTTTATGCATCATCTTAAAGAAAAATATAAACAATTTCTAATAAAATAAATTTAATTCGTTTGGCATAAATTTTTCCTTCATATCGGTGGGTGCAGGAAAGCCGAGTGTCTGGTTGCTCAGAAGATCCTGCCAGGGGGAGCTTAGCCAATGAAGTTGCAAAAGCACGAGAACACATTAAAAAGGGTTTACAGTGTGTGAGTACCGTCATTTTTGCTCACGTTTTGATTTAAAATTTTCATTTATTATTATTTTTACTTTTATTTGAGCTTTAAGAAAATAATTCAATTTATTCAAGTCAGTTCAGACGATTATTTTAAAAAATTACAAATTATTTAAATAATTGTTCTTCCTAACGTGTCGATTTACTAAGTAGAAGTTCTAAATCTTCTCAACTTAGTGGCTGTTAAGCACTTTAACAATTCATAGCTTTGGTGTTTGGAAAAATTCATTAGCCGACTCTTACTAATAATTTTTTCCATTAAATAACTATTTCATTAATTTCATATTAAATAAAGTTATCTTCCCAAGCTAACTATTTGGTAAAATACTAATCAAACTCACTTAATCAACATTTTTATCATACAGAATGATATATTTTTTTACGTATATAATTATAATATTGTGTTATAATTTACTTACTAATTATTGATTTTTTTTTTTCATTTTTAGCTGAACAACATTTCGGACGATTCAACCGTGCCTACTCAAGATTTAATGGGACGTCTTACTCTTCTTGAAAAAGACAACCGGGAACTTCACTCAACAGTTAAAAAATTGAACAAACGTATGGGACATTTTTTTTTTTTAATTAAAATATAACGTTGAATTTTAAAATAATTTTTTAACATATTTTCAATAAAATTTTTATGTTTAGACATTGTTGATTTGGAAGCTGCTATTAAAAAACTAGAAGTAACGGTAAATGGAAAAGGTTCAGCCCCAGAGCCTCATCTAGCTGTTTGTCCGGCTAAGCCAGCTTCAGCAGCAGCAGCAGCAGCTGATGATGATGATGACCTTGATTTATTCGGTGCTGATTCAGAGGTAAGCTCAACGTTGATAATCATTCACATTAATATGAAAAACAATGTTCTTTGATAAATATGAAAATTATCGCTTGTATTATAAATTCATTATGTATAATATCACAAAATTAAATAATATTAGTAGTTAGAGATAACTGTATTATACAAGACAATATTTAGTTACTCTAGTTAGTGTTGCACGATCTTTTTCTTAATTCTAGTTAACGAAATGATTTTAAAATTTGTGATCTCAATTTCCTGGAGAAAATTATTTTATTAAAATTTAATGTTTTTCTATTCTTGGAAACAGATTAATGGATATTGAATACTTTGTTAATTTTAATTAAATTATTGACTTCATTTTATACTGCAGTAACTTGAAAGGATAAAATTTTGCACACCAGATATTCCTGATATAAACTCTTCGTACCGTAATTAAATTTTATTCAACAATATATTCTATTTCATGTCAGATATTCTTCTTCAATATTCATTACTATTAAATCATCCATTTAATATCAATTTTCACGAAACATTGATAAGTATTTTTTTTTTCTTTCATTTGTATTTTTAAGGTCACATTCATTAAAATTGTTTCATCTATATTGTTCTATAAATCATAAAATCATTTTAACTATTTATTATTACAATCATATTAACCTTATTAACATTTAAGGGTGAAGATGCTGAAGCCGCTAAAATTAGAGAAGAACGTCTTGCTGCGTATGCCGCCAAAAAATCTAAAAGTTAGTATCATATTAATTGAAAAAGTCGCTTTATAATTTAATTTAGGTTAAACAAAATTATATAATCGTTCAAATTTTATTTACAGAACCCGCGGTAATTGCAAAATCTAGCATAGTTTTAGACGTAAAACCATGGGATGACGAAACCGATATGAAAGAAATGGAAGCTTTGGTACGGAAGATTAGTTGTGATGGACTTTTGTGGGGAGCAGCCAAACTCGTTCCTCTCGCTTACAAAATCCACAAGCTTCAAATTTCTTGTGTGGTTGAAGACGACAAAGTTTCAGTAGATTGGCTAACTGAAGAAATTGAAAAGCATGAAGATTTCGTACAAAGCGTTGATATTGCTGCTTTTAACAAGATTTAAAATATACATAATTCGAAATCAATGTTATCATTTCAAATATATATAATTCATAATAATTCAAGCTACTATCATATTTTGGCATTCATTCCATTACCAATAAAGTTGGATTGACATTTACTATGTTGTCTTTTTATTTTACTGTTAAATTATTTATTTTTTTTTTTCTTAATTTAATAATAACTTGGAAGTATTTAAATATTACGTGCGAGTAATAAGAATTAGTTTTATTTTTTTTATATTAAAATATTACATGAAAATTTTTTATAAAACTTTAAGACTTACACAAATATTAAAAAAAGAACTAGCTTTTAAAAAATATTAAAAATAACAGTTAAATTCGATCGAAATTTGAAAGTAAAAAAATTATATTTTATTCTATAGTTTCATATCTTTAGTATTTAAAAAATATACTGTTTAAAATTAAAAAAAAATTTTTTGATTTTTGAGGAACAGTTTTTAAAGAGTCTGAAATAAAAACAAATATATGAGTTATACTTTTATACATATAGTGTTGAAAAAAAAAAACCAACTGATTGAGTCAAGTTAACATTTATTAAAATACAGAAATTATTGAAACATTTTACACACAATTTATTATCAAATTTTGACACTTGCACAAATAATAAAAAAGATTTGGTTTTTTAAAAATAATTAAAATAACATTTATTTAATAGAAATGATAAAAAAAATTATAAAAGTATTAAATCAAAGATATTATTAACTTTACATGCCTAATACCTAACAAAAAACAATAATAAACAGAACATATGAATAAAAGAAATCTTATATTATTTAAAACCTGAGTAAGTATAATAAATAAAAGAATATTTATCTCTTATTAAAAAAATATCAATTTATAACTGCCTCCAATTCACTTGAAATACGTTGATATATCCATGCTGTTTTGTAATAAATTTTTTATCAAACGTTTGTCATTAGCTGATTTATAAAGCTTTATTCTTTTGAATATTTCTCAATAAATTCAAGTCACCTCCAGAATTTATAACTAAAGTTATTATTTGAATTCTTTTAGACACATCCAAAACATTAGGATGATTTGATCCTAAAACTTTTTTCATGCATACATAAACATTTTCATAAATCTTCAAAGCATCGACAAATTTATGTTGATCAAAAAATAAATGTCCTAATTGACACTGACTATTCAAAGTGTCTAAATGGTCAGGCCCTAATACTTTTTTTTGAATTTTTAGTATTTTTTCACATAAAGTGATCGCCTGCTCATAATTTTTTTGCAAACCAAAAACTTCAACTTTATTGAATAAAGCTCTCAAAGTGTCGGAATGATTTGGTCCTAAAATTTTTTTTCTAGATTCATAAACATCTTGATAAATTTTCAAAGCTTGTTCATATTTTCCTTGGTGAGTTAATACCATCGCAATATTATTCAGAGCTCTTAACACGGTAGGATCATTGCTACCAAACTTGATTTTGTATTTTTCCAAAACTTCATAGTTCATTTTCAAAGCTTCATCAAATCTCTTTAAGCCCATTAACACTAAAGCTATATGAGATTGAGTGTAAAGTAAATTATCGTCATCCGGATCTAGTATTGCTTTTTGCTTTTTCAATGTATCTTCATAAATTTTAATAGCTTCTTCATTTCTACCAAGTCTATATAAAACTAATCCCATCATACTTCGTGTTTTTAATACATCCTTATTATTTAATTCTAAAATTTTGATCTGTTTATTATAAACTTCTTGATAAATTATTAATGCTTTTTCATAGTTATTCTGAGAACAATGTGATTGAGCAATTAGCAATTGAATATCCAAAGTCCCAGGATTATCTGATCCTAAAATTGTTTTTTGTGTATAAAATATTTCTTCAAAAATAATCAAAGCTTCTGAATGCTTTCCTTGCTCAGATAATTTATTAGCTTTCAAAATTTTCCGTGAAAAATCATTTTGAAATCCAAATTTTAAATCTTGTATTTGCGGAAAATTTCTGTTTGTTGCAGCGACTATCAAGGTTTCATTTTGTTGATTGCGAGCATTAATTATCATTTTGAGATCCAAAGTTTCAATTTTTCTTAATTCTTTAACCAAACTAGTGTCATGAGTTTCCACAAGCATAAATAATTTTTCGATTAATTTAAAAACTTTTACAATATCCTGATTCTTAGTAAGATCTACTGGTCTATTATTTTTCTTAGTTCTAGCATCAAAAATAGCGCCGTTGGATAATAATATTTTCACAATATTAAGCTGTTCAAATTTAGCAGCAAAGTGAAGCGGAGTACTTCCATTTGTACTGGCAATATTGGCATTTGCGTTGTTCTTCAACAAAGTATCAACTATTTCTGAATAACCATTCCGAGATGCATAGTGCAATGGACTAAAAGACTCTTTATTTACCACATTAACTATTACCCCTTGACTGATTAATTTTTTACATTTATCGAGATGGTTGTAAATCGATGCATCAAATAAAGTATTAATAGCATTCAACATGTTAAGTATAGATGGATAAGCAAACACTGCATGAACTCTGAAAAGTGAACAATCAAAAGCAGCTCCATTATTTAACAAAAGCTCAATAATTTCTTGTCTTCCAAACTTAACAGCGTAGTAAATTGGCGATAATCCGTTAGCATCAGCAGCATTGACATCAATTTTCTGGCTAATCAAATATTCGACAATTTCTTTTTTAGTTGCTACCACTGCATAATGCAGCAGTGATTGACCTTGATGTCCCAAAGTATTGATATTCATTTTAATACTAAAAAAAAACTCTACAATACTGACGTGACCTTCTCTGGCAGCAATATGAATAGGTTTTGAACCGGATTCATTTGTAGCATGAACATTCGCACCTTTTTCAACTAAATATTTCACAACATCTAAATATCCCTCTTGACTTGCGATATGCAGCATTGTGAAATTACCTATTCCTTTATTGTTGATCTTCATTTTTGTGTATTCAAATAATATTTTAACCACTTCAAGATGTCCTTTTGAAACTGCAAATTCTATAGCTGATCTATTGTCATCATCTTTAATGTCTGGGTCTGCATTATTTTTCAACAAAGTATCGACTATGTCTGCGCAACCTTTTTCCGCAGCCAAAATGATTGGTGGCCCATTAGGACTTTTAGCATTAACATCCGCTTTATGAGCAATTAAAGTTTCAACTATGTGATTGTGATTGAATTCAATAGCTAAGTGCAATAAATTAATTTTTCGGCCTAGTATTAAGTCGTTAACGTTGATATTTTTATGATTTAGAAGTATATCTACGATACTTTTATTTCCACTGGCAGTTGCTATTACGATTGGTTCAATAGACCCTGCTTTTACATTTGCTTCATGTTTAATCAAAAGTTTAACTATTTCTACATGATTAAATCTGCTCGCAATCATTAATGGAGTGTGACCTTGCTTATCTTTAATGTCAACTGATGGACACTTTTTTAGTAATATTTCTACTATCTCGTAACAATTTGCTTGAGTTGCAATATGAAGCGGTGTCATTCCATTTATATCTGTGATATTAGTTTTAACATTAGAATTAATTAAATATTCCACTACTTTGGTTTGACCTCTAAAAGCACTAACATGTAATATAGAATTTCCCTGTGTGTCTGTACTATTAATATTGGCACCAGCTTCTTTTAATATTTTAACTATTTTCTCATGTCCACAAGTAGCTGCTTGATACAATGAAGTCATACCATGTGAATTTTTGGCATCTATTTGAATGTTCTGATCAATTAAAAGTTTTACCACATCTGTATGTCCATGTACCGAGCTTAGAGACAATGCAGTGTCCTGGTTAATATCTTTTGCATAACAATTGGCACCTTCAGCTATCAAAATTTTCGTAACTTCAATTTGACCATAAATCGCTGCTAAATGTAATGGTGTTTGATGTTTCTGATCCTTAACATCAAGTGATGCGCCACTATTTAATAATAATTTTACAATTTGATCTTTTCCTTTTATACTAGCAAAATGAAGAGGAGTAAGTCCATTAATATCTTTAACATTAAGCCGAGCTTTATTTTTTATCAAAAGATCCACTACTTCTATGCAGCTATGCAAAGCAGCAAAATGCAGTGGTGTCATTTTTCTGTTCGTTAAAACATTGACATCTGCATTATATTTTAACAATAGTTTTAAAATATTTATCTGACCATACTTAGCTGCATGATTTATAGCTGCATAATTATCAGGATCATAAACAGCGTTTACTGCAGCACCATGTTTGAGTAAAACTTCAGTTATTTCTTCACGATTAGTTTCAACAGCATTGTGCAAAGGTGTAAGACCATCAACATTAGCAATGTTGATATCAGCTTTGTTAGCAATTAAAATTTTCACAACTTCCAAATGACCATTAAGAGATGCTTCATGTAAAGGTACCTCATTTCTTCCCGTTTTAGTATTTACATTTGCTTTAAGAGTAATCAAATATTTAACAAGATCCGTATGACCATGTTCTGCTGCTAAGTGAAGTATTGTCATACCATCGAATGATTTGCTGTAATCTACACTTTTTTCTTTTTTCAACAAAACGTCAACGACATCTTTATGACCATTCAATGCAGCGCAATGGAGCGGCATGTAGCCATAATTGTTTAAAATTTTAGCGTTGCTATTATTTCGTAGTAAAATTTCAACTATTTCTCGGTGACCTCGCTGAGCCGCTATGTGTAATGGCGTGTCCCCATAATTATTGACAAGATCAGGAGTTAAAATTTTTTTTGCTACAAAAATTTTAACAACGTCTGTCCGTCCATGTTCAGCTGCTATGTGCAGCGGACTTTGGCCATTAAAATCTTTAACATCAACATTTACTTTTTGATCAAGAATAAATTTTACTATTTCACAATTAGATCCTTTAACAGCGAAATGAAGAGCAGTTAATAAGCGATAGTTTCTTGAATGAATGTCAGCTCCTTTGGCTAAAGTATCTTTCAAAGCATCGAAATCACCACGTTCCAATGACTCAAACATCGCTTCCTGATTAATAATAGTTGTTAAATCAAGATCATATTTAGTTTTTAATTCTGTTAAATTACTTTTAATCACTTGACCTACTGTTTTATTGCTCTCAATAAGATTTTCTGTGGTAAGTTTTGCAGCATTGAGAAAAATTGCAATCGAAGAATCGAATAATAAAATATCAACAAAGGCGTTTCCATGCGCTAAATGATTACGCAAATTTTTACCAATCAACAATGGTGATGGCTTGTCAAGTAACAAGTGATTGTCAACTAATATATTTTTAGAACTATCTAAAATCGACATTATGTCCAACAGCAGCATTTCAATAACTGCTTGTAGTTTTTTGTTTTTCTGATAAGCAGAGAGGTCCTTATATAATTGATTACTTTCAATTATACTTTTTAAAGTAGACAATTTTACCGTGTATTCGTGTTTCATAGTTGTTTTATTGGATGAATTTTTATTCTCTTTGGAAACGTCTAAATGATTTTTGTGATTTTGATGAGATGAGTAGTTGTTTTTATAGAGCTTATCTCTTAATTCTTCTAGCCACTTCATATTGTATACTCCAAATCCTATTTGAGTGAAAATTGTATTTATAATTTGCGTCAAATGGTCAAAGTCTCCAGATGAAATTGTTGATCGGTCCAGACTACCAATTATTTGAAATAATATTGCAACAATAATTTCTTGACACATTTTAAAATCAACATTCGGTTCCAAAGTTAAAAGAGCTCGGTTTGCAAAATATTTTATTTCTCTTGTATTATTATCATCAATATTATCATTAATACGCCTACGCATCTCTTTTAATAGCAGTAATTTCATTTCATAATTAAGCTCATTTGTTGATGAGTGAAGACGCTTAGACTCATGTTTTAATTGAAGAAATAAATCTTTGACGGGTCCCTTGTTAGTTATAATGTTTTCTAATTTTTCGATTAATTTTTCTAAAGAATCATCTTCGGTAAATTTAAGTTTATTATCTTTAAACCAAACTGAGTTAATCTCAAAATCGAAAGTTTCTAAAACATTTTTTATGTCGTTTGCACTTGGACTTAAAGCAATATTTTTCAAAAGTGTTACAGTATGATGAAATTTAGTTTTATGAAGAATATTTTTGATAACGGTATTAATAATCTTAGTATCATTTTGAATGTTAGTAAAGAAATTAGAAATACTATTAGAACGAGTATTTTCTATATTCAATCTTTGTGATAAACAATTATTGTGAGATAATGAATTACGTAAATCTATTATGATTTCTTGAGTATTCGGAGGTAGACATGAAATTAGCAATTGACTTGTAGATTCTGACATTTTCGGTGATTCCCACGTGTTTTTTATATATTCTCCAATTACTTGTAAAGTTCTTGTTATCACCAATTGACCTTCTTTTTCACTAGCGTCCACAAGCAACGATAGATCTAAATATTCCATTATTATTGACAAAGAATATGTATCTCTCAACAATCGATAATGATTATATAATTCTTTAAATTCCGGATTTTCATTAATAATATCATTAATTTTTTCGTCTCGTTTACATTTTGGAAGATTTACTAATCTATTAATAGGAATTTCATGAAGATTTATCTTCTGATTATTAAGTTTTTCCGCAAAAATATCAAGATAATAAAATAATTTATTTTTACTCAGAAAAAGATTAAAAATTTGAATTTTTGTTTTTTCAGATCGTTGCTCGGCATTTATATATGCAATCAAACAAAACTCTATTTCTTCCCAAGGTAATTTGTTATACGTTGATTTCATTTGTCTTTTTAAAATATTTATATTCTGAACAATAAACCTAGCACGGAGAAAAAATTTTTCATCCAATTTATTTGTGATTGAATATTCTGATGTAAGTAAATGAATATTTTCAACCAATAATTCTATTCTTGCTTTTATGTCAGAATGAGATATTTTTATATTTTTTACTTTCTCTGAATTGTAAAATCTAAAATCTATCAATTTCTTTTCAACAAATGTAACTACTTCATCCAATAGCACAATATTTTTTAATTTAAATTCTTCATATGTTTGGGCAAAAAGTTCGTAAACTTTATCTAAATTTTTTTGACATTGCAATGATGAAAAATTAAGAAGCGCTTCAATAATTTTACAATTACCAACACGAATAGCATAGTAAAAAGCATTATGATTTTCATCATCTTTATCCTCTAGTAAAAAACATTTATCAATACTTAAATCTCTCTTACCGATAACAATATTAGTATTATCTAAAATATATTCAAGCACTTTTTCTCGATTATATTTGCAAGCGAGAATAATATAATTCGAATTTTTCAGCGACTTCTCCACGGTCTTGTTGAAATTTTCCCAAGTCTTTTCATCGACAAAATCTTTGATGAGGTCGATTAGTTTCAGGTGTCGTTTCAACTTATTGACATCATCACTTTTGATAATAATATTATTCACGACTTTAGTTGAAAGTTGTAAATAAAATTTTTCTCTGGAAGTTTGATCGTATTTTTTATACAACTCAATGAACTTTTCTGTTGAACAAGAAAATAGAAATTCAATTTCTTTTTGCGATGACATGGTGGTATTCCTTTATGATCAATGCTCAAGGAAAAAAATTAGATTTCTTGATTTACTTTTAAATTATTTATCAGTCCTGAAACAGTTAAATTTTATTAGTAAATATTCAAATATATAAATCAGAATATAATACTAAAGTTAGCCGACATTGTTAATTTTTCGAGTTTTTTTTTTTTTTAATTATTAAATTAGAACTAAATAATATTTTTGAAAAATTGCACTTATAATTTTGAAAGTTTTTTAAATATGATTATTTTTTTTTTATTTTTTTGTAATCATTTTTTTAATAAAAAAAATTCTAAAAATTCTTATCGGTTAACTTAATAATTTTCATTATCAGAATACATACGTTGCCATAGTAAATTGATACGTTCGTAGAAGTCTTAACGATTAAATGACGCCATCCCAGCAAGAATGTATAAACATATATCTATATCGTATTACAAATTCTAAATAACTAACAATCGTTTTATTGTTAAATCTGAAAATAAAAATTGAATTTTTATTACTACTATTAATTTAATGGTAATAAAATGTTTATAATACTTTTTCTAATGTTGTTATCAAATGCGTTCATGCATTTGAAAAAAAATCAAAAGTACTTACTTAGACGATTGTGAATATATATTTAATATTATTATATTTTTTCCAGATTAAAAAACAAATAAGAACAATAGTTGTAAGTATATTGCTTTAAATATAAAATTTTTTGAGATAGATAAATTATTTGCTCTGGGAGATAAAATTTTATATTGTACGTAATATGTTCAGTAAACTATTCACTTGTACGAAACAATTGAAAATCGTATGACGCTAGTACTAGTACCTTCAAAGTTTTGGCGCTTTCTGAGCGCTTCATTTAGCAGGGATCAACTCTTCATATAATAATTTGCGCATGCTCTGACTTTGGTGTAATCAAAGTTTATACTGTTCAAATCTCATAAATATTTTATTAAAAAAAAATAATCTAACACCAGCTTTTTAGTTACAGTGTAATTAATTATTTTGCAGATTTTACCTTTTTACGGCGCCACAAAAATTGAAAATTTTTTTTACTTTTTTTATAGACGGAATTTGATAGATTTTTTTAAATAAGACGAGAAGTAAGAGTAAAATTTTGTATCTGTTATTCAAAAATTTACATCTCCCCGACAAACCATTCACAAGATTATTTTTTTAACTTTTTCAAAAAAAGATTAACTTAAATTTTTTTTTCATTATTTTTAAACTCTTAAAATATTAATTTATTGCAAAGAAAATAAAATATTTCTTGTATTTATAAATAATAAATGGAAACATTTTTAATAATTAAAAAAAAACAATACCAACTTTGTTTCAAATATTTATTTCATTATAAAAAAAAATAAAAACAATATCCGTATTGAATAAAAAAATAACATCAATTACTATTATTATTATCATTATAACTATAAAATAACATATTATCAATTTACAGTGAAAAAAAATTTCTTTTTCAGGATAAGTCTTAACAATCTCTTCAAAGTGAAGTAAAGTTCACATAAACATTTTACAAAACTTGAGTGTGTATGAGAACTAATTAGTTTGGATTATCATCTATTTGACCCATGATTTTTAAATCATCAGATACAGAAAATTCACAGCCAGTTGCTTCAATGACTTCAGTTACATCAACATTAGGAGCTAATTCAATTAAAGTCACGCCTTCTCCACGGACAATTTCAAACACGGCTAGTTCTGTGATAATCATGTCTACACAATTTTCCCCTATACAATTAAATTTATCACAAATTAGTATAAAAAATTTATAAATCATAAATCAATTAAAAAAATATGCACCTGTTAGAGGAATGGTACATTTATCTAAAATTTTTGGACTGCCATCTGAAGCTTTATGTTCCATTGTCACTATTACTTTTATTTTTGGAGAAGAAATTAAATCCATCGCTCCACCCATACCCACTATCATTGATCCAGGAATCATCCAATTCGCTAAGTCACCATTTTTTGATACTTGTGCTCCTCCAAGAATTGTTAAATCAAGATGACCACTAGAAATAAATTTATCTCAATTATTTTAGTAGAACAATTTTTTATAAAATTGATAACAGCCTTGATGTTTATCAGATAAACAATTTTGATTGTTTTTCGAAACTATGTCTATTAAATAGAGACTGAGTCAGAGCACTTTATGTAGAATAGAATAGAATATCGTTTTTATTTGTATCACATATTACGTTTTACAAAACCTTGTATCTTAAATTGTTTATTTACATTTGCATATACACTATTTTTGGCTTAAAAATCAACTGCTTTTACTCTCTTTTAACCTTTCACCCACCTCATCCTTCATATCACAGTCGCATTACAATACTATTAATACTATTTTATACTTATTTCTAGTATCCATCCCTGTATATTAATGACAGCCTTTTTCTGACATTCAATATTGTAATACTACTCAATTTCCTTAAGTAATTTTTCCATTTCTCTAACATATATACACAGCTCCCTATTTATTTCCCCTTTTAAAATTATCACTAATCTTTCTCTTGTTAATTCCCCCTCTAGTTCTTCCATCCACTTGTATCTTGCTTGTTGCCCTTTTTCACTTATTTTTTCCATTATCTCTGAACAGCTTAATAAATGCATCAGTGTCTCCTCTTCTTTCTTGCATATTCTGCATTCCCAATTCTTTTGCCCTTTTTTTCCGCTTCTCCACAGATTTCCACATCTCGTTCTTGCCCATACCTCTTTGTACTCACTATTAATTCTATCTTTTTTCCAATAGCTGATTTCACTTTCTTGTAATATATCTTTGTAAAACTCATTATATCTGGACTTTTCTATTAGCAACTTTTCCTTTTTTTCTAGTTCTTTTTTGTATTTTTTCAGTCCCTCCTTTATTTTTTCCTCTATTTCTTCTACATTTCCTCCCTCGTATATTCCCCTAATAATTTCTTCTATGCCTATCACCACTAGAAAATTCTCCACTTTTTTTCCCCATTTTGTTGGATTTTTGTTGATTATTCCCCTCATTTCTTCTTTCATGCATATCTTTGGCAATCTGTTATCTTCAAGCTTCATTATATCTACCAGGTACCTGAGTGCCCTTTCTTTTAATATATACTCTATGTGCTCTATTCCCAATTCCCTTCTGATGATGTAAGTTGGTGTATTTCTTGCTACCCCCAGCGCCATTTTATTCACTTTGTTATATATCACTTTAATTTTTTCTGCATTTTCCCACCCCCATACTTCCACTCCATACATACATCCTGCATTTACCAGTGAATTATATAGATAGACCCTGTCTCTTGCGTTATTCCTATCCGTCCTCTTTATTAGTCCCCAGGTAGCATTAGCAGTGGCGTTCGCCTTATTCACTAGATCGTTAACATGCTCCCTGCTTGCGTTTTTTGTAGTAAATTTGAACCCAAGGTATTTGAAATTATTCACCACTTCCAGCTCTTCTCCTTTATATTTCCACTTTGTTTTCTTTTTTTTGCCACCTCCTCTGAATATCATTATTTTTGTTTTTTTTTTTTTTTGCATTTACTATTAAATTGTTTTTGTCTACATATTTTTCTACTTCCTTTATCATTTCTTTTAGCCCTTCCTCTGTGTCCGCCACTATTGCTGCGTCATCTGCATATTTTCCAATAAATACCTTCTTTATCCCAATCACTGTACCTCCTATGTTCTTTTTTTCTATTACATCCTCCATGTCATCTATAAATAAATTAAATAGGACTGCGCTTAAAGCGCAACTCTGTCTGACCCCTTGATTTATTTCGAATTCAGAGCACTTTATGTATTTACTTGTTACACTAAATATGGACTTATTACTATTACTATTACTTATAAGTATTGTTTAAAAATAAAATAAAAATAAAGAACAAGTAGAATTAATTAATATTTAACATAAAAAATATATTGACCCTCTGATCATAGCGGCACTCTCATCACAACCAAAAAAAGATGTACCAGGCAAAACTGTTACTGGAGCTACTCCATGGCCCATCGAATCAGGATCAACTCGATCCGTATCTTGACTATAGTGAAAATTTAGAGCTCCCGTATCGAATTGTAAAAATGCTTCAGTATCATTATTAATATATTTAGCAGCTAACATCGGTATTCCAATACCTAAATTAACTATAAATTTCAGATGATATTTTATTAAAACAAAAATTATTATAGAAAAATATTTACACAAAACTAAGTGGTATTACTTACTGTATCTTCCATCTTTAAATTCCAGTGCAGTGCGTCGAATAATTCTCTCTTTTTTTTTACTTACAGGTGATACTGTTAATTTTGATAGGGTTTTTATTATCTAATTGAAGAAAATTTGTAAGATAATAAAATAATCAAGACATCAAAATTATTAATTTAGATTTAAAACTTACTTTAGTAAATTTATCATTATGAGACGCTTTAAAAATTCTATCTACGTAAATTCCAGGTACATGAATGCTATCAGGATCAAGTTCACCAGTTTCAACAATTTCTTCAGCCTCTACAATCGTGACTTTAGCTGCTTTACACATAATGGAATTGAAGTTTCTTGCTAATTTTCTGAAAATTAAATTTCCAGCCTTATCAGCCTTCCAAGCTTTTATAATTGCAAAGTCACCGGTGATGGCAGGTTCCATTAAATAATTTTTTCCATCAAATTGTTGAACATGTTTTGGTTTACTTAAAATTTCAGGTTTACCATCTTTATCGTATTTTATTACAACATTACCGTCTTGAATTAATGTTCCACAACCAGTTAAAGTAAAAAATGCTGGTATACCAGCACCGCCAGCTCTGATAGATTCTGCAAGTGTACCCTGTTACCATTATAAATTAAAATTAAATTCATGCCATGAAAATATTAATGACAAAAAATATTAGTTATGTTAGTTACACTAAGTGGAAATATTTATACTTGTGGTATCAACTCCAACTCTAAATTTCCTTTACTGTATTCTTTTGCAAACTCTGGATTTATACCAATAAATGATGTTACCAGTCTTTTTATTTGTCTTTGAATTAACAACTTTTGTAAGCCTATATCTCCAACTCCTGGGGTTACAGATGTGACTGTTAAATCTTTACATCCTTTTTTAATGATTGCATCAATTGCATTTAACGGCCAACCACCTAATCCTAACCCACCAATTAATAATTTTGCGCCATTTGGAATGTCATGTACTGCTGAATCCGCAGACATAATGCATTTTTTATGTTCTCTTGGTATTTTTAATTCCGATTTATCATTTTCAAAGTCAGGTGTATTATTTTTTAATGAATAATTCACAGCAAGTATCTGAAAAAGTAAATACTAATTAAAAAAAGAAAAATTTATTCTTGATAATAAAAATTATTTATTGGTTACGTTGATTGTGGATCAAAGTACATTATTGATGATAAATTCTAAGTTTTCCTAACAGAAAAGTCACTTAAAAAATGACTAAAAACTCAAAAAAAGGATAAAAAAAATTTTATCTTAAATAAGTATAATAGAAAGTAAACAAAGTAATACAAAAAATGATTTTCTGACTAGGATAATAACTTTACTGCATAGCTGCATGTCAAGTATTATGTACCTTATTTATTTGTAAACAACTTTGTGGGTATTTATAATTAGCTCTACCAAATTTAATGATGTATGAAAACATTGTAAAATTAACAATCAACAGATAATAATAAAAAAGATCTATCTATATTAAATATTCAAGAATTTTAATTGTCCTAATAGAGAAAAGGTCTTGAACTGTTTGAAATTTTCAAGAACCAATGATAATGTCAATGAACTTTCTCACTATATTTATCATATATGTAACTTCGTAACTTCTTCACTCCCACTTTAAAACTTAAGACCACCTTCTATTTCGAGTTTCTTCGTAATTAAAAGCCAATAATTTATTAAATCTTTATGGAATGTATAAAAAATTAACTTATCAATTTTATTAATACAGTACTTATATTTGATAAATATTGTTAAATAAATATCATTTCTTTATTCATGAGTTCTTGCGAAGAGATAAAAAATAATGTCTTGTATTTAATATTATTTAATTCATTCTCATATAATTCACGTTATTAAGATGAAAATAACATATTTTTTATTATTGATTAAAAATTATTAAAAAAAAAAATTTTTTTTTATTAGTAAGAAAATAACATTTAATTGGAACTTAATTAATCAAATTTCCTACTCTAGTTTTTATCCTTAAGTGTAAAAATTATTATAAGTATGATTTTATTTGTGGTTTTTAGATAATTAAAACATTGTTTTTTTGTTTTAAATTAAAAAACTACTCTTAAATTTCAAATATCATTTATGACTAATTATAATTCACTTTTTCGAGTAATAAAAGTTGATTGACTAAATCAACCTACTTTGTTGATATTAAAAAGCGATTGGTTTTTAATATTGTACAAAATAATACTTCTATTGCACTTTACAAAATATACATTTTTTTTTTACAATATACCATATTTATTTTAATATAAATTAAATCATTTTAAATGCTTTTATAATTTTTATAGTATAAAAAAAAAAAAAAATATGTTGAAACTTTAAATTTCATCGTCCATCGAAATTTGTTCCATAACTTTCAAATCGTCAGAAACAGAAAATTCGCAACCGGTTGAACTAACAACTTCGCTGATATCAACGTTAGGTGCCAATTCAATTAACCGTAAACCTCCATCAATAACTTCAAATACAGCCAAATCTGTAATGATCAAGTCGACACATTGTTGACCTATAAAATAAAATTTTCAAATAAAATAAAAGCACAATAAAATAATATCAGAATAACTAAATTTAAAAAAAAAATAAGTACCAGTGACTGGTAATGTGCAAGCTTCTAGAATTTTCGGGCTTCCGTCTCGAGCTTTGTGCTCCATTGTGACAACTACTTTTGTACCCGCAGCAGAAACTAAATCCATCGCACCGCCCATACCCTTGACCATTGATCCAGGAATCATCCAATTTGCTAAATCTCCATTCTTTGATACCTGCATACCTCCAAGAATTGTCAAATCAACATGACCACTAATAAAAAAAATAAATAAATAAAAACATGAATAATAACAGTTAACATTAATTACTTCTTGACTACTAATATTTAACAGATTATCAAGAATTTACTCTTACCCTCTGATCATAGCGAAACTTTCATCACTACTGAAGAAAGATGCACCAGGTGCGACTGTTACTGATTCTTTTCCAGCGTTAATTAAATCTGGATCAACTTGGCTCTCATCTGGATAAGGACCAAGGCCCAAAATTCCGTTTTCAGACTGAAGCGTCACATTCATACCTTTCTTAATGTAATTAGCAGCCAACATTGGCATTCCAATGCCCAAATTAACTGTAAAACAAATGAATCATTATTCAACACCATTAATGTAATAATTAATTAGCTTAAGTAATTATTGTAAAAGTTTAATACTCACCATACATTCCATCTTTAAATTCTAGAGCAGCACGTTGGATAATTTTGTCTCTTGCTTTAGTTGCTGGTGTAGCTTTTTTTGATTTTAATGAGGCATTAGTTTTTAATTTCTGAAAAAATTTTATTGTTAATGTCAATACTATCATAAGTGATAATTAATAATATGAGGCGATGATTTACTCCTTACTTCAATACGTTTTTCGTAATTACGGCCTTTTAAAATTCTATCTACATATATTCCGGGTACATGAATCTGATCAGGATCCAGTTGACCAACTTCAAGAATTTCCTCAGCTTCAACAATTGTAACTTTAGCTGCTTTACACATGACAGGGTTGAAATTTCTTGCTGATTTTTTAAAAATTAAATTTCCAGCTTTATCAGCTTTCCAAGCTTTTATTAACGCAAAGTCTCCAGTGATGGCGGTTTCCATGACATAGCTTCGTCCGTTGAATTCCTGAACCTCTCTCGGTTCACCAGATATTTCAGGCTTACCTTCGGCACTATATTTTATTACGACATTACCCTCCTGGATTATAGTACCGAGACCAGTTGCTGTGAAAAACGCTGGTATACCAGCACCCCCTGCTCTGATACGTTCTGCTAAAGTACCCTGTGACAGAAAAAACAAATAAAAAATTTCTACAAAAATAAAAGAATATATAAAATAAAATTAACAATACCTGTGGCGTCAATTCAACTTCAAGATTACCACTGAGATATTGTTTTTCAAATTCAGCATTTTCTCCAACATAAGAAGCAATCATTCGTTTTATTCTTTGCTGCGATAAAAGTATCCCCAAACCAAAATCATCAACACCAGCATTATTTGATACAACTGTTAAATTTTTACATCCTTTTTTACTTATAGCAGCGATTAAATTTTCAGGAATACCACAGAGTCCAAAACCTCCAACTAATAATTTCGCACCATCAGGTATATCACTTATAGCATGATCAACAGATTTAAACAATTTTCCATCTCCAACTGGTGCTTTCAAATCTGTTGCATCTGTTTCTGTTTCATCAGGTGTGTCATTTTTTATTGAAAAATTTACAGCACATATCTAAAAAAAAATTACATAAAAATAAAATTCATTAACTGTGCTGACAAATATTTCATGATAATAAATATTCATGTAGTATATCGTCGTTAGATATCTGCTATTTTGAGTATGTAATACTATAAATCACGTTATTTTTCAATTAGAGGTTATACATAATATTTACCTTATTAATTTGTAATTTATTTCTTGTTTGTCGGCAACCAACTCCTATTTTAAAAAATATTTTATGACATTTTATAATTCCTAACACCATTGTTAATTTAAATTATTTTTAAATGTCTGATATTATTTTTATTACTCCAAATTATCAGAATTAATAGTAAGCACGTCCTTCCACTTGACCGGTAAGTCCAAGACTGAGGCTGATATTTTAAATTGCGAATAAGTAATATGAGCCGTTACATTTAAATGAAATATAAATACTCCAAACCAGCTGTATGCCTACATATTTATATCATAATTATGTACAACTGATTAAAATTTGTTTTGCATTTTAAATAATATAATAACCCGGCTTAGTGATCGAGGTCATATTAAAGTCCCCCGTTTAGATAATTTAATTGTAAAATTTGTACATCAATCAATGCCACTATTTTGATTCGAGATGTTTTTTTAAATTGTTTATTAATAATAATATGACAATCAATGATATTACTATTTTTTTTTTTATTTTGTTTAATAATAAATTACAAAATAAAGCAGTGTTTACATTATTTTATTCGCTTTTTATCAATTGTGTATTTTTTATAATAATAATAATAATAATAAAATATTCTTATAAATTAATATATGTTTTATTATAAACTATTATTAAATCTATATTTACATTTAGACATTAAAAATTAAAATAAAATTAATTTATGAAAACATCAGTGCACATCAATGTAAAAAATTCCAATTATAATTATAATATTAATATTATTATACTTTTATTAGAAACTTGTGAATTAAGTATTTTAAAAAAAATTTAATTCTTCATTATGTAGAATTTATATATAAATAAATTTTGTTGACATATCCTGATAAATAATTAATCATTTAATGTTCCAGGAAGCATAATATATGGCAGATGTAATATTTTAAATAAAAGAATTAAATGAAAATGAATTATTATAATAATAATTTTATTAATAATATTAAATCTAAAAATTTTCTTATTTAAAAACGACCACTTCTTGCGTCAGTAATTGCACCCCATAATTCAATAACGAAATCATCACTAAAACCAAAAGCTTCAAGATCTGAATTATCAATAGCTTCAGCAAAATCCATGCTATTGGACTTTCCTTCCGCTAATTCCCAAATTTGGGTTGCTAATTCATTGTCATTAATACCCATGAAATTTTCAAGAATGTTATTTATTTTTTCAACACCAATCGTTGAGGAATCATCAACCTGAGAGTGAAAAATATTTGAAAAAATTAAATAATTCTATAAAATAATTAATTAATTAAATTACCTGTTGAATTTGCGTACTTCCATCTGCTTTGAACCTCAGTGTTTCTTTACCCGATCCAAAGCCAGATTTTTTATTTTTTTTAATATCACCTCGTGGACCAATACTGCCAAATCCACTTTTCTGAGGTTCTATTAATCTTAGAGTAAATGTTGAACCTTTCGGAATTTCTTTCAATATTTTAGCGACCTCATAATGTCGTCTACCAACTAAGTTTTCCGAATTTATTCGTTCTATGTGATCACCTACTTGTATTACTTTAATTTTATCAATTACTGAGCCTTCTTTTATCCGTTTTATAAATGCATATCCAGCTCCATTGTCTGTGATCGTTAATCCTAACGCATCTTCTGTTTTAACTAATTCAATCTCTTTCGGTCGACCTACCGATCATTTAAAATTATTTAATTTTAACGATATTAATTTTAATAAATATAAAAAATTACTTACTTTTGCGATGAGCAAATATAAAATCATCTAATCCTATTTGTCCGCCCAATAATTCGTTCATATCGACCTTATGGGTGTTTAGCGTACAAAAAAGAATCTAATAAAATAAAGAAAGTATAAAATAATATATATATATATATATGTAATACTAATTATTATTATTTAATGAATTAAAGCATTAAAAAACAATATTAGTTGAATGTTCGATAACATTTATCTTTGGAAAGTTGATAAGAAAAAATGTTGTAATTATTAAGATATGATTCAGATCAAGGTCATAAAATTTATCGGTTAAAATTATTTGTTTAATCACATTGACATGCGGCTGCTTTTAATAGACTTTTAAAATTAATCGGTCATAAAAAAAAAAAAAAAAAAAAAAAAAAAAAAAAAAATTGTTTAGTCACATTTTTGTGAAAAAATAAATGAAAACGAAGTTAGCCGACATTCTAAAATTTTTTTTTATTGAAAAAATTATTATAAAAAAATTTCATTTGTAAAAAACTTGAAAAATTGAAAGTGCAATTTTTTAAAAATGTTTTTTTGTTCATTTAATCATTGAAAAAAATTTTTAAAATAAAAAACGTCGGCTCTTTAGTATTATAAAAAATAATTGATACATTTTTTCGGGATGAAAAGCTGGGATGTTTTTGATATTAATTAAATTAAGACTGAAAAAATATTTTTAAAAAATTGCACGTGTAATTTTTTAAGTTTTTTACATGTGAAATTTTTTCTTTTAATTTTTCTTAAAAGAATTATTCAATAAAATAAATTATTAATATTTTAAAATGTCAGCTAACTTAATTTTCATAATTTTAAACTAAAATTTTAAAAAATTAATTCACAAGTGTGGTAACAATTTGTTAAATTTATTAACAGATAAATTTTTTTTGTAGTGATAAAATAATCGCGTCGAGAAATTCTGCGAAACGTATCAGCCGAATGGTTAATTGCGCAGTCAATCTACATTACAAAGTGTGTTAACAAGTAACTGTTAAAATCGGCGACCTATCTAAACTGTTGAAATGTATTTAACAAAACATAAGTATATTACAGCATAATCTTGCGATGATGCAATGTAGTTGAACAAGAAAAGTTAATTTACAATAACAAGTCGAAATCAAATAACAACTACAGCGATTGATATAAAGAGAAAGGAGAAAGGCTTAGTTGTGTACTTAAATTGTTAATATGTAAGTAAATTTAGAACCCAGTGGGATATCCGGAACGCTGGCAGGGTCATGAACCATGACCAATGTTTCCGGCATTCAATAATAGTGATGAATGATGCTGATAGTGACGATGTGTTCCCATACATACATGACTACAGTAATTATTGTAACACTATAGATTTTCGTATTGTGATTGTAATTGAAAAGTAGTAGATAAAAAAAGTTGTAAAGAGATAAAACTCACTTCACTTGTTGGTAGATCATAGCACTCAGCTATTTTCTGATAAAGTTCACGGACGTTTTTAAAATCCGATATAAATCCCGTTGGACTGCCATGTGCTAACTGACAGCGAAAGACCAGATGTGTCTTACTTGAATTTTGATTATCATCTGTTGACTCTGTTTGATCTTGATGACCGAACTTGTCCCGTTTACCAGTTCCATTTATATTATTATTGCTACTACTACTACTGACGGTTTTATGACCTTCATGATTGTGAGCTCCGTTACCCGTAGTCTTCTCTTGAGCAACAGGACTCTTTGACACCGTCCTCGGTTTAAATAATGGCATTTTTCTACAGAAAAAAAATATATAATAAAATAAATAAACACTTGCAGTTGCTGGAAATATATATTTTTTAAATAACTGTTTATTATTGTCTACTGTAATTTTTATATTTCTACCGGAACATTTTAATATTGTACATATATCTACACTTTACTCACAAAAAAGATAATTATCACAACTTTTTTTATTTTTATTTCTTTCAAATTATACTTATCAATATATTATTATCGCATTAAATATCCTGTAACTTGTTTTATAATCGCGACGTATGATTTCAACGTTAAACGTATATAATACAAGTTTCTGCATCAGTAAACAACATACTAAAGAAGTATTATATCTTCACTTCACAGAAAACAGCATCATCATTCTCATCTTTTCTTATTTTACTTTACAACTTATAAATTATATTTTGATTAAATAACATTTTTATGTCATATTTTTATTTCTTCGGAATTTCAAAAACTGTATGTTTAATTTAAAATAATATTAATGGTATTTTTTTTATTAATGCAATAAATTATTCTTATCTTTAAATTATAGTGGGAGTGATGAAATACCTCATTTTATATTTAATTCTTTTAACAAAAAAAAAAAAGGATACATACGTGATACTTATTTTGATGTATATTAACGAGAAATACTGTTTAAAATAATTGTCTGTTGAAGTAAATTAGTTTAAAATCATGATAAAATAACTAAGGTCTTGAACAGCATAATAGCTTGTGTTAAATTACACTAGGTGAACAAAAAAACTTCATGTATGTTATCGTTTTTATCTTCATAGCTTTATCAAGTTTATCAGAGATTTGTTATCATATCCAATAGGAATAATTGAATTTTTGCATTACACGTGTAATTGTTATCAATAATTGTTATTGAATAATTTAAAAAATACACAAACTTAAACTATCTTTAGTTTCTAATAGTAATGTCTTTAATTTGACTAATTGGATGAAAACACTTGTTCAACTTCACGAGACAAACTAGTAAATTTTTTTTTTTTTATTATTATTAAGTTTTAACATACAATATAACAATTGTGGTCTAATAAAAAGCATACAATGTATAAAACTGCTAGTACATTACAGTAATATCCTCGTGACCCTCTCATGAATCTCACGAGTAAATTCCCCACCAACTACAGAACTTGGTACGTTGTACATAGTTGGACGTACCTCACTTTACTCCCTCTCAATTTTCTCTATACTATTCTCTCAACCGTTTCACTCAAACACATCATCCATAATTTACTCATTATTATTAAGAAAAAAAAAGTGTTCATTAAAAAAAAAAAAAAACTAAATTGTGGCTTTATCTATTAATTAACACTATTATAAATCAGAAATCGCTTATAATTTTAATGAATAAATTTTTGACTATTACGAAAATTATGACATTAGTACCGAGAAAAGTATTTGTATTAAATAATCTCAAAATGATTAGTACAAAAATTTACTTTTACTCTAAATAAATCACAGTTTTTTTTTTGTTGCAAAACAATTACTAAAGGCACAACTTACTGTATTTTTAACGAAATTAATATTATGTTATTTAAAAAAAAAAAGTATTACTCATTAATGGTACTGGATCTTTAGTTTTTATCATTTTTTTAAAGTACATAAGAATATGTAGAGAGCTAAATATTTAATACAAAAAAAATACTTGAGTTTTTTCATTCATACAATTAACAATAAATTCTAATTTTCCTAATAAACTTTTATAAAAAAATTCTTTCAAAAATCATCTCCATAGTATTAACATTATAACAATTTAAACAATTAATCACAATAATTTTTTTACGTATAAATCGTAACAAATTTTTTTGTGTAAAGTAATAATTTACAATAAATAGCTGTCAGAAATAATGCAGCTATATTACAAGTAGTGTATAAAGTCAATTCGTAATTGCTAATAAATTGTATAAAAAAATTGTTCTATATAAAAAAAACTCTTCATACTTGAGCATCAATAAATTAGTTAATAAAATTATTGCCTATATAAATTTCAGGTTGTATTATAAAAACCTTCCAAACTTTACCGCAATGTGAATTATCATCCATCATTAGATAACTTTGCATTGGTAAAAACAAATTTTCATATTTATCAGTGCCGAATTGATACTGTTGCATTGCTCGAAAGACAGCACGAAAAGGAGGCTGTTTTTGTGAGTGAAATGTACCTCTCGATCCGTGGATCACTAATGCACCTTCTGTCTCAGCATTAGTACATACAGACATGTACATACAGTGATCTGGTCTGTAGTTATAACGACACGGATAAATATACAATCTTTCTGGATGATAATGAAATATAATATTAATAATATCCTGATCACCCCATGTTATTTTTAATTTATACTCTTTGTGAATAGGTATTACATAATCTGTCCATCTAAATTCACGCATTCGTGTTAAATTCATCAACATAACACCTGAATTGACACCGAGTTTTCCGTAGTACGGGTGTTTGGCAAATCGATTGTACCATCCTGTATTAGGATCTTCATGTTCAGGACTCAAAGCAGCCAATTGTGTTGAATTCATTTTTTTAAATTCATCCCAGACTAACTCTGGTGGTGCTAAAAATAATGTGTCTGTATCAACGTATAAAATGGCATCAGTATCATTCAATAAAGCCTGTAATTAAAATATTATTCATTATTTAAATATTAGAGGTGTCTATCAAGACTTTTTTTACGTATGAATAGACATCTCTTTAAATATTATAAATTAAAAATAATAATTACCGGTAGAAAAAGTCTTTGAGCAGCGCATGGCTTGAATAATCTCTTCCACATTGAAGCATCACTATTGTTTGGAAATTGAATCGGTTTCAGCACAAAAGTAAATGAATTATTTGTTAAATACTTCCATTCGCTGAGTTTCTCATCGAATGCAACGATCAAGTCATCTTCAGCAATTACAATCAATTTTAATAGTTTTTTCGTAAAAACTAATGCAGATTTAAACATTGTAAGAGATTCATCTAATCTGTCACCACAAACGACAACACAAATAGTGACTTCTTGATTTATTATTTCCATCGACTCTTTTTTGAGACGTCCTCGAGCACGTGGATCTCGATGATTTGAAATGATTTCAGTATTCGAATCTTCATCATTTTTTTTGTTACTACTTGAATGCGATGAAATATTTAAAACAATTATCACACCAATAATACATAAAAAAATAATAACAAATCTGTACAGTGATTTCATTGCTCATAATTTTTTATTGCTTTTTAATTTAGAATATTTCAGATAATTGCAATATTTTAAAAGTATACTCAACATTCTTGTTTCTATTACAACTAATGAACATTTAAATTTCTTGGAATTTTATTATTCACATCTTTTCGAGATTTGAGTAAACTTAATCCCATCGTTTTTTATTTTCAATACTATTACTATTATTTTGTTTTCATATGACCAAGTGTCAAATTATTCTCACCATTACCATAGGTGTTTCTTTTTGTAAAATATTAATTAATAATACTTTAATTTATCACATCAATTAATTTTTTTTTTGTTTACAACCATTTATAATACTTATGCAATTGTTACGTATGAATAAAAGTAATTTATTGGTAATTTTGATTTCAAATGATTCAATTCATGAAATTTCATTTCGCCATACTAAAGAAAGTATAGTCTAGTTAAAAGCAACTTGGAAGTATCTGACGTTTGACGATTGTTTTAATTTTTTCAACAATTAATAAATTAGAAAAATTAATTTTAATGATTTGATAAGACGACTTAATTTTTTTGGAGCTTAAAAAACAATTAAATTTTTATCTCAAAAAATCGATTATAGTAGATATTTTTCGAATAATAATAACAATCACTACTCTACCGACAAAGTTTGAAACTATTAAAAATAGATGTAGCATATGGACACACTATACACAATTTTATTATTAAGCATATACTATACTTTAGTATAATATTATTCCAATCCAATCCCCAAGTAAACTAAATGGCGGGTGGATAACCGTAATTCTGTTTTTGTTTACTTTTTTTTTAAACTCCATTTTTTACAAATGTACAATTTACTTATTAAAATGTTTAAATTTTTAATATAAAATAAATTTGTTTGTGTTCCATTAAGAAGTTAGATTTAAAAACTTCCGAAATGCCGCCGATGTCTGAGGGATTTGGTGACCATATCGAGGTTAGTAATTTAAATTTTCACGTTAAAATACCAATATTGTATTTATTTATTTATTTATTTATTATAGGATTACACGGAACTCGAATTTATTGGCAGAGGAGGTTTCGGCGATGTTTATAAAGCAAGATGTCTAAATACAGGAATAGATGTAGCGATAAAAAAGGTAAATATTAAATTCTGATGTACAGCTTGAGTGTAACGTACACTGACAGTACCTGTTGCATCCAAACAAAACAGCACACAAGTTTATAGAGCACTTTTCTTATTGTAGATTAACATAAAATTAATGCAAGACCATGGAATGATTGGTAGAGTACGTGAAGAAGTAGCCATTCATTCAAAATTGCGACATCCATCCATTCTAAAGTTCTATACATCTTTTAAAGATGCAAAATATGTTTATATAGTGTTGGAACTATGTCCTTATGGAGATTTACAGCGTTTTCTGAAAAAACATTATGTTCAAAGGCTTTCAGAAAATGAAGGTAATTTTTTTTTCATTAGTTGATATTGTTAACAACAGGCAATAAAGTAATTGATTAAAAGTATTTAGGACATATTACTCTATTGTTTGATTGTTAATAAGGATACATAATTTCTGTTGATTTATCTATTTATTGTTAGAAAGTCGACTTGATATTTATCGTTTTCATTCTAAATAAATTTACTTTTTTAGCTGCCAGAATTATAAAACAAGTTGCGGAAGGATTACTCTATTTGCACGATAGAAATATGGTTCATAGAGATATCTCACCTTCTAATTTATTATTGACTGCAGAAATGCAAGTGGTAGGTGCAAAACTATTTATGACATAAACATACAATTTAACAAATTTTTTTAATCATTCAAAATCTTATTTTTTATAGAAAATAGCAGACTTTGGATTAGCAAAATTGATGAAACCTAATCAAAATAATATGACTATGTGCGGTACACCCAATTATATTGCACCTGAGGTAACGTTAATTTTCTTTTCTTTACTTAATTTTATTTAAATAACAAAAATATTAATATGACAAAAATTAAAATAGGTTGCGACAAAATCATCACATGGTCCTAAAGCAGATTTGTGGAGCTTAGGATGTTTGTTGTATACTTTACTAGTTGGTAAAGCTCCATTTGACAGTGGAGGTGTAAGAAGTACTTTGGCTCTTATTGCTAAGGGTTACTATAATTTACCTTCTTATTTGTCTGACAGCGCAAAAGATTTAATTAGCCGTTTACTACAAAAAGAACCACACCATCGAATTGAATTACGTGATATTTTAAAGCATTCTTTTATTACATCTATAGAAAAAAAATATCAAGTAAGTATTCTTATTGACTATTTGATATTATTTATGACTATTTTAAATGTAAACTTGTTTAATATTTTTAGGAAAAAATGTTAATGAGCAGAGCATTGTCACGAGATAGAATGGCTGATTCAGGGCTGGGTAAAACAATGTCTTCAGTAGATCGAATGGTTCGAGGTCGCTCTCGTTCAGAAGAGCGCGCTTCGATGTTACCATCGTCGTATAACCCTTTAGCACCACATTTTACCGTCAGAAGTGATCCTGTAACTGATAGAAACAATTGCCAGAATAACTTTGCTTATCAAAATAAGCGAAATGATTATTCTCATGAGCAGACTTCGGTACGATCAGCAGGCATTCCACCATCTCGTAGTCGGGTATTTTCACGAACCTCACACACCAGCGTCGACGATATTAATTGTCAAAGGAATGATAAACAAAAGTATCGAGAGCAAGCCGGTGACTATCTTAAAGATCAAGATGTTAATGTAAAATTACAAACACCACCATTAAATTCTAAAAGACTGCTACCGACAAGACATCGTACGAAAAATGTTATTCTCACAATTCTTGATAACGGAGAAGTTTGTCTTGAATTTATAAAAAGGAAAAATAATAATTTGGTAATGTTTTATTATTTTTATTTAATATTTATGTTTGTAATTCATCTTTTTATTAATTATTATAATTAAAATTATACCAAAAATAGGAACGCATTGGTGAAGTTTGTAGGATATCAAGTGATGGCTTACAAATTATTTTATATAAATTACGAGACTCCAGAGAAATTGATGATAAACCACCTCCAGTACCTGCTCATGACGCTGATATTTATTCATATGAAAATTTACCTTCCCGGCATCACAGGAAATACGTTTATGCTACAAGATTTGTTAACCTCGTTAAAGCAAAAACACCTAAAATAACTTTATACAATGAACGTGCAAAAATTCATTATATGGAAAATGGGCCACGCCCAGATTGTGAAGTCCATTTTTACAATGGTATTAAAGTTACTTGTGTTGATAAAATAATAAAAATAACAGATTTAGTTGGTAACAGTTATAAAGAAGGAGAAATACCAGGTGAATTAGAAGAATATTATAAACATTATAAAAAATGTTATCAATATTGTTTATGCCTGGAAGCATCATTGAATACATTGGAATCAGCAACAGAAGAATCTTGTTTTCCTGTAATTATTGGACGAAGACCTTTATCTGCTGGAAATGTTTCTTCCCTACAAGGAAAAGAAAATGTGTTACGAGTAATCAATAGCCCACAAACTATAAATAATTCACCCGTGGTAAATAAGTTAATTTATTCATTCATCGTCTGTCAAATTCATTAAATTAATTTTATATCTTTTCTTTTAGATGCCGTCATTTGATTATTCTGTAATGTCTGGAGTAACGTTGAAATCTAAAAGAACAACTTCTAATCGCTCAATACAGTATGATTATAAAAAAGAATACATTCCCGGTATTGGAAATGGAATCCAATTACCGAACGGAGATATTAAAATAGAATATGAAGATGGATCTACTTTAACAGTTTTCCCGAAAAGCCAGGGTAATGAAATATTGTATGAAAGAAATAATGGTATGATAAGTAAATATTCAACAAATCAACATAAAAAACTTCAAATACCTTATGAAGTACAAAAGAAGCTACGACGAGATTTGCCGGAAGTAATTTCTCATTTTGTACAATCAAGCCATCGGAATATAAGATGAGTTCTTTTTTTCTTTTTTTAACAAATTGAATGACAATAATCGTTGTAATAAATTTTAAATATTATTTTTAATGTTAGCTATCAAGAGCAGAGATTGCATATAAATAGTATAATAAAAGACTAAAATCGAGTAATTGATTTTTAAGTCACATTTAAATTAGTATTTTTCAATTAAATGTCTAACTAAATGATTTTATTATAATTAAAATAATTATTTTTATAATATTTTAATGTAAATTATAAATATTTAATCGATATAAATTTAAAAAGTAGTTAAATAAATTTAATTGAAGTATTGTAAATTAAAATAAATGAATTTATAGTATCTAACTTCAATAAATATTTTAATAAAAATAATACATCTGCAATAAATTAATTCATTGACCTCATCCCAACAATCTGTGTCAATTTCCATAATTATTGTTTTACTTCTCACGTTTTTGCTTTCAAACAACTCATTTCTAACAGAAATAATTCTGTGTAGTAAAATTAGATATTAAATATTATACGTGTAATTAAAGTATATTGAGTACATTATTTCATTCATCTGTGTGCAGAATAAAGTATATACTCATCGTCATTATTTAAAAAAAATTATTTCTCTCGAGCCTTTCACTTGTCCCATTAGAGTTACATACAATGTACAGAAAACCACTGTACTCCTGTACATTTACATTGGAAGTAAAAACCTGAGCCGTTATAACCTTTTCGCCATGTTGAATTCACTCACTTGTTCCATAACGCTCAAAAGTATCCATAACGTCACAAATTGACGTAAATAAACAATAAACTATAAATATTATTTATTCTGTTTCATCAGTACTCATAACAATAAAAATGATAACTAGCAACAATAATAATAATAATAGTAAAAATTAAAAATCTGTCATAGATAAATAAAAAAAAATTATTATTCTTACCCCATAAAAATAAGCGTCATGAAGATCTAATTGTAATAAAAAAATATAAAAAAAGTGACGTGACCGAATCTGTTAATAAGCAAGCCTATGTGGGATGTTATATTATATCTATGAGACATTTGAGTGTACGTCAATTATATGTTTAATTGTTTAAGCTGAAGGTACAGTTAGTGAAATCATAATCTCACTGAAGTACGCACTTGATAGAAGGAGCACACCCATTCCAAATAACCTGTAACCAACTACTCACTGTTCAACAATATACATTAAAGATGGGTAAGTCTATTATTTTTTATATAAATTATCCCACTTATACTTTCAATTAAATAAAAAATAAGTATATGGTGATAAGATGTTTGGTACAATTATGGAGTGATGATGATATTGTCATATAAAACTGATTCTTCCGTGATCTAATCTTATCTTAAGTCAATTAGATATCATTGATGTTAGTCATGATTCAGTTATTTTTTTGTGGCTTTTATTAAATTTGATGTTTAAAAATAACAAAGTCATACTATCATTTAAAAGTGAAAGTTTAAAATTTTAATTATTTTATAGTATAATTTACTGTAATTGTATCTAAAGCAATGACAACAAATAGCAGGTTTAGAAGATGTTGTTCAGATAGTGGTGCAGTTGTCATTCCACTAAACAAAAGAACTGTTAGTAATATTAGTGTTGATAGATATTCTGAAAGAAGTATTCATGATGAATATTTAGATGATAAACCTTACAGTGAGTTTATTAGATCTAATTAAATAACATTTATATTCATGAGGAGGAAGCACTTGTATACGTGTTCATTCATTAGGTTAAAGCAACGTTCAAAAATTATTACTCATGCTTTTATCATGTGCATTGTTTACTAATGGATTTATGTTTCTATTTAAAAAAATTTAAATAACTGCTAATTAATTGAAATAACTCAACTTGGGTTTTAATATTTAAATCTGTATTTTTTATTATTTTTTAGGAAACATGTGTAACGACTGTATGACCAGAGTACCGTATGCAACACTCATTGCAACAATTATGTGTTGCTTGGGTGTTGGAATATTTTGCGGTACCATGTACCGGGGAGCTACACTGACTGCTTTACTGATGAATCAGGTATTAAATAATTTCTTAATAAAGTTAATATAATTAAAAAAAATTTTTTCATTTATTAGTTTATTGATCATGTGATTATTGTTTGTTAAAGGTTTTCAACTTAAGACTTAGCTGGCTTGAAGCATTACAATTAATTTTTGCATCAATTGGTGCATGTATGGCTGCATTAGGATTCATGATACTTTGCGTTGGTTGTCTTGCAACGGGAGCAACAAGACACAAAGTCTATCGAGCTTGGAGTACACGTGTTGGTGGTCGTATCTCATGTGCTGTGGTAATTAATTCATTTTTCAATATTAATACCGAGATAATATTAATAAGGTATAATTTACTATTTTATGCGCTAATTTAAACAATTTTTTTAGTTCATGGTCATCACTTACATACTCCAATTTGCTTGGCTGTTAATTTTTGCATTCTTAGTCATTACGACATTTGTATTCACAATATTTTGGGGTCTTTGTGAAAATCCGCGTGTTGGATCTCATACCGATTGTATTGACTTTAATCAATTTAGTGAGTTTTTTCAATCATTAATTTTTTTTTTTTAATTAAATTAAATTAACTATAAAAACATATCTTAATTAATGAATTATTTTAGGTTTTATGTTCCCTAACTATACGAGGAATGAAGATATGAAAATATGTGGACCACAGGAAGTGAAATTATTCTGCAAAGATTATGTAGAGAAAGCTGAAGTGATGTTTATTTTAGCAACAGTGGCTTCCATATTGGTAGTACTTAGTCTTATTCATTATTTAATGTGTCTATCAGCAAACTATGCACACATTCGTGATCATGAAAAATTTCAAGAGCTACAAGAACTTCAGTACCTACAAGACCCCGGCGATGGTGATTCTCCTCAACATGGTATGGATACTTTGAGCTCTCATCATCATAGCAAAGATAGATTCTAGGATACGGCCCGCGAGATCTTCTCTCTGAGCTCCAATTAAATGTCTCCCCATTTCTTCTGCTTAAATATGAAAAAAAAATATAGGTATATATATACATAATATCTTATTGTATTGTGTAATGTGAGGTCTACCGTTAATTGCTTACTCTATCGTTAATACTAAATTTTTAAACTGGAAGATCTTGCGGGAAATTTATGCCGTCCATTATTCTAATAAAAAAAAAAAAAAAAATCAGTTGGCAGTCAAATTTCTTTACAAAATGTAAAGAGCAATCTATGACATATCTATATTTGTTTTGTTTATTATTTAAGGATTTTGGCTGCTTACATACTGCTTTAAATGAAATGTTTTATATAGTTTAGTATAGTATTAATTATTTTAATCATTTTACATGCTAAACGTATTTCCGTTTTTTATCATACCTATTCATTACTAAGTATTATATGTGTATTGTTTATAACATTCCACAATTTAGAAATTTATATTAGTTGAATTCACTTTTTTAATCTTATATATTTAATTACTTAATTGTACAATGAATTTTTATTTAAAATTCATTTTTTATAAAGCATGAAAATTTGTAAAAAAAAACGCGTATCAATTGTACGTATAGTAGTAAATTATTTTATATTTAAATCATAAAATTTTAGTTACGCCTAATTTGTAAATTGATATGTCGTTTATTAATGAAGTAAACATTATTTTACTGACTCTCAATTAAAATTAGTTCGTATAAATAATGAAATTGGGAGTAAAGACTAATAATTTGTTAGTTTTGTCGGAGTAATAAACAATTAATAGCAAGTATTAAATCAAAGTTATCAGAAATTAAAGAAATAAATTTATAAAACAAATTAAAATTATTTTTTTAGAGCTTGAATTTTAAAAATATATATCTAGAGATGAAATTATTTATTGTATATGAAGTAAAATCGGATATAAAATTTCGTCAAATTAAATTAGCCTTCCTATTAAATTTTATCTATATAAATAAAATTATTTATTCTATTCTATCAATTAACATAAAATATGTACAATCAAAAAAATTTTTAGCACAATGATTCAAAGTATTTACAAAATTTTCGAGTCTTATATATAGTTCTTTTATATTTATACATCTATCTATGAATACTATACAATATTATATATACATGATTATATTATTATATCATTTTTCTATATATTTACAGTGCAAATACTACTGCGATACTTTTTATTCAGTATATTTACGATACAGATGATTTTTTATAATTATATATTTCATTTATTCATAGAATTTATTTTCGTAGACTTTAAAACAAATTTCACGTCGATATATGGTACTAAAGTTTTTTATATTTTCAGAGTTTATTAAAACCTGATTACTTTTTAACGTAAATTTTTTTGTGACTATTTTGTTTTAACATTTAGCTAATTATTTGTGACTGGTTTATTTTTATAAATCAGGTAGAAGTACCGTTTGTGGCCACTTAACGTTTAAATTACTTAAATGAATGATTTTACAAAAAACAGAAACTATAAATCAGATTGAAATGATAGTAAGGGAAGAGATAAATAATTTTTTTTTTTTTTTATAAATTAAATTGAAATTAATAAGATCAATAAGAGTACAAGAGTAATTAGAAGTGATACTTTTACTGTATAATGCATAAATATAATTTGTTTTGGTTTGATTTTTTTTTATAAACTGCCGATTACAAAATGTAAGATTTAAGTTAGGATTCGAGTACAGAGATTAAATGTAATTTAATTGTTTTTGTATTAATAAAACAAAATCATGTTCACTACAAGAAATTTTAAGTTTAAATTTATATTTTTAATAATTAAAATATAAATTCTTGATGGAAGTAATTAATGCTCATTTTAATCCACAGTAAATATTTTAAATTATCGTGCCAAATTGTCGATATTGAACTACAAAAAAGCCTAATAGTGATAATAAAAAAAATGGATAAAAAAAAATAATTAAGCTATATACTTAATAATACAGAGAAAGTCTTAAAGTCTATCTAAAAAAAAATATTACAAATTATATGTACTCTAATAAAGTACTTTTTATTCATGTCAGCTCAAAAGAGAATTTTAATGTTAAAAATTAAAAGAGCTTTAAATAAACACAAATATTCATTCATATTAATGTAGAATACACATTTAAACAGATTTACATACTATATTGCATATTTTAAAATCTATAGAACTATTTAGAGATTTCAAATGTTATATATTGATAGATTATCTTACATTACAAGTCGTTCAAATGTAGTAAAGTTTAAATAAAAGTTAAATAACACATAAATATCTTTGCGTATTTAAAAACTGCTAAATTTTAAAGTTATTGAAGAAAAATTACTCAATTTATCTACTGCAATAATAATAGCTATATAATGAATTTAATAATGTTAAATGAAACGATCCAATTGTTTTATGTCAAATCTTAACAATGATTAAGAAAAATTGTATCTTCAAACCTATAGAAAAAATTAATAAAGCCAAATATTCGAGTGAATATTACAAGTTGTTTATTATTTATTACATTATCATAGTTATAATTATTATATTCGTAATTATTGTAGTTATATGTACAAGATTGAAATACAAAGCAGGTTTTATTATTAGAATTTAATTATCAGTCATCTTCGTATTGAAGATCAAATTCCAAATCTAACGCATTTACTTCTTGAAGTGTATTTATAAATGTATAACGTGAAAATGTCATGTACAACTTACGAAACCATACATATTGAGATTTATGAGCCTTCATTGCAGACTAAAAATTTTAATTTTTGTCAATTAATAATTGAATTTTATTTTAATAATTCTTTACTCACTTGTATCGTTCGACGCTGCTCATAATTGACTAAATACCAATAAGAAGACGTTAATAAACTAATCGGCAAGTCTAGTAGCTGTACGTATTTCCTTAAAATATTTACAGATTCAAGAATATAAAGTTTACAATCTAAAAAAATAAAATGAATTAATATTATTGTTTAGTAAGGTAAATAAATATATGTACTAATTGTGAATCGCCTACTTACACGAAGGAATTTTCTTTTCTATGCATAAAGAAGCAATGGCATAATACAATGAAATATGATTTTTATGACCACTCACACCACGCTTATCGAAAGTAACTACAGCATTCATTTTATATGTTTCTATATAATGTAAAATATTTTCGGAAATAATACTTCCGGGCCATTGTACTTTGGGATTATCAGGTAACTCTGAATTTCTGCAATATTTAAATGGCATCATTATTTTTTAAATATATAAACAATAATTTATTGACTTAATTATTTATAATTGTATTTCCTAAAAATCATCGCTATTAACAACTACTCCTTAGGTATTTTTTGCGCAACATTATCCAGCTTTTTACAGATTGTAATAAGCAACTAAATGTAGATTGTCAACAGTTTATAAACAATTCTAATATTGTTAAATCAATTAATTTATATAAACAACTATTGTGATACTGAAATTGAGACATCAAATAATTTTTAGAAATTTTTTAACTAATAAATTATAGTAAGAAGAATTTATTTTAAAAATTACATCTTTAGAGGCTCTAAAAAAAAAAGATGTGCAATTTTTTAAAAATAATTTTTTACTCCTAGAGTAAAAGATCCCACTAGTGGTGGGGATCCCATTACTGACGCTTTTTTTGATTTTGATATCTATTCAATTAATGAAATCATTAATTTCTATTATGAATGTATTATTTCTAATCTTTAAAACCTTTTTCATTGAAAGAAAAAATGCCACTAATAGGATCTTTTACCTTAGTTTATTTATTATACTTGAGTTTATTTTTAGACTTTTTTATTATTCAAAAAAAGTCAAAAAATGATCAAGTGTTTGCTAATTTCAATCTCATAAACTATTTTATCTATATTGCAGGTATGATGGCAATAATTTCAAAGAGTATTACATTAATGCTTACATTATTATAGTGATGTTAGCCTCTGGTATACCTATAATTTTAGCAGAAGCCCATAACTCCTCTTTTCTTCTTCTATGTCCACCTATAAACACACTTACATATATTGATAGACACATTGCCTGGTATTTAATCCAGATATTATTATCAATAACAATGACAAAAAAAAATAATTTTAACAAAATAATAATAAGTACCATTAGTGAAGCATAATAAGTAAACATTAGTAGTTTTAAATTTACTTAGCCAGTAAATCATAGGTCCAAAGAACATCACTTCATCGTCAGGATGTGCTGTTACAAATAGAATTTTTGATGGTGGTCCTGGTAATTGCCATGCTTGATGATTAACTCTTTTCAAAATTATATAGAGTAGGATGCAAACCAAGAGATATGCAATCAATGTAATTATTATTTGCCACGTTATTTCTCTTATGTACCACGACCACCATTGCCCAATTTCATTGATTTGTTCTTTGATAAAACGCTTTGGTGATTTAATATCAAACATTTTTTTTTTTATTTTTTTAATATCACCGATCCCTTGAATTTTTTTTCACAAATTACCTGGTACCGTCATTGCTTTTTTAATGGGGAATATTTTTTTACTATCCGAGGCTAATTCAATCATTTAATTTTATATATAATCAGATATAACAAATATATAAATATATTGTAGGTTATTTTACATCAGACCAGGAGTTGATTGAGTTGATTACACACTTGGCTCTGATGATAAAAACTATGCACTATATATCGACTAATTCAAACTCGTCATAAATATATATAATATATATACTTACTTATAATAGACACTTACATATGAGTATTAACTTAATAATTGCTAAATTATTCCAACATATATTTATAGCATTATAATATTGTTTTTATTGATTTGTTGTATAATATTCAAATTGCACAATACTTCTTGAATAAATTAGAGCAAAAAAACTCTTTATAATACTTATACTTATTGATAAATTTATGAAAATCTCTTAAAAAAATAATTAGTATTGGTAAAAGTAAAAAAAAGCATCTCAATTAAAAAATTATTATTTTACAAAAATCAAAATATTTTCTGATAATTATACATATTCTTAAAAACTATTTATATTTGGAGTAAGTTCGAACTTATTAAACTTCAACAAATTTGTTTGACCAGATTAGGCCTTTAGATATGTAATAGTATAGTTTTTTTTTTTAACAAAGAAATTATTTAAAACTTAATATTTAATTAAAACTAATCTTATAAATTATAAAACATATTAGTTAAAAATATCTTGATATTGTCAAAAATAGTGATTTTATAAATAAAAATCATACCTAGATTATTATTTTTTACTCATAGTATAACTCCACGTATTGTCGTCACAAACATACATGTGTTTTTTACTTAAATCTTATAAATATAATTTTTATTATATTAAAATATACTTCGGCATAGATATTAATGAATGATTTCTAATTACATATATCTTCAAAATTACCATCATAATGTAAGATAATAAAATATCATATATAATTGTTTATTTTGCAAATGATTATTATTGCCTGTATATTTATTTTTAATTTAAATTTGAAGAATTAATCTTTTGAGATCTTTTTACAACTAAATAATTCAATTATTTTTTTAAATGTAATATCAAATATTAATTATGATACATTTAATTAATTTTTTTCCTCCTTATTATGCTCTAATTGACATGATAAATATTATTAAATATATTCAATTAAGTTGTTAAAATTTTTTTCAGCTACATCAAATATTGTTTTAAAATATTATTTTCATCTCAAATCATTATATTGTGTTGCGTAATTTTATCGTTGACATTATTAAAAATGTATTAAAGAATCTTTTATAATTAATTATATTTTAACTAACTACAATATCATTCACCTTACTTTAGTTGAAAATAATTAACTTACTTATGAATTATTAAATCACATGCATAAATGCAATATACATATACAAACATATATGTGCACGTATACACAAATTTAATATCTATTATAATTTATATGTACAATACAAAACTTTGATAGTTTTTTAATCACCTTTTATTTACGAATTATTGAATTTACTTTACTTAGTTGGATAACATAAAGTAAAGAACAACAAATTATTCCATTATGAATAAACTCCAATACTGTTATTATAAAAATTACTCCATATGTGTACGATTAAATATCAATAAAACAGTTTTTAGATATTACTTTTAACATATTATGAAATCTTTCCGTGTCTACAATTATATCAGATGTTAGTTATATTTATAAGTTTCGAAGAAATCATTTTGTATAATTAAAAACACTTTAAGAAGATATTCCATCAACGATATAGTTGCAAAACTATTTCATTTTTTTATTGATAATTTTTAATTTATTTATAATTAATATATATTCTATCTTCAGATCCAATATTTATTTAGGTAATAATTTTTGTTTATATTAATTCGAAATAATCTTTGATTTAATAGTGTCCTCTACCATTGTAATATATAGTAGTTTCGTAAATATCATCACAACAATGAAAAGATCCAATATACACTCATATTTTCTCGATAACACAGTTTCTGTTACAATTGTTACAATTAAAAAATATTTGTTTATCACGGCTAAAATATTTTGTAACTCTTTATTTCTGTACTTGAAACTAACTCTTTTTTTTTTTTTTTTTTTTTTTTTTTTTTTAAAAATAAAAATTCAGTTTTTTATTAAAAAAAAAAAAAAACAATGTATCATTGCAATTAAATTCAATTAACTTGTTTTTATAAAATTTACCGTTTTCTCTAATTCTTAAACATTATATTTTTGGTCCTTAATAAAAAATATTGCTACCCATTGCAGTAAAAATGCTGATTTTTTATTAGAACACTATATTTGCATAAAATATTGATGTTTTCAATGTTAAAATATGTCAATCTTTACGTTATTTTTGATACTCAAATATCCAAAATGCGATGTCAAATGCAATGTCTCCAGTACACTCTTTTAAATTAACCTTATCAAAAATAATCTATGCATCGCTTATTTTGACAGACAGATAGCTTAAGCTAATTCATCAGTACGTTTTCTCTCTTCTTCAACTCGTTGTCTAGTACGATTAAAGGCATCGGTTTTCAAAAAATCCACAGTTTTATAAACAGTAGTATTAGGCGGCGATTGAGCCGGCGGTAATGTTGATGAAGCAAAACTTTCAGAAGCTTCTAAATCAAGATCTAAGTATTGTAAAACTACTAGTCTTCGATTTGAAGCCGGTATAAAAGTGTTATTATCCTGATAATAGTAAATCTGTTGTCACGTTAAAATAAGACAAAAAAATAAATTAACTGATTATAAAATGAAATAAATAATTTAAAATGATTTACTGACCTCCTCTTTATCATCGACAATATTGTTATCTTCGTCTGATGTCGAACAATGTCGTGTACTGTGTCCGTGAGCATGTGGCGTAGGGCTGGGAGCTGCTCGCAATTTATTTTTACCAGGTGGTGAAGCCAATTGGAGTGGTCCTGTTTTGATAAACAAGGAAATAATTCGATAAATTATTAGGTATAAATTTATAGTTTTTAAAAACGTATGATATGTGTCTCACCCTCAGTAGGGAGTTTGGTTAACGGGGGTTTCAATTTCCGATTAATGCGTGGTGGTTCACTAGCTAAATGATCAGAAGGACTCATTTCTGGAGCAGATAAATTAGGACCAGGCGATGGTTCATTACTAATAATAGAAGTTGTATCACTCGTTTTTCTTCCAGGTTTTAATTCTCGGTAAACGACAGGCGGTGGAAGAACAACAGTTGATGATACACTACTCGAAGAATCTCTTATTAGTGGACTTGGCAAATTAGAATAAGTTGCAGTGGTTGAGCTCTCAGAACGAGGACTGGATGGTTCATCATCATTAAAATCATATCTAAATATACGATCGTCAACAGAAGATGGTGCAGCATTACTATAACAATGCCTAGGTGTCCGCCCGGTTGTAGAGGTATCAGTACTAGTTATACTTGGAGTACCTATTTGATGAGAGCGCGGAAAATCATATGTTTCATCAGAGATTATTGCTGTTGCTGGTGTCGATGGTGCGGGTGTTGCTGGTGTTGTTGGTTTAGAACTTTCAGTAGCACCATCTAAGTTCAAATAATTATGTCCAATATTTTCTAATGTCATGTGAGATGGTTTTGGTGGTCGAGGCGGAGCCCGAACTGACTCATCAGCTGTAGGTGTGGCGGAATCAACAATTTTAAATTTACCAAAACGTTTGCTCACACTCCATGAACAAATTTTTGGATCACTCAAATTCTGAGGAAGTTTTGAATCGCCAGAAGAGGGAAAAGTTTCCCAATTGACACTCGGAATCGGTGTTGTCCATTCGTCATCAGTGAAAACACTTTCTGCATCTGTTGTAATTGGCGATCTTGATGGAGATGGAGCGAGTCTTCGAGGAGCGTCGTAGTGTTCAGGACCATGACTTATAGCTGAACTTAGAGAGCTAGTATCATTTAAACGTCGACCGGAAATACATTCACTGATGGGAATGTAAGGGCCTGATATGGTACTTGTAGGTGATATGGGCGGTGATTCTTGCGACTCAAAGTGGAATACTAAAAAGTCAATTTTTATTATTAATACAAATAATAAAATTGTTGATTAATTATAGGGTAGAAGTACCGTTTGTGGCCACTGTACCGTTTATGGCCATTTATTGTTCAAATAAACGATAGAAATGAATTTAAATTATTAAACCATTATAAACTTAATTTGTTTTAATATAAATTTTTTAAAACTAAACAAAAATATTGACGTTCTAATTAGCAAATTGTCTAACTCAATTTTAGAGAATCTTCCATTTCTACGAAAAAAACAATTAGTTCAAAGTTTATTATGACTTTAAAAATCCATTTAATATTATTAATATCTAATAGAGATATAATATTTTGAATCATTCAAATAATTTATAATTGGGCTATTGCTACATCAAAATGTTAAAAAATCATCCTCTAAAAAATAAGGAGTTAGACAAATTACTAATTAGACCGTCGATATGGTTATATTATAATTTTTTTTATAAATTAATTCAAATATTAACTGGCCAAAAACGGTACTTCTACTTTATATTAAATTTAATTATGAATTTCATACGTTGTTGTTCTTCATCCTGAGTATATGCTTTTAATCCACAAACTTGACATATTGCATCTACCCATTTATTCATATCTGATTCACTCTCAGCCACCAAATAATAAATCCTCTTTGGTGTTTTCACGTTGAACATATATTGATATTTTTGTTTACGATTTTCAAATCGTAAACCAGCATCAACCTAATGTAACATTATGATAGTAACAAAATGTAGTATAAAATCACCATAAAAATAATAGAAATCATGGTTAACTTAAAAAGATGTTTTTTGCATTGTACAAAAAAATTTTTTACCTTATTTTTTTATATTAAATTTGAATTTTGGTCATTTAAATTATAAACTATACTCATACTTACGATATGAATGATTTGCTATAATTACCTGTTCACACTGATCAAGATCGATGTGTCCTTTGAGTTTTCGACATCTCTTATCTGTATAATATTCTAAAAAATATTGTCCTGGCAATTCACCGCTATGACGAAGAGCAAACCATCGTTTTCTCCACCTCTGAGGAGTAAAAAAAAAAAGTAATATATATGTAATTAGTTTAACTCTAATTGCATGATACGGATAAATGTGAGTATAATAAAAAAAAAAGTACACATAATAAGATAATTACCGCTCGCCAAAGTTTAGTAGGTGGCGATTTAATTAGCCATCCCTCGTGCACTATTTCTTGGGATGTTTTGAGCACTTCCATACCCGCTTTTGATTACTCACTTGCATTAAATTTGACCCGTATCTTGTCCTTTAGCCTGTGAATACCTAATTGATTGTGTATACGTCATTACACTGAACACCATAACGTTTATCTATTTTTGTCCAACGCATACCAACAAACTCATTGTTAACAAAAATAATATACACGCCCAACAATGTATATTATTAACTTTATCGTAATATGGTGAACAGTATTCACAGTCAAGATAATTTATTTTTCCCATTTGGGGAACGTTTAATGTCGTTTAATGATACAAAAAAGCTCCAACATGCTCAATCTTTTATGTGAAAATAAAAAAAGTCAAAACAGCGAATCAGAGCGACACCGTCAGGCATATACAAAAGATATATTTTTACTTTTTTTTATTTTTAGCTTATTACAACGCCATCTGTACTTCACGCGCCATTTTTTAAATCACAGAATGGTGTATCATTTTTTATGATATGAATATGTGCACGTATATCTATTACTACAGAAGGAACTTATTTTTATTTGTAGTATTACTATTTTTCAGTCTGCATAAAATAACTTAGCTCATAAATAAATAACTCTTCAGTGTACGTAAAGGTCTATTTTTTTAATTTTTTTGATAATTTGAAATTGCTTTGAATCTTGACCCCACTTATTGTTTTTTAAATTAACCATAACACTAAAGTCTAGTTTCAAAAATGAAAAACAACTGACATTTGATTAAAATTTTTCAAATTGTACTTCTGGATCTAAATTTTTTAAATGATATGTAAGTCGACATAAATTCAAAAAATGTTTTTCTAATAATATGTATATTGCAGAAATTGATTGTTGATTTTTAAGTTTTGTAAATATTTTCAGAAAGTGATGTGTATTATGAGGGAAACACTAGTTTTTTTTATACAGTTCTGAGTATTATACTTTTCATAAATAGATATTCTTAATTCAAAACATATATTTATCAATTTTTCAACTTTATCACAGAGTTCATCAATAAGTCATAAAGTAATAAATTTTTATTTAAATAAATAAGTCTTACTTAATTATAATTATTTGTGAAAATTCAATATGTAGTTCACAATACTGTAATTTAATGATACCTAGTTTTTACCTGTGTCTTGAATGAAATTTATTTTTAAAAATCGTAAGTTTGTAATTTTAATACACGAATCGTTTTACATTCGAGCTAGATCGGTTATCTTCGCCTCTATCCGCGTGTCTCTATATTTTCTATATGCTGTAAAACTTAACCTCGATGGTGTAATTTTCAATTTAAATATATACTCTTTAGATCATGAAGTATACATAAAATAAATAAAATAATAACATTCATTATTTAATTAGTTAATATTAAAATAAATAATTATAAAAATGACTAGTTTAATTTATCGTCAACTTTCTGTGTATAGAAATAAATTATCAGAGTAATTATTCATTCGTTTCAAATAACTAATAATATAATAAACATTAAAAATTGGTTTTAATAATATTTTCTTTCATTACAGGCAATGTAAATTTGTCGTATTAAATAGACTTATGTCGATGCACAAAGGTGCATATGAAGGAGAAGGCAAAACAACAGTTACAATTTTGAATAAAGATCCTGAGTATGGTTTAATGATTGATGGTGTTAGTTGTGTAAGTTTTATAATTTTTCTATTTTCAATTAGACCGCATATACTAACTCATTAATTTTTTTATTTATTAAGGTTCTTAAAAAAGAGTCACAGTAAATTAAAGATTATTTTTTTCATAATCTAAATATTTTTTAACTTGTCTAATTATTTATATTTTCATAAATTTATTTTTTTGAGTGATAGTTAAGTCAATACATTAAAAGACGAATTATTTGTTTGTAACAGGTCGGATTCAAATTAAATATTGGTATTACTGTGTTAGGAGCGATGATACTATTTCCAAGAACCGCGATTGGATGGGGTATTGGGTCCGCAAGTGATATTCATAAAGATTCATTAACAATATTTAAAACAATAATACCAAGACCAGATATCATAATACTTGGTTTAGATGATAACTACCCCCGTGATGCTCCATTCATTAAGGACTTTTGTAAAATTATCAAAGACTTAAATATCAACATGGAAGTTTTACCAATTATAAAGGCTTGTACGACATTTAATTTTCTAAACGCTGAAAAAAGGTATGTTGTGGGTGCATTCTTGCCACCAAGAGTTCTTGAGAGGCACGATACTCAGTTAATTGACGACGTTGCTATCCGAAGGGCATTCAGAATACCTGAAAAAGGGATCGATTAAAAAAGTATTTCTTTTTTTATTTTATTTTATTTTTTTTTTTTTAATAACTAATGTAAACTCTAGCTTAATTAAAGGAAAATGTAAATAACTTATACAACTGACTTTATTTTTATTTTTAAATTTCGGAAAACAATCCCATTATGTCGTTTAATTAAATAATTCAAACTATAAACTTTTTAATAGTAATTTAATTCAGACTTAAAATTAATACGATGATTTTTTAAATAAAAAATTTCTCTTTAATTCGTTAAAAGTTTAGTTTAAAAATACTATTTATTTAAAGCTATAATAAAAAAATTTTAATGATATTTAATAATATTCCATTACAATTTTAAATCATTTTTATACGCCTATATTGCGAATTTGTAAACAATAGTTACTGTTTATAAGTATCGCGTTTAAATAGACATTGATAAAAGTTGATTATTCATTTATTGCACCACTATCGTATAAGATGAACTTTATATAATTTATATGGCTAATGTGGCACATAATTATTTCTTACTATAAAAATACTAATATACAAAAAACCTATTTGACATTGCAAACAGGCTAAAAACAAAAATATATATTATCTACGGCTTATTAGGAGCGCTTCGAGGTCTTTTTATCGTCGTGTAGCGTATCAACATAAATCCAATGATGATTAATAGTCCTATGATACCAACTCCAATACCTAATTCAATACTAGTTAAATTGTTAACAGTATTAAGAGCTATTTCTCTTAAAGCAGCCGCTCCGTCAGGTGGTTCGCAAGGTGCTTGTACAATAATGTCTTGTCGTTGAACTTGTTTAGCTTTACAATTCGCTAACTTATTAAGTATTTCTGAACTATGAATCTCTGGTAATAAAACAGATAGTACCCACTCCATAGGACTGAGTTTTTGATACCAAAGTGGCAAATTTTCCAAGTGTAATGTTACACCACCGCCTAAGGTTATTTCACCAATTATTACGCCTGATATTAACGCTGCAACTCCGCTCCATTTGCAGATATGAGCAAAAAATGTGCATATTAAATGTTGTAACATAATATACAATAATCCATAAGCAAGATAATTCCAAAGGGATGTAAAATTATCATTGAGAGTTTCGTGAAGTCCAGCCATTGCAAAAGCAGGAATTAGATATGTTACGTAAACAAGGCACCATGAAGGAACACTACAAATAAGCTGAAAAAAAAAAAAAAATGAATTAATAATGAATCAATATTAATTTTCTAATTTATTTATTATTAATAATTACCTCTATTATAATGTAGATAAAACGTCCGTACAGACCATGTTTTATATCACTTTCAACGTTGGGTCGTGCATTGACAACTTCACAAATTCCTATTAAACCAAGAGGCCAGAAAAAAATTCCAAAACTGGAGTAATATAATCCTATCCTATCTCTTAAATGCAAATTACTATCTGCAGCGACATTCCAAAATATTGCACCGAGGATAATACTCAATGATGCAGCTACAACTATTTTTTGAATAAGTCTCGTCATTGTCCATGGTTGGCTATATATGAGAGTTTTTAAAAGCAGAGCATATATTTGGACAAATACATTGGCATCGTATATAACAGGTGGTAGTGCCCCAGGCGGACTTGGATCACTTAGGCTTGGTAATCTTGACCTTGCTAGCTCTGCAAGGTGATCTATTCTTTGCGATGATTCCAGCATTGCTTCCGCTGATAAATCATCTAGCGTTACTAAGTCAACTGTGAAAGCGAGATTTTAAAGCATTTATTATTGTATTATTATATTATATTATATATTATAAATTTATTGACTAATATTTAAATTGAAAATTAAAAAAAAAAAAATAAACTTACGATAGTAATCTGATGGATTTTTGAAAGGTGGACAGGGAAACTCGGCCAGCGCAAAGTAAGGCAACATATCTCTTCTCGGACCAGAGTACATTATTCTACCGCCGGAGGTAAGAGCAACTCGAGAAACCATTGTGAGTATTTCATAAGTCGGCGGATGTAATGTCAAAACAACAAGCCTTTGTCCTCTAGTTGCCCAGTGTCTCAAGTACTCGACCAGAAAAAAAGCATCAAAAATATCAAGGCCATGTGTGGGTCTATCAAGGGTCAGTATATGTGCATCTTGAAGCAATCGACAAGCCAACGATAGTCTTCTTGCTTCGGAGGTCGTTAATGAATTTACTAAACAGTGTTTAGTAGCTTCTAGTCCCAATTCTTGTAATACTGCTTCAATTTCCATATCAGATGTCCTAGAACCGCCTTTAAGACACATATAAAAGCTGAGAACCTGTTGTGCCGTCAAACCAGGACTTAAACAACATTCTGCTGGTAAATAAGCGACTCTTGATCTTTAAAAAAGGAAAAAAAATGTGACAATTAATTAAAAAATTCAATTGATATAATACAATTATTTCATTGAATTGTGTACTATGCAATAGATATTACATAGTTGTATTATACTACTTAAATTAATTACCTGAGAGCACGCGAGGTCACTGGTCGCCCATTCAATAAAATATCTCCACGTTTTATATTGCGTTTACCTGAAATCGCTTCAATAATAGCTGTACCCTCTTTTTCAGTTGTTGCCATAACTGCAAGTACATCTGTAGCACCAGCCTCAAGTGTTATACCGCGAAGTAACGGCAAATTATCAGATGTAGATAATTCTAGTTCACGTAATTGTAGATGAGGATGCTGGAGTGATGGGATTCTTCTTAATCCTGCACCTAAGTAGCTTTCAAGTCCTGAATGACTTGGTACTTGGCCTCCCAACACTGCTTGTCCATATCCTGGATCAATTGGCGCTATACTGTGACGTCTATTTGGTCGTCCAGTTTGTAAAAGATTAGCTTCACTTACACTTCTCAGTCTTGGGTGATCTTTTACTATCAATTGAGAGTGAGCTTGTTCCCGAGGCGCCACATGAACCTGTCGGAAATCAGGATCACTTCGAGCAGATCTTATGGCAGAGCTTGATTGTGGTGGCAGTCCACTGTGGGATACTTTTCTACCTTCTTCACTGGAGTCATATCCACTGGAGCCATCTTTAGCTCGCGAAGGGGGAAGTACGCGTGGCAGTCCAAATTTTAAATATGTGTATGAATTGTTTGCCAATGGGCTCTTGGGTCCATACCGTGGATGTCTGAGAATACTTTGCACAGTCGAATCACGAAGTTGAAAATTACCGTAAGGCAGAGGTGATTTTTCGGCTGAGCCAAGAGCCGAATCCGTAAAGTCAGAGTTTAAATTTTGTCTGCATTAAAATAAAAATAATTAATTATAATATTTTTTACATATATTGATTTCAAATTTTCATACCTGTAGATTGACCAGGCATGAAGATCTTCACTTGCTGGTGGTTCAAGTCCTCGTGTATCAAGTACTCCAGGGACTGAGTATCTTCTTTCGAGTTCCCAAGCCTCCGATGTCATTGTCTCGGATTACTTGGAATAAAAAAATCTTAAATTACTATTTAATGTTTTAAATGTTTAAAAAAGAATTATTGAAGAAGAGAACAAGTTAAATTTGCATTTCAAATGTAACTTTGTTTTATTTGAATACATTAATAAAAACGTAGCTGATGGTTAACATCGAAGAGATAAAATAAAATGGTAATGGATATGAATAACAGGAAAAATTACTGCAATACCTAGCTTCTTTTACTATACTATCCTAGATAGTGAATATAACGCTATTGATCTTAAATCATGAATTTCTAGTTGCAAATTTACTACCCGACATTCCAGAACGATTTGCAAACACGTTTTCCCAGTACCTGTTTTAAATTTTTCACTCAAATATTTTTAACAAAAAAGACCACCTGGGTATCAATGCTTAACTATTTTTATTTCTCTTCCTTTACAATTAAGTCAACCGGAAGAATTCGTTTATACATAAAAGATAAATCAACTTACTCATCCACCTGACTTTTACACACTCGATAAAATCATTTATTTTTTATTTAAAAAAAAGATTAAATAGCTTGTAAAAAATAATACTATGCACGTGACACGTGTTTACAATACGAAGAAAGAAATTGTAAATAAAGTTAAAAAAAATGACGATGAAATTCCTCACAGCATCTCACTTAACGGTTTTTTGTGAATGGCCTAAAAATTATCGTGAGCAGCTGTTCATTACTGTTGATTTTAATAGCTGCGCATCGTTAATCTGAGAAAATACACTCATTTTATTTAATTTGTATTAATAAAATTTCCTATAAAAAACAATTATGCGATGGCTGATGAGGCATAAACAAGTATGCGGGTGAAGCAATCGGAATACGATATGAAGATCATCATTTTCAAGGTAAAAATGCTGATCTGCACATGTGTTAAGAATAGGAGTATGTCAAGGTGTCATGTATATCTGAATTTTTTTTTTTTTTTTCATTTTTTATGTTTCATAAATTTCACCATCAGTTTTTTATTAAATTTCTTTACAAAAAATTTTACAAAGACAGTTAAATAATCATAATACTGAAGTTAGCTGAGATTTTTTATTTTTTTATTTTGCTTAATTTATTAAATTATAACTAAAAAATATTTTAAAAAAATTGCACTTATAGTTTTTGAAGTTTTTAACAAATGAAAAAAATTTTTTTTAATTTTTGTGTAATAATTTTTTAATAAAAAAAATCATAAAAATTTATTTATGAAAATTAAATTAGCTGACATTTGAAAATTTTGATAATTTATTTTATTGAAAAATAATTTTTAAGAAATTAAGACAAAAATTTTCACATGTAGAAAATTTTAAAAATTATCCGTGGAATTTTTTAAAAATAGTTTTTTAAGTCTAATTTTTAATTAAAAAAAAAAAAATCAAAAATTTTTTAGTGTCGGCTAACTTAATTTTCATCTTTATTTTCATAAATAATCAAAATTCTCAATATTCATATTATCAAATTGCTGATGAATAACAATAAGAGTGTTATGAAATAGATTTTAAAAGAGACATCTTTAATAGACAATGTAAAATAAACAATATAAATAGGTCGAAATATAAACGAAACTAATTCAACACCTGCTGAGATAAAAAAAAAAAGTAAAACAAACTTCTACCCGCACGTGTTTAATCATCAAGTTAAAAAAGTATACAATAGTAGTATATATTCTATACTCGAAATAAAAGCTAAGACTTTCTAATTGTCATTTGAATTTTTTTTCTTCATTACACATAGCGTACCAAGAATATGGCATATATTTAAAAAAAATATAAATAGAATCCGGAAACGTGTTTCTGAAACTATGTGAATATCACGATACCGTTACCTTGTGGCGTCTGGAATCTCAGAACGTATCATAAACATAACGTATATCACATGAATATAAGTCATTAAGTATTTTACTTTTTTAGAAAAAAAAGAAAACCATTGATACTTATTCTCTAGTCACTCAATTACAGTAATTCTGTGTGTCTCAGTAGACTAGGAGCACCGGTAAAATGCATATGCAACGGAAAAGTAACATGGGTCTTTCTTGATGATAGTAGCCTTTACTATTTTTATATGAGAAAATAACTGTAAAATTAACATACTTAATATCAAATTAATATACTATTAAATGACATTTCTTGTGGAACCAATTGGAACATAAAATATTTACGAATTATTTCTTTGAATTATATCTAATTAAAAATATTATTGGAAAAGTTGTTGACAGTTGACTGATTTTTTTTCTAATTAATTTTTTATAAAAAGTTTAAGTACCGTTAAAATATATATATTTTTAATGGGACACAATCATTTTAATAAAACTATTTAATCGATTAAAAATAATTATGCAGAATAAAATTTTATATAACACATCATTAGAATATACTTTCTTTAACAAAAATAAATTTAGCAATTTAAATAAGATTATAAAATTACAAATTGCATTTCACTTTCAAATTAACATATTTAAATTTTTTATTACAATTAACCCTTGAGCTTCATGAAGTTATATCATTTGAAAACAAAAGAATAATGTTATCTTTAATTTGATAAAATTATCACTTATTGTTAAAATGAAGAAATAAATTGCTGTACATTGAAGTTTCATTTTCTTTTGGGCATTTATATTAGAATTTATCATAATATATATTCAATTTCTCTATAATAATATAATAAGATGTCGTTTACTTATAAACACGCGAAGAAAAGTCCCACGCACCGGTTTCCATGCATTTATATTATAAACATAAATTTCAACTTAACTAAATAGTTTAAGAAAAATTAATCACAAGTACACGTGCTTAGCTCTTATGCAGAAATTACTCCATGCTATGGTGACCCTAATTCTTGGAAATTCCAAGAAATTCCATTATATTTCTTAGAAATCGTGGAAACTATTCGTAAAAATCACACAGCGAAATAAATCTCTCTTTTGCGCGTCGCACATATAGTTAATATCACTTATAGTTAATTCATAAATTAGAGCGACTAAATAATTACTTCAAATAATATATACTTTACACTTCATTCAGAAAAATTTCTAAACTACTCGTCAAGTGCTTTAAGTAAAAGTAATTATCAATACTAACTATTATTACAATATTATGATAATTATAAATGATAATTTATATTCACTATTAATCTAAACGTTATCTGAATTGCAAATAGCCGCACACTTGCATGAAGGTCACTGTATGTCTTCAACGCCCTATCGCGTATATTCAAACGCCCCTCATAAATTTTTAAATTCTTCAACTAAAAATTCCGCTTCTAGTATTTATTGTTCAATAAATTATTAATACTACAGAAAAAAAAATTAATTTGAATCAAGAGAAAAATTCTTAAAACAAGAAAATAATTTTCAAGTAAAATTTACTTTAACCAAGAAGAATTTCTTAGTTTAAGAATTTTTTTACTCAAATCAAGAAGATAAAATTCTTTAAAATTATTTACTTGATTCAAGTTAATTTTTTTTCTGTGTATAGAATATTAATTATTATTATATGAAAATAAATTTAGCATGACATTAAAGTTAGCTGTCACTCGAAAATTTTTTAATTTTATTTAACAAAAAGATTTATTCCAAAAAATAATTAAGAAAAAATTGCATTTTTTATTTTTTTAAATTTCTAAATGTCAATTTTTTTTTCTTATTTTTTTTTGCCATAATTTATTTGTTATAAAATTTTTAAAATTATTAAATATGTGTTACATTAATTCTCATAAATTTAGCAGATAATTAATAAATTTTAGAATTTTTTTTTTAAATAATGGCAAAAAAATTAGAAAAAAAATTGACATGTAGAAATTTTAAAAAACAAAAAATGCAATTTTTTAAAAGTAATTTTTTTGAACAAATTTGTTTGTTAAAAAAATTAAAAAATTCTCTAGTGACTGCTAACTTTAATGTCATATATTATTATACATCTGACATAAATAATGAAAAATAAAAAAAAAAGTATCCGGTATCGATACATGAACGTGATCTTGATACATGATATATCCAGCGGATATCGATTTTAGGTGTTAATACAGAAGATATACAATACCCGTCGTGTGATATTATTCAAAAGAATTGTTTAGAAAGATTTACAATTAGTTGTAATTAAAAGGCGAGAGTCTCTTCCTGTGTCATGGCACGTAAGTTGATTGCAAAAAGTACTCTAATATATATATCTTCAATTACTAAAACTCTTTTTATATATGTATATATAACGGCGTAGACTACTGAATTATTTTTCCAGAATCAAGCAACCACAACGAAATGACCCAACGATGAACAATATACTCCTGGTAATGCAAGATAAAAATCATCCATAAATTAAATACATAAAATAATAATTTACCACTTAAGATTTTAAAAACTTAACAACTAATCAATTTAAATATATTATGTTATAGTGATAACTTGTTAAACAATTGGTGAATGAATAAATATGACTCACCCAATGAAAGTATTGTAACAATAATAATAAAAAATAACGATAATAATAATAATCACACTATTCTCATCTCATTAAATAAAACACCGGCAAAAGTGAGCCTTCATAGCTTCTCGTGCATTGAATGCGTATATGTTTGAATTATTAACTAATAAATGAGAACTCGCGATCGCCAACGCTTACTTTCAGAAATTAACTTAAAATTCGCGCATTATATTTTGCTTTTAAGTTAATTTTTATCAATACACTGGATAAATTAAGTAAATTATGTTTAGGGTGAGTAAAATTAATTTTAAAAACTGTTAATAAATTGTAACATTGTTAAAAGTCTGAAATTTTTAAAGTTAATTTCAGGAATCAGCGATTTTTTCCAACTCTAAAGTCAGAACGTTGCCACGCACTGCCACGGAAAGTCGATGGCTTCAAGGTATGGTACCCAGTGAAACTAACACAGGACCAAAGACCATACCAGCCAAAGTAACTTAACTAAACGTACGGTGTAGATGTATAAAATACATACACCTATAATGACAATAATAATAATGATGATGATGATAGTAATAATAATAACAATAATTCTTTTATTCTCTGGCTCTCTTTTACCAATGCACTTTAAATTCTTTACTACTCACTACTCCTCCTTCTTTTCAACCATCACCGCTACAAATACCCACAGACTACAATCCTACCACTAATCCTGTGTACCTCTACCTTTGTAAATTCCCCTACCTGTTGTACGTTTTTTAATAAGGGAAGACATTCACCTCTCTGGTATTACTGCTGGAGAACCACGGTGTGCTATGGTGAGCCACACGGTGCTGCTTACAAGAGCTGAAACAGTACAGTGTTAAAGTTTTAGTTTTATCCAGCGTTCTCCTGTATTTCAAGGTATCTTTGAATACTCACTTCCCCACCGACACGAATCGTCGCATCGCCACTACACCGTTTAGTTTAATTTTAACAAACTTTACAACTCATTCAGTATAAATACTACAGTTTGGTGTGGAAAAAATATTATTTTATTTTCTTCAATAATTCTAAGAAGAAAACGTACTCCAATAAGTCATACAATTGATTTATTTTAATAAAATCAATTATGAATTGATAAGAATTGAGGTAAGATCTTGATCTTCTTTCTAACTAATTAGTGTTTGAGTTTTTTAATTTATAAACCATAAAAACTAATTATTATCAATTAAAAAATTCGTTTTAAGTAATTAGTGTCTTTTAATAAACATGTCTTGACTTTTATCTCAAATGTATAATTTAGTGCTTAGAAATCATAAAGTGGTTAAATTTATAAATGTATACAATTATACTTTGATTATTATTATATAATTATAATTTTTTAACTACTATATTACTTACTTGACCTTCATTTTTATAAATTAATTAGATGTAAACAATAAATGTAAATAAAATTTTTAAATTTAACTTAAATTAATTGTTGATTTTTGTTTTACAGATTAAATTAATTTAAAAGATTATTAAAAAAAAAAATGAATGTACATGAGTGTATTTTGGATGTTTCCAATGTATCATATTCAACATCAGTTTTGATAGAAGGTGGAAGCTGTATATCAAAATCCGAGCCAACTGCAGTATTGAGAGATGTATCAGTTAAAGTTCATGGAGGTGAAGTTTTAGCAGTTTTGGGTTCTAAGGGCTCTGGAAAGCGAGCATTACTTGATGTCATCGGTATAAATTTAATAATTATTATTGTATGTATTTGATATTCTTATTAACTTAAAAAAAAAAATTGATTTTTACAGCTGGAAGAGCCAGAGGTGAGAAACGTGGAAGAATAACTCTTGGCGGAAGCTTGCTGACACACGAATTATTCCGACGTCATGGTGGATACGTAGCACATAGATGTTACTTATTACCAAGCCTAACGGTCCGTCAAACTTTAACTTATGCTACTTGGTTAGCCAATTTAAACAATCGCGAGCTTCGTGTTCGTCAAACGTTGGCTGACTTGGCGTTGTCTCAAGTAGCGAATAGATCAGTTAACGATCTTACAAAACCGGAATACCGTCGACTGATGTTAGGAGTCCAGCTTGCAAAAGATCCAATGCTTTTACTTCTTGATGAACCAACATGGGATACTGATCCACTGAACACTTACTTGATTGTATCAATGCTGTGGTCATACGCAACTAGACGTGGCTCAATTGTTGTATTGACAATGGAAACACCAAGATCAGATGTTTTACCTTTTGTTAGTCGAGTTACACTTTTGTGTCTTGGAGCTGTTGTTTACTCTGGGCCAACGAGAAGTATGTTGGATTACTTCACTTACATTGGATTTCCTTGCCCTGAATTGGAGAATCCATTGATGTATTATTGTAAGTTTAAACAATATAAATGCATTAATCAACTTTTGAAACACTTACCAACTGTGAATATTAATTACTACTCGTATTGTTTATTTTCAGTGTGCCTTTCAACAGTAGATCGTAGATCACGTGAAAGATTTTTAGAATCAAATCAACAGATATTAAATCTAGTTGAAAAATTTAAAATAGAGGGTAGCTTATATATTAAAGAAGCGCCACAGGGGTCTGCTAGTGTTAAAGAAACACCTGTTGGATATTTACATAAGGGACTGGGACGTGGTATTAAACCCGGATGTTTTTCTACACTTCTTGCTTTGTACTTGTAAGGACACAAGTTCATTATGAATCCTTTTTTTTTCTTTTTTGATTAATTCATTACAATTAATTTTTTTTTTGCAGAAGAGGAATGGCAGCAACTTTTTCGTTTAGTAAATCAGGCTTAGGACACTTTGCTGCGCGTCTTTTAATGTTACCATTCTGTATATCTCTATTAACAATTTTGTACTCAAACTCTAATCCGATGCAATCAAGAATATTTTTACAAGTAGGAGGTCTTGTATTCAATTGTTTGGTATTATTTTATATCGGTGGAATAGCTACAACTGCATTATTATGTGAGTAAAAGAAGATAACATTCAATACAATTAATTAAAAAGTTACCAAAAATATTTGGTATAATTTATTTATGAATGTATAATGTAAATTTGTTTTAGTTCCGGGATTTCGTGCAAGGTATTATCAAGAAAAAAGAGAAGGATTGTACGGAGGAGCGATGTTTTTATCTTCATACACGTTACTTAGTTTGCCACTGAGTTTTATTTCAACAATTATTTCTGTTGGGATTTTGGTACCTATATTGGAATTAGATGCAGTTTCATGGGCGTATGCTTCAGGAACTCTTTGGGCAAGTTTTGTAGCAGCGGAACAAATAGCGGTGGCATTTTTTATGGTTATTAAACGACCATTAACAGGAGCAATTACTGTACTATATGTAATTTTAATATTACTACTTGTTGGTTCGGGAGGAGTTCGCAGTCTTAGAAATTTACCCAATTGGTTGGCAACTATCTCAATAGCACTGCCTACAAAATACGCTTCATTAGCAATGAATCAACTCACTGTTGATATGCCGTCATTTTTGAATTTACCTTACAATGAAAGCTTATCATGTCCTGGTATACCTGGATTGTGTAGATATCCAGATGGTCGAGCGTATTTAGTTGAACGTTTTACACGGGAAGGGCAAAATATATCACAAGTATTAAATGTGGATCTTAATTTACTTATTTCGCTAGCTATTGCATTTGCATTAGTTATTTTTAACAGTATTATATATCTTGTACCCCTTCCAGCTAAAGTTAAAGCAAAATTTCGCGAATAATAAAAAACTTTATATGCGTTATACTTGCTTTTAAGTATTTAATTTATTTCATTGATCAAACTTATCATATTGTAGTTTTTATCATAAAAAAAAAAAAAAATTTATTTTATCATAAGTAATTATAATTATACATAATTAGGTCTGGTCAATTTTTGAATTTGATCATATGTAAAATCATTTTAATATCCAGAGGATATGACAATTAGAAGTATATATAATAAATATAAATAATTTCTGCTAGAGTTTTATTTTATTTTTTGATAAATTAACTTGTATCATTTTGTTATATTAATTCAATATTTATTAATTTTTTTTTAACTTCTTGCTAAGAACTTATAGAAAATTTTTTTTAAAATTGAGAAGATATTTTTTTTATAGATGAAATTAAAAAATAACAATATTTTATTTCTATTAATATTAGCACTGTGGTCTTTTCGTAATAAAAAAAATCAAGAGGATGTATTTTCTTATGATACTGAAGCTAACTGACAACTGTCAATTTTTTAAATTCTTATAAAAAATAAATTTCAATAATAAAAATACCTTTAAAAATTTCCACTAATAATTTTGTTTAATTTTCACATGTGGAATTTTTTTCATAATAATTTAATTGCTATAAAATTCTAAAAAAATTTCTAATGTCTATCATCTTCGGTGTTATTTTTTTTTCTCAATTCATTAGTGTAAAATAATTAAGCATTAAGCGCATTCATTATCGATACGATAAACTTTTTTTATTTTGCTATTTCTTTCTATAAAGGGTAAATGTTAGTCTCATAGAATAGGCTCTAGATGGCTCAAGACTCGATACTCTTGATACTCTATTTAGTTTGAGGTTATAAATACGTTAGCTTGTTTACACTATCACCGTTTAAATTGATCTATCTATATATTACAATTTATTTTATCAATAACTATTAAAAAAAACTCTTATTATTAACTTATGAAAGTTACAAAAATGACATTTGTTATCGACAATGGTGCTTACAGCGCGAAAGTTGGATTTACCACAGATTCTCCTATGTAAGTAATTTTTTTTTTTTAATATTTTCTGTTCATAACTAAGTGTTTATAAAATTGTAATTCCTACATATTAGACTATTCTTCCAATTCTATCAAAAATTTAAAATTTCTAAAAAATAATGTTTGAAAATATGCGCAATAAATTTCAAAGAAATATTAGACTGCATTTTCTAAAATTTATATTACAATAGTCTGATATGTGATGTTATCAGTTTCGAGAGTATTTTAAAATATATGCAATATGTAGCTTCTCAGTTTAACTTTTAATTTTTTATTTATTATTATAGGATAATTCCAAATTGCATCATGAAAGCTAAAAGCGAACGTCGCAGACCATTTGTGGGCAATCAAATAGAAGATTGTCGTGATGCATCAGGTCTATTTTACATGCTTCCATTTCAAAAAGGATATCTCGTGAATTGGGATATACAAAAAACAGTATGGGATTATATATTTTCCAAGGAATGCTGTTCAGTAAATTTAAATCAAACTTCTGTTATAATAACTGAGCCATTGTTCAATTTTGCGCCAATTCAAGAAGCAACTACAGAAATTTTTTTTGAAGAATACGAATGCCAGAGCCTTCTTCAAATAAATACATCGAATTTATCTAACGTTAATTATAAATCATCCAATCCTAAATGTAAAGCCAGTATTATCGTGGACTCCGGTTACAGTTTTACTCATATTGTTCCCTATATTAATGGAGTTAAATATAAAGAAGGCATACGCCGAATAGATGTTGGAGGAAAATTATTAACGAATCATTTAAAAGAAATTATTTCTTATAGACAATTGCACGTTATGGATGAAACTTATGTTATAAATCAAGTTAAAGAAGATTCTTGCTTCGTATCTCAAGATTTTTTTAAGGATATGGATCTAGCTAAAGGTAAATTAGAAAATAATCCTATTGTCAAAGATTATGTTCTCCCGGATTATACGGCCCTCAGACGTGGTTTTCTTAGAGATCCAGAGCCACAGGGAGAACAACAAACACTTAGATTAAGCAATGAAAGATTTGCCATCCCTGAAATTTTATTTAACCCGTCTGATGTTGGAATACGACAAATGGGGATTCCAGAAGCTATTATGGATTCTATAAAAGCGTGTGATGAAGAAACTTGGCCATCATTGTTGTTAAATATTGTGTTGACTGGTGGTAATGCTAAGTTTCCAGGTTTTCGAGACCGAATTTATAAAGATCTTCGCACATTAGCTCCTGATGAGTTTAATATTAATATAACTCTACCTGAAAAGTAAGTACATACATTTTTTTTTTATTAAAATAAAGTTTTTGAAGTATTTATTTTAAATGATATATTTTTATTTTTAGACCTGAAATATATGCTTGGGAAGGTGGTAAAATTATTTCTCAAGATTCAACATTCAATTCAATGTTGGTAACACGAGAAGAGTATGAAGAAAATGGACCAGCGTTATGTTGTGAAAAATTTAATCTATAGATTACGGGTAAACGAGTTATATTAATTGTACATAAAAATTTAATATTTTATTTTATAAAATTTTTACTGATAATTTATTAAATAATTTTTAACATAAAAAATATTCTTTATCGAATTTTTAAAAAATATTTAGTGATAAATTTTTACTTATATTGTAAAAAAAACTATCCATTTTGTAATGCCTGTATTAAAGCTTTAGAATTTTCATCTTGAATGGCTGTTCTACATCTCGAGACCGTATTTGTTGAAGCCCGACCAACTAAAATAAATATAAAAATTATAATATTATAAATAACAAAATTTAATATTAAAAAATTACCTCGAAGTCTAGAAGCTTTGCGAACTCCTATATTCAATTCTTTCAAAGTAGATGTAAGTTCTCTGCTACTATTTGTTCTAATTTCATTCTCTCTCATAAGATCGCTGTTAACGTTTTTGAGTTGTAGAAGACGCCTCTTCATACCTTCAACATCATTTAAAATTCTTGCATCTTCTAACCGGATCACTAGATTTTTTAAAAGAGTCGAGTCTCCTGCTGCATCGGCTTGTAACCGAGCATCAACTTCTCGCAAACCTAACAAACAAAGAGAATCGTAAAAAGATGAATTAAAATTTATAATCTTGTAACTTTTAAAATCTAGTACCTTTGACGCGTTCTAAAACAGTACATAATTTTTGCTCTTCAGCTGGAAATCTTGCTTCAGATCCAAGTTCTTGAATACCTAAATAAGTGGCCAAAGATTGAACAATATCACCAGCGAAATACATATCTTCTGTTTGAATGCTTGCTTTCCCTACTGCACTAGCTCGTATACAATGAATTTTATTATCCATCATTCCTTGGAGCCAAATTTCAATAAATGCTGCCGCAGGGCCTTCATCTGGCACGTCAAATTCTTTGCTAAGTAAGAAAGATTGATTCAACCACAAGGCAATACGTTTTAATCTCTCAGCAATCTAAAAAATTACAAAAGTTTTACTGTTTGTAATTGTATTTAAGTATTATATTTTTAAATAAAGTTGAGATTAATACCTCAAATAATACTCCACAATTTTTAAATTCTTCAGGTACATTTTCTGGTTTTGAGATTATTTCATACATACAAAATTGTGGCAACTGTCGTACAATTTCAAAAACCTAAAAAAATAAACTGTACAATAAATTGAAATTTTATTATCTATGTAATTGAAAGAATAAGGAAAATTTTGTCTTAGCGTATTTATATGATAATCTGAGTTTTTAAATTAAACTTTCTATGATAAGTTTTTGAAGTAGTTCTAAATAGATTCGAATTTCGTGATAAACGTCATTTATTTATTTATTTAATTTGTTTTATACATGTGAATGTAGTTATAAGGTAAAAGACCCAGTTATTGACACCGGCCTAGTTATTAACACTTGCAATTTTATTTTAATTAAAAAAAAACAAATCAACTCTAATAAATTAATAAATATAATTTTTGAATTATAAATTTTAAGATAATTATTTTTTTGAGAACATTTTATTTTTTTAATTAGAATAAAATTGCAAGTGTCAATAACTGGGTCCTTATGTCAAAAATTAATTTATATAATTAAGATACTAAGAAAAATTTTGTAAGGATATATCTTCATCATAAATTTCACAAATTAGTTTTGATGTTTTTTCAGTCATATTCGTTTATGATTTAAATAATCGAGAGAGTAAAGAAAATTTCGTAACAAGCATATTATTATTTTTAATTGAATTTTCATAATTAAATTTGATATTATCAGAAAGGTCTTGATAAGAATCTGTACCTTTTACGGTTTTATATATTTTTCAGTGATATTCAATTTTTAATATTAAGTTTTTGAGAGAGTTTTGAATAGTTTGTTGGTTCTATAAATTTGTTCCGTCACATTTGTCCATTAAATTATTTGTAATTGATTCTGTCATAGCATTATTATTTTTAAAATTTATTTTAAAGTACCCGAATTATGTATAGTATGATTATAAACACAAAAAAATTATTTAGCCAAAGTTTTCTTATTCATAATCCGTTAATCTTGATAGTGACTGCAGGTTGCTAGTATAAAATAAACAAGTTACCTGATATAAATCAGTATTGACAGTCCCAATACAAACTTTAACATGAATATCAACAGCCATATTTTTATCAGGTTTTAATTCAATTTCTAATTCTTCTTCTGGTCTAGTTGGATGCACAACCATTGTTTCGCCTTCAAAAAGACCCTCCGCAAATACAATAACGCAGCTTATTAATAAACCAGGACCTGCAGCAAGAGCCAGTCTCACAGCACCTTTACTTGGAAACATATTTACGGCTAATTTAGAACCAAGGTAGTTTTGAAAATTAGCTCCACGTTGCTTAAGCTCCGTCGTTAATGCTTGTTTTTTTGCAAGCAACTTTCGAATTAATTCACCTGGCTCTGGTGTACTTATCATTAATCCAGCTCCATATCCTCGAACTATTAAATATTTAGAAATATTTGTATACTTTATTTAGTTTTATTAATTAGTATAATGGTAAATTAAAAACCTTCTCCTGTAACAGAAACTATTACTAAATCTGGTCGTCCAGTACGACGATAATCAGCTTCAACTATTCCAGCAACAGCAGAGTTTAATTGTATTTTGAATGTAACATCGCCAGTTAAACAAGATCTAGCATCCATTTTTCCCGAACTCCATCCAGTTACAAGTTCTAGTTTACCATCGCCATTCACATCAAAACTTCTTATTGATACAACTTTATGCTTTGACTGTAAAAAATAATAATACTTTAAAATAGCAAAGATACTAATATTAATTTACTCTAGTTAAATATGATGATAAAATAAAATTTACCTTAATTCTCCACAATCTCTGACCACTTTCATAAATACCAACAGTTCCATTGTCAACTACATAAGCGAATTGTCGACCAGGCAAAGCTAAAAGAGCTGTTACTGGTGCTGTTTCTTTTATTTCCCATAAAATTAAGTCTGCTTTAAATACTTTAATTTCACAATCTTCGGATCCTGTCACTAACTATATAAATGAAGGTATCGTGTAAGTAAATGTGTTAATAAATTGTGAAAATTAAGTTAGCCTACATCTAAAAATTTTTTTTAGAATTTTTTTTATTGAAAAAATTATTACAAAAAAATAAAAAAAAAATGAAAATGAAGTTAGTTGACATTTCAAAATTTTTAGAAATTTTTTATCAAAAAAATTTCAATTAAACAATTAAAAAAAAATATCACATGTTAAAAACTTGAAAAACTATAAGTGCAATTTTTTATAAATATCTTTTTAGTTATAATTTGATTAAAAAAATGAAATCAAAAATTTTTAGACGTCTGCTAATAAAAAAAAATTTCATTTGTAAAAAACTTGAAAAACTGTAAGTGCAATTTTTGAAAAAAAAATTTTTAGCTCTAATTTAATAAATTAAGAAAAATAAAAAAATAAAAAATGTCGGCTAACTTTAGTATTGATAATAAATTTATAAAATATCTCAATATTTTATGACAGTAAAATTGGAAGACATTTAAAAATTTTTTTATTTTTCTTGAAAAATAAATAAGCTCTAAAAAATTATTTTTAAAAATTACATTTATAATTTTTCTGAGCTTCTGAAGATAGAATTTTTTAACTAAATATTTCTTGCTATAATTTACTAATCAAAAAAATTATAAAATTAATTTGATGTCTCTTAATTTCAGTATCATAATATTTTACCTCAAATTCACCATCACCATCAAAATCAAAAATAGCTAATGATCTGACAATTCCACCCATTATTGTCCAAAAAACTTCATTTCCTTCTCCATCGATAATTGTTATAGAACAATTGCTACCAATTATCGTTACTTGATTTGACAACCAACTAAGTTTACCAACGGCTATAGAATACACACCATCTGGAATCTATTCAGCATAAATAAATAATTTTATTTCTGATTTTTTTGATGACAAAAAGATTTAAAAAAAAAAATTTAATAATTACATTTTTATAAAAAAGATCTGCATTTTCTTCTACTTGATAAGCTAAAATATGAGTCGAAGTACCAATTAAAAGAATATCCCTTTCGTCTTCTGTAAGGCGACCGGTACAGAGAGATAATATCTAGAAATTGATTATGTTTATTAACACCTCATTTAATAAAATTAGTTTTTCTATAAAAATATTTACCTGTTTGCCAATTTGAAGCTCTGCAAGTTCTCCATTCCATTTGAGACGTTTTTCCAAATTTTCTTCTTGAGTTTCATTCACACCTATCGGCGGTTGTCGATGTGGACTGTGAACGAGAATATTACCAGATGATGTCGCAAGAGCAAGACAAGCATGAGAACCATCAAATTTGCCACAAACTACTAAAGCTGGTACAATTTTCCGATCAAGATTTAATGTAAATGCTGCCATAGCTGTTATGCTTTCATTATGACATATAAACCCTATTTGAATTGAAACCACAACTTTTGTACAGGTGTTTCTAAGTGTATATTGATTTTTTCATGACAGTAACTCAAGTTACGCTGATCAATATTTTTACTATATACTTATAAAAAATTTATTTGCATGAATTTTATTTTAAATATATATATATTCAAATAGTTAAAAATTCTACAATTATGAACAAATTTTAATGAAAATAAAATTAGAAGACATCTGACAATTGTTAGGAATTTTCTTATTAAAAAAAAATAAAAATTTCAGATGCAGAAAATTTGAAAAACTAAAAGTCTAATTTTTTTTTAATATTTTTCTAAACAAATTAAATTAAATCTAAAAAAATTTTTAAATGTCTGCTGATTTCAGTAACATAAATTTTATTAGATTTTTTTTTTTTAATTAATTACAAATGCATTATTTGGTAAAGAAGAAATAAATACTATTGAAAGAAATTATTTTTTAACAAATTAGCTATTGAGTTAAAATTATTGTCTTTGACCACCACCACCACCACCACCACCTCCAGCTGCGGCATCAGGATTAGCTGCCGATGTAAGAACCACGAAAATCAGTGCGGGAACAATATACATCCACTGGAAAAAAATTAAGTTATTGAGTCGGTTAGATAAACTATGCTAATTAATAATTACTTAAAAGATTTTAGTGTATGAATATTCAATATACTCAAGACTTTAATTTATAATTTTGAAAGTAAAAAAAAAATAAATTCTTACATATTTAGCTAGGAATGATCGATTGTCTTTGGTTTCGCCTCTTTCTCTTGCTTCCTTTTCTTTCTCAAGCTTGTAAATGTATGAAGCGGTATCAGGAGTAGGACCTGCATCAGGAGATCGTATTTGCACGTTAGTTGTCCACATTTTTGTCGTTGGTAAATTAGTCATGCATGGACCAGGAGAGACTTGAGTTACTGATATTGGTTCGCCTCCTATATCTAGCCAAACTGTTAAAATGTCTTCAAATTCAGTCCCAAGTAAATGACACTGCAACAAAATAATAATTATTATATAGTTTTTACAGTGCCTAATGATTAAAAATTTTTATCATCACTAAACTTACTGCTGGCGCAGATGTTAAATATGTTGATTCAAATCCAGAAGATGTACGTATTACTGCTTTTAGCCGATATCTTTGATCATTATTTGCTAAAGTCTTTATAGCTGTCAGTTGTGATGGATCTAAACCAGCTTGGGCAATACTTGAAACTCCATTTTTTATACTAGAAACTGTTATGTTTCCTCTTTCCGTAAAATGAGGTATCGGATTATCATTTAAAGCATGGTACAAACGTATTTGTAACCAGCCATCGTAATCTAGTTCGCTCTAAAAAATATAAATAAATAAATTGATTAAATTTAAGATATAGATCAAGTTATAAAATAATTAAAATTTTTTTAACTTCACTCATTTTTTACTTTTATAGTAATTTTTATATTAATTAATAATTTTTCTATAAATACATACCCCTATAATAAATGGAAAGAGACTGATCAATAAAATTATTCCTTTATATACAAACTCCATAATTATATTTTCGCTTTAAATAATTAAATTAAATTTTGAGAATTAAATTACTATCCACTTATTTAAATATTCATTTTATCTCAATAAGTATTTTTTTACGCTAATTAAGGTACAACAAATAAATAAATGTACAATGATTATTCTATATAATATGACAAATATATTACAACAAATTTCTATGTAGCGAGATAAAAGTTTTTTTTTGACAAGTAAATAAATCTTATTGGGTATTTCAAGTAATAAATTAATTTCATTGGTTAATAGATCATGTAAATAAGCCTTAACTACATTTTCTTAAATATGAAAAAGCGCTTGCGTGGCTTCGCAACCATGATATGGTGTACATATACGCTCTCTATCAAAGTCCTCGAATTTCAAAAGTAAAGCCAGTTTTTTTTGTTGTTTAGTTGTTGGTGAAACTTTGAACGCCGATATTATTTTTAATATATTAATGTATAGGATTTTACAAAAACACTATTTATGAGTACCGACTTATTTATGTAACCAATAATATAACAGATACATATATATCAACGGTATTTATATTCTAACTTTTATTAAATATTTTAAATAAACAAGTTTGAGGTTATAAATTAAATTTTTTAAATCTAATAACAACAATTATAATTAATGATACTAAAGTTGGCCGACGTTCAAAAATTTTTCTATTTTTTTTAACAATTTAAATTGCAAGTAAAAAAACATACTTTAAAAAAATTGCACCTATAATTTTTCAAATTTTCTGCATGTGAAATTTTTTATTTCAATTTTATAGTAACAATTTTTTTCATTAAAAATAATTATAAAAATTTTCAGATGTCGGCTAATTTAATTTTCATTTATAATTATTTATTGCAGATGAATGACCAAGATCCAACAACAGTAATTAAAATGCTTAATGATTTGAAATCGACAACTGAAAGTTATCGTCGTAATAGTGGAGTAGCTCTACGTCTTTCGGGAGCCGGGTTTACTACTCCATTACCAACAAGTACTTTAGATACTGGTGACAGATTGAGAGTACCGCCAAGTTTTCCATCAACCAGTGGAAATACCGGCTTACCTTTGTCAGAAGATAATACTTCTTCTGTAACAGTATCATCTCATAATGATGAACAAACTCCACCAAAACGTAAACGAACACATGACATGAGTGATTCATTTAGTAATAGCATTGCTGAGTCGGCACCCGCAAGCCCATGGGAGTGGAGACGTCTTCGAGCAGAAGTAAAATTTAATTTCTTTTGTTATGAGTTTTAATGACAATAAAGTTAGAATTTTATTTATTGAAAAAATTATTTAAAAAAAATTAATTGAAAAAATTTCACATGCAGAAAGTTTTAAAAATTATACGTGCAATTTTGTAAAAATATTTTTTTTGTTCTAATTTAATTGATTAAAAAATCTATTGATTGTTGAATGTCGGCTAATTTTAGTGTCATTGAATTTTATTGAAAAACTTTAACATTTATAATGTAATGACATATTAATGAATAATTAAATAATTAAATTAAACCGATGGTTTTTTGTAGGTGGTTTCTCTTCGGACACGACTTTCGCATCAAGAAGGTACAGTTCAACAGCTCCATAAATTAAGAAATCAACTGGAGGAAGTTTTCCAAAAAGAAAAAAATGTGCTTGAAATGCAGGCTGAATTAGATAAGCAAACAATTAAACAATTAGAATGGCGGGTTGAATCTATTCGAAAGACTGCTCAAGAGGCTCGTGAAGCACATAATAATATTGAAAGTGAAATGTTTCAGGTAATTATTCATATTAATTTTTTAGCTTATGTTTATTAAAAGTTATACTAGAAGTAATTTTTTTTTTTTTTTTTCTTATAAAATAGATGAAAAGGGAATTGGAACAAAAGATTAGTAATTTAATTGAGGAGAATTCTAAATTATCAGAACGTGCCAAACATTCCAATGAAAATAATTTAGAATCATCATCATCAGTATCATCACCTAAAAATCAAGCTGAAACAGACACGCAGGAAAAATTGGAAATGGCTGAAAAAAGAATAGCTGAATTGGAAGAAAAATTACGGGATAATTTGGTATTACAAAAAGAATATGAATTACAAAAGATTGAACTTCAAAATTGTAAAATGAACATAGAGAAATTAGAATCTGAACGATCATTGTGGGAAGAAGGAAAAACACTTCTAACCCGGGCAGCAAGAGCGAATGAATTAGAAAAAGAATTGCAAGTATCTAGAGAAATTATCAATGGAATGCGGGAATCTGTAAAAGGTAAATTACTTCTTGAAGAACAAATGTCTAATATGATGCAACGATTAGAACATACTGAAAAAGTTGAGCACCAAGCAGCAACTTTAGAAGTTAGATGTAATGAATTGATGGGAAAATTAAAAGAATATGAATCAATTGGAATTGGAGCTGATCCATTATCATTGAAAAGAGAAATTAATCGATTACAGCAAGCTGAAGCGATTTTAACATCTGAAGAAGGTCAGTTGCGTTCCAGAATAGAGTCTGTTCAACGAGAAAATCAAAACTTACAAAGAAAGTATGAGGACGTTAAAAAATTGGCGAACGAATCGAGCGTGTCGATAGATAGATTAAACAAACTTGTCGGTAGATTGCAGAAAAAAATGTTGTTAGTTACACGTGAGAGAGACAGTTATAAACAACAGTTGGATTTATACGAAAAAGAAATGACAGTTGATGTCAATAGCACTGTTAATGAGCGCATTCCGGCATTAGAACGTACCCTTGAAGGCTACAGGTAATAAACACTTCAAAATATTTTTTATTATTTTATAAACCATTTTTAAATAAGATTTTATCAATTTCAGAGATTTAGTTTCAAAGTTGGAGGCTGACTTAGATTCTGTCGATTCTACGGCAACAAGAAAAGAATGTCAAAGATTACGCGAAGAAGTTGATAAGCTCAAGGGTGAATTAGAGCATCGAGTACTTAAAGGGGATTTTAATTGTAATGCACGGATATTACATTTTAAAATGAATCCAGCAGCTGTAGCAAGTCAACAAGCTGAAGAAAAAATGGCAGGAATTTTGCGAGAGGTTGAGGAACTACGAGCCAGAGTTCAGTTGGGAAATACTGATGCACCTATCGGTGTTTCTTCAGTTCATGCACAAGGTTAATAATGGCATTTTCTTGTAAAGTATTAATTGATTTGAAAAATTTTTATTAACTTTATTTCTTTTCTTAAATTTATATAGAAATAGCTGAACTCAAACAGAGCCATGAAATTAAAATAGCTCGGTTGAAGGATGTATTCAAAGCATCATCGCACGAATATCGACAAGCGTGCTATCAATTATTTGGATGGCGAGTAGATCGAACAAAGGAAGGACGATACAAGTTATCAAGCCAATATGCTGAATCACCTGATGATTTTTTGTATTTTCAAGTAGGCGAAGGTGTTGATTTATTAGAAACGCAATTTTCTGCAACTCTTGAACACTTCATTGAACGTCATTTAAAAAAACAACACAGTGTTCCGATGTTTCTTAATGCCGTTCAAGCTGAACTTTTTTCTCAACAAACCGCAACCAACATGATGGCATAACTTGAAAAAATTGTATAAAAGTATGATAATTATGTTTAGTTTGCTTATTATTTTTTTCTATTTTTCATTCAATCTTGATATAAAAAAAACTATTTTTTTCTCAATGTAATAATTCAAATAAATTTTGGAAAAAAAAAAATTCAAGTCTTTATTAATATGATAAATTAAAAATATTTAAATTTATTTACGACATTTGTATAAAAAAGCTTAAGCCAAATTTGACTACTTAGATACTAGATTAATAAATTAAAAAAAATTTCTTAAGTACGATTAAATAAAATTGTGTACAAAAATGTTTTACATTTGATTTAAGTTGGAAAATCCTAGCAAGCTGTTAATAAGTATAATAATAAAATTTACATGACTAAATTATTTGTAGTAAGTACTCGATACTTAAAGTAATAAATCAATTAACTATTGAATGTGATGTAGATATTGATGGATTTTCCTAAGTGTTTAAAACAATTAATATCATTGAAAAAAAAAAAAAAAACAATTAAAGATATGAATATATCACCAAAATACTATTAGGTATATCTTACTGTTTTTGTAAATACAAAAGTCTTCGAATAAAAAGTATCAAAATGCTTTATATGAGTATCTTGACGTCTTTGGTTAAATTAATTTATTATGGCAGTAAGCAAACTTCTACCAGAGTAAAGATGTTAATGATGGAGATTCTTGATTCATCGGAGGAGACCCGCTGTAAATAAATCAATTATTTATCATCAATATAACAATTAAATAAATAGAAAAAATTTAAATAATTTATTTTACCTCCAAGTAATAAGAGGCGCTAACTTTTCAGTTAAACGTTGATAATTTCTTTCTAATTCACGTTGATAATCACGTTGATCAGGACCAATAAGATTTTTGTTTTTACGTAATGCGTCTAAACATTTTTTTGTAAAATCTTTAAAACAAAGCCGTAACTTATGTTGAAATCTTGAAGGATGTACGTTTGATTCTCTTATATTTGAGAGAAATACATTAGCAACTTCTGCTGGTCCTTGATTAACAGTTGTACCAATACAACCTTGAAGTACCATTTGTAATATTTTTGGATCTGGTGGATCTTGATTTGTAGCAGTAGCCAGCTAATAAAAAACATTTTTTTTTTTAGTTAATCAATAATTTCCTTTATTAGAGTAAATATTAAAAAAATTAATTTATATACCTCAACAGTTTTTTTCTGAATATCTTCAATTGCGACTTCAATAGGACTAAGTACAATTTGCTTTCGAGCCACAACTCGTATACGTGTTTTGAGGTATGGAAAATACGTGGCAACTGTCAAAATTGTTTTTCTTTTGCATTGTTCCTTGAGTTCACCATGAGCTTTTCCACTTGTAGTAAAAGGTGTTGCGTAAATAAATCGTTCTATAAAAATAAAATAAAATAAAATAAATTTAATCCAAATTTGAAAAATGCTAAATTAATTAAATTGAATAAAAAAAAAAAAAATATTTACTTATATTAAAGTTCCTATGAAAAATTGTTGGTCTGTGTCTCAACTCATATGCTTCAAAATATGGCTCTACATAAGTAATTTGAACATATGCTTTATCAGAATCCAATTTACTAACATCTACTGGATTAGAATCTTTTATTATGACAACATTGTCAACACTAAATCGTTCGATGTAAAAATTTTCAAGTCTTGAAAATATTTCAGGAAGCTTCGTAAGAGTCGGTTCTTTATAAACAAATTCTTCACCATCAAGATCGCCGAATTTGCTACCGTAAAAACCAACTCTGAAGTAAGTTCCAAATACACGTTTACCTGACAGTTGATCAATTCTCGCGTAAGCTTCATGGAGTTTGCTGTAAAAAATATACGTGTTAAGAGTGAAAGCATACTATATATTTAAATATAATTAATTTATATTAATTTACCCATGAATATTGGCCAATTTTTTGTAATCATATGCAGTTTCTGCAATCGGAAGCAGTACACGATAAACATGAGGGATAGCTTCATACATTCCAGCAGCGAAAAAAGAACTAGCGGCATGCTCCAGTAACCCAGCAAGTCCACTTTCTGAGAAATCGGGCCCAAGGCATAATCCTTCTTCTCTCCGCGCTAGAACATCATCTCCAACTGCACTCTCCTCTAGTACATTAGTAGAAACAGAACTTAAAGCAACTGCCCCTATAGGCCGACCGCCACTGCCTGGTTCTAGCAGGTGAAGATATTCGGCAACAAGTGCAGCACTATGAACCAAACACATTGCCGCTTCTGTATGATTTTTACGTTCCATGTGTTGTTGCGCCATATTTGCTAGCCAAGTTAGACGTAAATCTGGTGAGCTTTGGTAGCCTTTAGCAATACGATACATTAAATCTAATAACATTTCTGGATCTTCTTGAAACTCTTTCATTTTAACGGTATCTGAGAGTATCATATGTAAATTGAATAATAAATCTTTAACCTGCTCAGGAAAACTGGTATTCGCTAATTCAGTATCTCTTTCAGCGTAAACTAAAACAGTTTTCAAAGCTCGGCGTAGCGCACCTTCACTAGGTCCACGTCCACGGCCAACAAGTGTCGACAATGACGTTGTCATTTGCATTTTAACTCTAGCAAAATTATTTCCAACTTCAAAATTTTGTCTCATAAGAAGATACAAACTGGCAGCTGCATGACTCCGAATTGCACTTAATGGTGAACTACACCGAGTTAGTAACGTTAAGCAAAGATTACCACATCTTTCGCTTCCGTCGTCAAAAAATGCACTGTGATATTTAACAACAAGTGCGCGTTGAGTATTAAACATATGTTGGAGTACAGAGGTACTTTGGTTTCTTTGTAAAGCTCTCAAAAGTACCTTTAACACACCATTAATTGCACCACCAGCACAATCAGCTTGAACAATAACTTCTAAAGTATCAAGTACAATGAGAGAAGCCTCAGCTGCTAAAGCACCTTCGATATGAGCATCTTGTTCAACAACTCGTTCTTCAGCTGGCTCATTGGTTCTATACGCCATTTGATCTTTCCTCCATCTGAGCTTATCACCAATAATTCGTTCCTTACGTCGTAACATCATTTCACTTCTTGCACTACCCTGACCAAGTATCACGTCCTCTAATCTTGAACGAATATCACCTGACGCAGCAACTTGTTGTGGTACTCTTTTCATAGCTTTTTTACCTTTGTATTCAAATGCAGCAATGCAAATATTAAGTACATGTAGCAGACATAAAACTCGTCTTGAATTTAACTCAGAACACCACTGAGTGAGAACACTGCGCTCCAATCCTTTTAAAACCCACAAAAAACACATAAGTAAATGTCGTGTTGTTTCTGAGCTCAAAGATACTCGACAGTAAAGACTAGAAACATCCGCTGAATTACCACCGGCAATAGCAAGCGCTACTGACTGTGTAATTGAATTTGAGTCATTAGGATATAAACTTTTATTTTTTGAATCCCATTGATAAAGTTGTGGTAATGAGTCCATAATAATATTTAATAATGGAAGATATAAAACAGCTACACGAGCTTTTGCTGATGGATCTGAATATCTTGGATCTTTATCATGACAAGTCATTAGATATCTTACAGAACCTATAGCTTTACTTTGTAACACTGGATTTGGTATTTCAAGAGTTGTTGATAAATCTAATAATATTAAACCTACAAGAAAATGCTGCTGACGAAATTCTTGACTCAATTCTGCAAATCTAGCACAATTACCAGGTACCAGTGTAGAAATAAGACTTCCAGTGCTGCTACTAACAGAAGGACTTGGAGATGCTGGTGCTGATCCAGAAGTATAACCAGTACCAAATGGAAGATTTAATGCGACATAATGTTCGTGAGAGCATACTGTTCTGATAAAATCCATTTTAAGTGAAAACAGTGTAGTTGAATCAGGAACGTGAATTGTTGCATCAGATAATAAACAACATGCTGTTCGGACTAATGAGAGCACGAATCCACGATCCATAATCGATAGTAAGTCTGATAAAAAATTTGCCAAGCTAAATATTAAATTGTATGCTGTTTTAAGATCTTTAATATATCTATTTATCACTTCATTTGTTAAAACATCAACTAAAGTAGAAATATCATCACAATATTGCGGTGAAAATCTTATTTTTCGCGGAGCATCTAAATTACCAGTTTCATATAAATGCGTTACCATTGATCTGACCATGAGTTCAAAAAAAAACCATGAATGAATTATCGCCAATTCACGAGCTTGTCCAGTTGAAACAACCCAATGTAATGCTAATTCCTCGTGAAGTAATCTCCTGATTAATGGACAGTTTATTAATGGCGATTCTTGACGCATTGATGCGGTACGATCTAAACCACGAGCATGCATTTCCATTTCTAAATCTTCAACTGATAAATCTGGATTACTCCGTGAACGAGCAACTCTCGGTGATGATGTCATTCGTGGTAGAGAGCATTGATATGCAGCATACGTGGCTAAAAGAGTGTGCCTACCGTGAACATCAATCTGGCCGTCTGGTAAATTTGTTATATTTTTTGCTAGAAGGCCTATCGCTTCAAATAATGCCGCGGCAATATTTATTGGACATGACGGTAATGTTGGAGGTAGCACTAAATATGATATTAATTGATCGAGTAACTGAGGAAGAGAACGTACTAAAGCTGAGTTTGATGTTCGAGATAATTCTAGTAACGATGATCTCAATTCTATTTCCATTCCAGTTTCTCCGATTCTTGGAGGTACTTGTCCCGTTTCTAAATAACCACAGAGAGATAAAAATCTAGAAAAATTTTTAAATCATTATTAGACTTAATAAACAATAATGAATTTTCTTGAAAAAAAAAAAATTCTTCATAATAAGAATTAACATAGAATACCTATCAATATATTTATCTTGAGGATGTACGCTTGAAACTGGTTCAATAATAATATTAAATACCCCACGATGAGCATCAACCCATCTAGTTCCAGGTAATAGCACATCAGGTGCTATGTAAGAATAATTAGACGGTGGAGGATCGAGCATAGCAGGTAATGTAAATTCACCAAATTGAAGATGTCCATCTCGTAATAGAGGCAACCACTGAATGGAAGTTAATTAATTTGTTTAGTATCATAAAAAATTCAATAATTAATTTTATTAAATCTTAAAAAGTGTAGTTACCGTATAAGCAATTGGTGTTTCGACATTTGGCTGCTCAACTTTTTTCTGACAGCTAATATGATAGAAGGTAAATAATAAATGATGACGAGCGCCTAAATCAGCAGGAAGACGTATTTTAATTTCATCATAAAAGTTTGGATTTTTATTATGATAAGAAACGGAAGTAAAACATTCGTGAGTCATTTCAGGACAAGATGATCTACCAAATATTGCTGTTAATGCATCGGCTTCTTGTTCACCGCCCATTAATTGGACTCTAACAGTTATATTACGTGCTGATCCAGTTCTTGAACTAAAATTAACTTCTTTCGGGTAAATATAAAGAAAATTACGATAAGTTAACTCAGGTATAAGGACGTCACTAGAAAACTCAAGAACTTCTTTAATTGGTCTATTTTTTTCATCTGGATAGGGTATAAGTCTCCTTAAATCTGGATCTAAACAACGTGGTAATTCATCAGGCTTTGGGCTTAAATCCAATTTAAGAATACCTGGTATGCATTTTAATCGTTTCAAATTAGATCCAGGTCTACGTAATTCAACCAATAATTTATAAAGATCTTCGTCTCTCAATCGTTCACTTTCCTGTTTAAAAAAACTAGAGACAGTCAATGTTATAGGTCGAAAACTATCCAAACAATTAGCAAAATCATCTGGCGACCAGCTACGTCGTTTGTCAGAACTTTTACGTTCCAAAGAACCTCGTCGAACAGGCTGTTCGACTTTTTTACGCCACTGCTCCAAGCTTCCAGATTTTCTATCTAAAGACCCAGCACTACCATTGCTTTCAGAATCCAAACCACCACCATTGCCACCACCTATTACGGCTGACAAATGGATAGCAGTCCAGGCAAAGGGCATCCTATAACGTCCCAAACGTTCACAAGCGATAGCAGCGGTTACTTTAACCTTATCTCTATTTTTGTCATCACGTAAATAAGGTTCAGCACATTCCGAGATATCACCCTGCAGTACTTTTTCCAATCTAACTACTATAAATAAATCAGGGCTTGGTTTACTGATGCTAAAGATACAGCTTCTTGCCAGAGTACTTGCATCGCTATAAGCAATATGGCTACCGAGCATTCTTTTTAAATGTTCTGGATTCATATCAACGTAAAAATTTTCAGAAAGTTTTCGTTTTTCTTTGGCATCATAGAGAGCAAAACTCGCAAATATTGGCTCCACTTCTAATTCTAATTTCAATTGAAGACATTTAACGAGTATTTTGTGAGAAAATAATTCACCAGGTTCTAATGCTGGACTACTTTCTTGCCACTCATCATCTTGAGACGATGGCGGAGTGTAAAGTGGGAATATCGCATCCTGTCGATCTTCTGATCGTTTTTGCTCATTTATTTGATCAATCGTTTCTGGTGAAACTCGATCAAGTAAACCAGGTAAAAGAGGGTCATGCTGCGAATGACGTAAATCTAAACTAGCCCACGAACCTCGTGGTGTATCCAATGAACTTGATATATCGTCTTCATCATTTGGAGAATTATAAAGAATATCTTCTTGATCGACCTATGTTTCAAATTAAATGAAAAATATAATAAAATACTTCTTAAAATTTTTCAATATGGATAAATAGACTTGTTACACTTTAAAGTAATTATTAACAAAATTTTATACTGACTTCAAAATCTTGTCGAGGAGTATCTAGAAGAAGTCTCTCTCGAGCAATTGGAGAAGCTTTCCTACGATATTTTCGATGAATAACTATCCAGTCAGACGCAAAAGTTTCAATACATCTCCGAACATAAGGACTAACTGTATCACTGTAAAAAAAAAAGTAATAAAATTTTATGATAAATAAATATTTAAAAAATTTTTAGAGTTAAAAATAAATCTTATTTCTTACAGAGATTCAAATGGAATTATAGGACTTTCTGTACGAATTGTACGCTTGACAACTCTTAACTCAACATCATCGGGTGGAAAATCTAATATTGACCGTAATGGATCACGTTCAATGATCAACAGATGTTGGTTTAGAAAATCTTCATAGTCTACTGGTTCATACACTTCGCAAAGTGAAATCTATTGAAAATTTAAAATAAAATATTATTATATATTAATTAACTAGAATTATACACGACTATAAGAATATTGTGACGTTTAAATGTGACGTACAGATGATGAAAATCCACTTGCATTACTCTCGCTCTTGGAAAGTTCTCTTGAATATGATGAAGAATTTGATATATGCCGACGAACATCAGCAGCAAGTTGCTTGCTTAATTTGTAAGCAAATGTTCGATGTACAGAAGACATTATCACTGACACGAGGTTTATTTTTTACATGAATATTGTTTTCTGTAAAAAAAAAAAAAAAATTATCTATAAAAATAAATAAGACTTTAAAGTAGAATATCTATAAACAATTAGCGACAACAGTGTTTTAAATTTTGCGGCTCAATTTTATGATTTATTACCTAAACAAACTTACGTTATAATATTTTATGTAAACAAATTATAGTAATGCACTTTTTTAATCACTATTAACAAATTTAAATATTATAAAATATTTTGATTTTTATGTATTTTTGTAAGTACTCTTTTATTTAATGTAACTATATCATTATTATGTACAAAATATTATCAAGATAATTAAAGCCATTTTTGAGAGAGGTTATAACATATACTAAATAGAAATGAACGCTGTCTTTTTAACTGCAGGTGGGAAATCACACATACAAAAGTTTATCTGCACATGTATGTGAAACTCTGAAAGAAGGTATTGTAGGCATGCATTTAAACACATACAAATGTGTTTTAAATTGATTATTCTAACATTTATTTTACATGAAGAAAAAAATTATAATTTATTAATTAAAAAAAAGTATTGCTATAAGAGAATCTATAGAATATTTTAATAAAAGTTTTAGTTTGCAATAAAATTAATTGCTTATAATTTTAAGAGTTTTATTAGATATGTATATATTTATGTAAAAATTGAAAATTACTCAAAATAAAAATAAAAATAAAAAAAAAAAAAGTACTAAATAACAACAATTGCATTTTAATTATAGATTTTTATTATAAATTAAAAATTTTTTTTTTATAAATCATTTAATTGCGTTTTTTTATTTTATCAACTTTAGTTTGTACTTTTTGACTTGTTTTCACATTACTGCTTTCTATGTCAGTCACGGTACAATTAGTATAAAATACATAGTAATAAAGTACCCATGAGTAAATAACGCCAATTGCACAGTAAATTGAAGTTAGAGCCAGTGGGAGAAATGGTAATTGTTGTCCAAAAATAATTTTATGAATAACAGTTTCATAAATTGTTATAAAAGGTAAAATTATCACATATATCCACTCGTGAATTTTTAATAGTGATGAATTAAAAAGTTCTTGGAAGCATAAAATTTCAGCGAGTGAATAAATAAAATGCATTAAAATTTTTAATAAAGTTAAATCATATGGAAAGAGAAGAGGTTGAATAGCTGTATGTCCTGCTGAACTCAGAATCATGAATATTCTACCATCATTTTTATTGAGAGTAGCTAAAAGGCTAAAAATAAGTGAATAAAAAAAAAAAATTAACGTTGCTATTCGAGCTATTAAATAATGTATACTTGTTTGCACATTTTAATTACTTACCTTAATGGAATGATTGCGGTTAAAATTGCTTTTTCATGGACATGCCATCCAAATATAAATGAACTTAATGCACATAAAATAATACATCTTACAAAATCTTCTCGATGTAGATGTTTTTGTTTCTTCTTTAATATTAAAAAAATAACAGGCTAAAATAAAAAATAAAAGTATTTAGTTAATTTGTAAAAATAACATAACAATTTCAACAACTAGTTAAATAAATACCAGTATTGATAAAAGTGTAGCAACGAATGTAACTAAAGGCGTAGGAGTTGGTAAAATGGCTAAGGTATCTTCTTGTACTAGACCACCAGTCATTGATGCAGTTTTTGTAGTTGCTACCCAACCAAATCGTTTCGAAATTACGGACAATATTTTATCTGCACCAATATACAACGCCCAGGCATTTGCAGCCCAGTAAGCATGTACTAAACCTCGTTTAAACGGGAAAAGTCTTGAAAACACCTTGAAAAATGTCAATTATAAAAAGTTGAACTTTGTTAATTGAAGATAATCATAAATGTTTAGAATACTCACTTGTGGCAATTGAGATAAAAACGGCCCAAAAGAGACAAATGTGATTGTTAACACGATCACTCCAAGTTGAGTTAATCGTGTAAAAAATTTATTATCTCTAAAACAATACCATTTAAGTAACCAAACAATAAACGCTGGGGCTACATATAAATAAATATGTTTGAGATTTAACAGAATTGCAAACCACGCTGCTCCTTGTAAAATACTAATCTAAAAAAATGTATAAATAAATAAAACTTATTCTACAAATATTTCTTTACAAGATAACGATTAAAATGCCAAATTGACGGTCTAATTAGCAATTTGTCTAACTCCGTATTTTTTTAGAGGATAATTTTTTAACATTTTGATACAATAATACTCCAATTATAAATTATTTATATGATCCAAATCAAAATATTATATCTCTATTAGATATTAATGATATTAAATGGTTTTTTTAATTTTGAATCAATTGTTTTTTCGTACAAATGGAAGATTCTCTAAAATGGAGTTAGACAATTTGCTAATTAGAACGACGAAATGTATATTTTTTTAAACACTGTAGTATCAAAAATAAGCTAAATATCATTTAGGTACTTACACTTTCGTTTTTGCAAACTTTTGCTATTGACAATAAAAGTATTCCCAATAAAAATCCATTGTATTGAAAATGTATATGATCGACCATCAGTAAACCGATATTACACAATGATAGACAACCAAATACCATAAAATTATTTTGAGAGTTACAAAATACTTTTCCAATTCTGTAATGAAATCATTTAGCGTGCAATATATTCAATTTATGAAGACTATTTTCTTAAACAGTTAAATGCTCAGTATATTTACTCTCGAACTCCATATAAAAACATCAAATCTGCAATGATGACTGTTGTTCTTTGGAAAAATATTGTTTCAGGTGAATCATAATTCAGATTGTCAATTTTGAGCATTTCGGGATCAACAAATTTGGCAATTTGACTGAATAAAAATTCCAGCCATGCAAAAAAAGGAGGGTAATCCAAGGTCCATTCTGACTTGGCATTTACGTACCATTCTTTTATCGGCAAACTGTATGTTATTGCAAGCCAATTACGGTGAACTTCAAAATCTGTTGAATGACTAAAAAAATCAATAAAAAAAATAATAAATATTTCAAATCAGATAAATTATTAAACTTTTTTACTTACTATGTTGGAATTAATAAAAATTTTACTGTAGAAACAAGAGCAAATATTATATAAAGTGCCCGGTTACTGAGTAATTCATTATGTGCTTTTAACTGATCACTCTTTGAACTTGTAGTAGTTGAAAGTTTGTTTGAATGTTTAGTCATTTTAATAAATATTCTTAGTAAAAATATGCTCCAATATTTATGTACATAATATTCATATTTTTTAGGTTATTACATGTGGCTGTTTTTTCATGTTTTTGTTGATGTCAAATATATATAAGTCGGCAATGAAGATATTCATTAGCATTTTACTGCGCCTAAAAAAATTGTTTATATATTATTGACGTTTTAAAAATAATACATCACTTATCAATACAATCAGTCAGTTTATGGGTGTTGTTTATGTACTAAATATAGGTACTTATATTTTACAGCCATAACTGAATAAAGATTTTAAAATGATATTAATAATAGCAGTTATTTAATAATTTTGATGATGATAAATTTAGATGAAAATTAATTTAGCGTATATTTAATAATTTAAAAAATTTTATAGCAAATAAATTATGGCAAAAAAAAATTAGGAAAAAAAATTGACATGTAGAAATTTAAAAAAATAAAAAATGCAATTTTTTTAAAATAATTTTTTGGAGCAAATTTTTTTGTTAAAAAAAATTAAAAAATTCTCTAGTGACTGCTAACTTTAATGTCATATATAATTTTGTGATTTTTTAGAAACACTCCATAATTGAAAACAATAATCATAAATTATGCTTACAATTAAAAAAAATTTTTTTTGCGCACGTATAAGTTTTTTTTATGATTATTAATGTATATGTGCTTATAAAAATTATAAAAATTAAAATGTCTATTGGATAAATTACAGTAAATATCTAATATAATTCTTTCACGTAAATACATAAAATATTGATAGAGAATAAATTAAGAAATTGATATTTTTTCTTAAATTAATAATCAGTAATTGATTTGTATCAACAAACTAAACAAACTATTGAATATCTGCTATTTTCAATATGATAAAAAAAAAGCAAATCTTAAAAATTGAATTATATTTGAAGATTTAATAATTAAGTATGATATAATATTTTATAAAATAAAGCTAAATTTTTTTTACCTTTTTATGTTAATACTGATTTATTTTTATTATTTATATTTTTACAGTTGTTTCCATCAATTCTGGTTATCTCTTGCTCAAACATTTAGCTTTCAAATTTTTATCTGAAGATATAGCCATATTGTTGATTTGCGAACCTGTAATAAAAGTTTTCTTGTAAAGATAGTTTAAAAACACTGTTAGAAATAAATGAAAATTTTGATTGGTTGCTATATCATCACCCAACGCCTCTGGTAACATAAATAGTAAGCAGAGGATTCACTATTGAACGAGGTCACGAATTTTGCTTTGTGTTGAGCATCGTCATTCAATCAGCTGATTATTGTTTTTATTGGAGTGAAAAAAGAACCTAGTGCTTTGTTATTAATATCTTATTTAACAATAGTAATAAATTGATTATTTAATAGCAATAATTACACCAAAAATAAAAACAAACAAATTACTTCATTTATTCGACAATTAATATCATGTATTTACGATAATCAATAGAACAAAGGAAAGTATACATAAATAACTACTGACTACTTACTTATATTCTGACATTTTAAAATCACTACGCGCGGTGACATCATCACCACATCTCTCTTTTTTTCACTGCAACACAGCAGTACATACAGTGCACTAAGTACTCCATTAAATTGTGTCTGTCAGTTGAACACAGTATGACGCAGTAGAAGGTCGTAATAATTGTTTTTTATAAATCCAATGAGATTTCGGATAGTGATTATCTATTTCTGCACAATGGAAATATAAATATTTTTGTTAAGTAAGTTTTTGACAATGTACAGTAGATATTATTGTTATTTTTAATATAAAAATAGTCTCTATTAGATCAGGTCTATGTTCATGTTATTAAAAATGACGTTTGAACTTGAAGTTTCTTTGTTATGACAAGCGCTTGTTTGTCTATTTTTAATTATTACATTGCGACGTTTATTCAAGTATGTTTTTACAATGATAATAATTATTATTATTTTCTTCATGGCACTGTGTATAAAATGATGTTATTTTTATTGATCAAAATTATTTATTTATTTATTTTTTTTTTTTTCATTTAAAAATACGTAACAGCTGTAGTAATTTGTTGACATTAAAATAGGCTCCTACTTTATCATGTAGTATTTATGTGATGTTATTAGATTGCAAATGTACAATGTATAGTAAAATATTTATCTTTCAGTCGATGGATTTTGTGTTGTTACACAGTTAGCTATTCATTCGAAATTGATTTTTAATCACTAATTTTCTCAATGTCAGGGAACATTTTGTTGACTATATTGTACCTGTTGTGTTCCCGATGACTTTTACGTAATTACAACATATCTATAATAAAAATAGTATATTTTTGGAAAAATTTATTTCATTTTATATAAATATTATCAACTGTTTGTTCTATTTTTTTTAAATAATCAAAAATTGTTTATTATTGAATAAATTAATAAACAAGTGTATTGTTATTAAACTTTACTGATGAAATTGTTTCATTTTTTGTAAATATTTTCTCGACACGTCAATGTCAAATCAGATAAAGATGTAATATAGAATCATGCGTAGGAATTAAAAACAAACTTTGACATTTGAACACTTTTATTTATTAACATATCTTATAAGTTCTAAAGCTGGTTTTTTTTATTACTTGATTAAATACGACTTATTTATTTCTGTTCTGTTACATAAAAAAAAAAAAAAAATATGTATCATTGGTAGAGTCAAGAAAAATATGCTCCATGCCCTCGATTGTTGCTAATTTAGTCTGTACTTTTGCCACGATTAAATAATTATGAAATCACATTATTTATCTGTAATATTACTCAGTAAACTAGCCTTTCACTTCACATGATTTTTTTTTAACTTTTTTTTTTTTTTTTTTTTTTTTTTTATGAAGAAATATAAAATAAATTATTAAATATATTACATTTATAAATATTTATTATCATTTATTTGTTTCAGATAGGCAATTAATTAATGAAAGCAAGATGTCTGCAGACTCACCAAGAAGAGGACTTCATCGGGGTATCCAAGTAGTTTCACCTCAGCCGATTAGTGATCGATCAATAATTGATAGTGTTGCTGGAATCATCAATGACATTGTTCCACAAGTACGTCATTATATCATAACATTTTTTTTTATCTTGATTCTATTTAAAATATAATATTTTAAATACATTTTCCTAAATCTTGTGTTAACGATAAACAAACAGTATTTATTTTAATTAAATGAAATATATTAATGTAAAAATTTGATTATTGCAGGCGTATACTGGTTCACCTAACTCAGACAACAAAGAATCAATAACATGGGCTCGCTTTGAGTATGCAGATGTCAATGATCCATCTTTCTTTCCTGATTATGTCGAAGGATCTAGTACACCACCATTACTGTTGGTTTTGGGGTACACAACTGGTGTACAGGTATATAAAATATAAATATATTTTTTTAAAATATGTCCAAGTACTTTTAATTATGTATTTTTTACTTACAACTAAAGGTTTGGCTGATAGCAGCATCTGGCGAAGCAACTGAAGTTCTATCGTGGAGACAGAGTGTTGTTCGTATTCTAAGAATTTTACCTGACCCAAAAATAGTTGAAGATCATGCTGACGTGTATGAAAAAAAACGACCAATAATAGCTATATGTGATTCTGCTGGGCCTGGACCTCAATTTTGCAATGTTAATTTTATTTCCTTGAGAACTGGAGAACAGTTAAAAAGCATCAAATTTAAAAATCCTGTTTGTGATGTCTTAGCAAATAAAAGATCAATAGTAGTTACATTTTCCGAGAAGATAGCTGTTTTTGATGCTCGAACATTTGAAGATATTTTAACTGTAACAACTTGTTACCCGTGCCCTGGTCTAAATCCTAATCCTGTTGCTCTTGGAACAAGATGGTTTGCTTACAGGTAAAAAATGGATTTTATATCTTTTTATACATGACTTACATTTTTTTTTACTAAATAAATTTTTAACATCAATAATATTATTTTTAGTGAGAAGAAGTTAATACCCGCCCGACGTAGTAGCGGTGGAAGTGAAGGTGAAGGTGTACAAAGTTATACAGCAACAGTTTTGTACGCAGCTAAATCATTGGGTAAAGGATTACGTGGACTTGGTGAGACAGTAGCCTCAAGTTTAACTGGAAATTCAGTGACTCCTATGGTAATCAATAACAGTGGTAGTGATATCACACAACCTGGCGTCGTTACCATACTAGATTTACACGCAACAAAAGAAGAAAAAGAGCTTGATGATCCGGCTATTGAAACAGTGGTTGCTCATTTCACTGCTCATAGTGACGCTATTGTTGCTATGACATTCGATTTAACTGGAGCTATTTTGATGACTGCTGATAGACGAGGACATGATTTTCATGTATTTAGAATACAACCTCATCCTGGTGGACCAACATTAGCTGCAGTGCATCATCTTTATGTTTTACATCGTGGTGATACTACAGCTAAAGTACAAGTAAGTAAACATAGTTGTAAAATTAATTGATTGTACAATACAATAACAATTTCATTAAAGATAATTTCATTGCATAAATATTTTATTAATCAATTGAATTAAATATTATTATTATTATTATGTGTTAAATTTTTAGGACATGGTTTTCTCAAGTGACACAAGATGGGCAGCAGTATCGACGGTTCGCGGAACAACTCACGTATTTCCAGTGGCTCCTTATGGTGGACCTGTGGGTATGAGAACTCATTCTACACCTCATGTTGTGAACAGGCTCTCCAGGTTCCATAAAAGTGCTGGTCTTACTGATGATGGTACAAGGTCTCATTCTCCTGTTTCTCATACTGAATTGCAACCTTCTGTCTACCCGTATTCTAATCCAAGACTCCCGCCGTATCCACATCCGACGATTCTTCATCCATTAGCGCAGATTCGTCAACCTTCTACGTTAAATCACACTAATAATCAATCTCAACCAAGGTAAATAAACACTCTTATTATACTTTTTAAAATTTATTTTTTTTCTCAAGACTGGTTTATAATACTTTATAGATATTTTCTGACGTAAAAATTAGAGAAAAAAAATTGTTGTATTAGACTGGATAGAGCCAATAAACTGAAAATTTTAATGACTTACGTCGGAAAATATCTATAAACTCTTATTATACTTACACGTATTAAGTAAATTAATTGATTGAAAAAAAAAAAAAAATATTTTTTTAGTAGACCTCAGCAACGACAACGGTTACATTCTGACGATAATGGAACACTACCTTTAAAAATTTGTGCTTGTTTTGCACCACCAAGAGCATGGATTTATACACAAAGAGAGTCAACAAATAAAGTTTCTAAACGAGCTATTGACTCATTATTCATAATGGCGTGTCATGGAAATATGATTCAGTATGATTTAGAACCAAAACCAGCTACAGGTTATTACAATTACTGTAAAATAATTTATTTAAACATAAATACATAATTAAATATTGAAAATTTAACGATAATTTTATTTTAGGTGTACCGAAAGAAAAAGTATGTGATGACACTACAATTGAATTAGAAGTCGAAGCAAAAGGACAGTGGCCATTGCTGAGAATGCCAAACTCTTTTGAAATACTTCCTCCGCTTTCTTCAATGAGTCCATTGTTTTGTTATTCTGGATCGCCAAGGACCGTTCAGAGTTTAGATGGTGCAGAAGATCGTTGGTTGAGTCAAGTGGAAATTGTAACTCATGCAGGACCACATCGTAGATTATGGATGGGTCCACAGTTTGTGTTTAAAACATACAACACATCTAGTGGGTAAGTGAATACATTTGAATTACTTTATTTCAAAATGATTAGATTCATTATGTGGTAATTTATTAATTTATTATTAATAAAAAATTTTTCTAGTGTTAATGTGGCAGAATCCGAAGCCATAGAGATCGGAATAATCGGAGGATCTCGGCCAGCACGATCAAATCCTGTTAATATGCCTCATGCTGCATCTCGACCTTTAGTGCCTGTTGTTATTGATGGCTCAGGAAGTGAGTTGTCAATAAAATTAATCAATACTCATTAATTAATTAATTAAAGATATTAATAATTTAAGTTGTAATTAATCTTTTAGGCAGTTATGAACAATCACCGAGATTGACTGAAACCTTTGAGAATTCAGTAGAAAATGATGGTGTTGGCATAGGCAATGGAGAAAATCAACTTCGTGAGGATCTTGCAGAGGCGATGCTTGAGACATCAGCAGCTGCTCATCGTGCACCAGGTATGATTATTATCAGTTATCACTTGTTTGTTGAATTTTCGTACTTGATTAAAATTAAAAAAAATATTTGCATTATCCTGACAATAACCTCAGTATTAATAACATTATGCAGGTAACATAAATTTTGCAACGTGGTTAACTATTAATATAAAATCAGTCATTACTACATTTTTTTTTTTTTTTCAAAGTCATAAAGAATCTGCATGTTGATTAACTTCATTATAACAAAAATTTAGATATGCAAACTATTAAAATATTTTCTGATTACATTACATACAAATTTCTAAAAGTTCTTTGAGATATTTTCATTGTTCAATTCACGATTAAAGATAAATAATAGTAATGACTTTAATTTCTAACTTATTTAAAATAAAATAAAAATCGGAAATTAATAAAAATAATTAATTAATGAAAATTTTATGATTACACGATTATCATTTTATTAAAATTTGGTTCGTATGTTTATTAATTTAATAATTGCAAAATAATGAAGTTCTTTAATGCAAACTTACTATTAATTAAAATATCTAAAACTTATAACTTGATTAACAGATTATTGATATTATAAAGATTTATCTGAATTTTTTTGATAAAATAATTAATTTAATTATGAATGATTAATTCTCTTAATATCGGTAAATATTAAAACTATAGTTTGAATAATATATTTTAAGAGTATTGTATAATATTGTTGTAAAAAATCGAACCAAATTTAATAATGAATATCTTCGAGCAATCTGATAAATTTTCATTAATTCAATGTTTTTTTTTTTCCTTTACTTTTCTTAAATAATTTTTTTTGCAGTATCCTATTTTTAAACGTATATTTAAAAGTTTTATTTATAAGAATTAGTTTAATGCGAAGTGATAGTTTTGTAAACTGATTATGGTTTATTGTCAATTTATTAAGAATTTTGAATTTTTATAACATTAGCGATCAATAATAATTAAAGTACGAGTTTTCGGTATTAATAATATGCTGAGGAAGCTTAAAGCTTCTTGCATACAACGAAAAATTAAATATTACGCAAAACACAAAGTTTGAAAACGGGCAGAACTGGCCAGAGGCAGGTATCTTCATTAAAATTGTTTTCTATTATCATAATGTTTCGATACTTTCATCACTAACTTGATAGACTTTTTTTATTGTAAATATTTTTATTTTATGAGAATTATTAAACCAAGATAATAATAGAATATAATAAGTTTCACTTTATCACAACAATGTGTCTGTAATCACAATCACTTGTTTCCTTGTATGGTAAATTTTTCAATTAATTTATACATATATTAAGTTATTTTAATATTTAATCTTGGTTTAGCAATACTTAAGAAAAAAGAAATTGATTTTTTACCATGAATTAAATTATCGTTCATTTATTTTATTTTATCCTGTTGTGCTGTTCCCATATAATTTAACATTGCTCTAAGTTCATTGAGTGAAATTAATTTTTGGTTAATAAATAGGTTTGTCCCATTAGAAATACAAAGAAAATATTATTGTTACAATATTCATGTTTATTTTTTATAAGTTTATTTAAAAATTGATGGATACAAATGCACGTTTTTTAGTTAAAAATTTTTTTTATTGTCTTAAAAATTTTTTAATTAAATGCTAGATTATTCATTTTTTTAGGAAATTCATTGACAATATTAAGAAATTTTTATTTCTTATTTTTTTTTTTTTTCAGAATGTATTTTTGTATCATATTTTTTTCGCTAAAATTTTCATTTATTATAAAAATTTGAAACTCAATAAAATGTGCTAAGAGTAATAACAGTAAATACTTTAGTAGAACAATAATTCAAGCGTTGTTAAATTGATTTTTAGTCTTATAAAATTGTTTAATAATTATGAGGTTGCTTATAGAATATACGATTTATTGCATACTTTTCTCTGGAAATATATAAAATTAGCTTATTTAATTGAATCCCTTCATTACTGACAACACTTGAATAAATAACATTTCATCTTGAAAAATTTCTCAAAAATTCAGTATTATATCTTATTTTTTGAATGATAAAAAAAAACAATTAAAAATAAAATAAATAGAATAATTTGATTTGATTTAAAAAGAACGGAGGGCGTATTTCGTTATTGATACCTGCCAACGGCTTTTTCTGTTATTAGGGAGGCGATTGGTAGTTGAGAGGGTGGGACAACCGGTTACTAAAGTCGTCAACCCTCTGGGCACCGTAATAACTATCTTGGCCGACGAGGAAGACGCGAGTTCGAGAGAGGAGTTTGATGATGAAGAAGATTGTGTTCCAGATGCTCCTAAGAGCTTATGCGCTGAGGAGGGACCCGCTTCTCTCGGAGATTTTCAATCTGAGGGCAGTTCACTTCGTAATATTACAGAAATATGCGCTGAAATGCGTGCGGCTAGTGAACCAGCTATCGATGGTGTACCAGACGAAAATATCCGGGATGTCCAAGAACAAAAAACACTTTGTGTTGAGGCTGCCATTATGAATTCTGCTGATAATGCTATAGATTTTGAGCGTGAAGGAGCATTTCGTGATATACCGACCAGTTTGAGTCTCTGTGCTGAACAAGGTGAGATTCCAAATAGTCCTATGACTCAAGCTCGAGAGAGCTCTTGGTCTAGTCGTTTAAATAAATGTGAAGAATCTCAAATTCAACATAATTTTGCTGCGGCTAAATACATTGTTAATTATGATGAACAAAATGTTGTTTTAGCTGAAAATAAATTATCATATGATAAATTAGAAAGTAAATCTGTTAAAAATAAAAATGATTCATTTAATATTGAAGAATCTGAACATACTCCTAAAAAATCTAGTAAAAATACTGCCACTAATTTACCGGTCAATAAACGCACGTCAACTGTAAATAAAGAACGACCTAAATATTTAATTCGTGAACATGAAGACAGTATTCTTATTGAAGATACTAGTGTTCCTGTTAAAACTAAAGTAGCTGAACCAGTAGAAAAAAATATTTCACCTGATAGCAAAATAACAACAGATGTTAAGAAGAAACCGAGTGATGATAAATTTAAAAAAGAGCGTAATCAAAAAGACAGTGTTAAAAATGTAGTTGCTGTTGCTGAGGAACCTGAAGTTATGGTAGTAGAGAGTAAATCAATTGAAACCATTGATTCGTTTGTTGAATTAAGAGCACCTGATATTTTTAATGAACGAATCAGTATTGTCGAGGCTTTTAGAGAAATGTTAGAACCGATGGAAGCTACAGTTGCTACTGCAATTGCGTGTGATATTGCATCGCTACCATCTGATTTACCACCACCACCACCACCACTTGATGATTTTCATTGCATTGATTATCATATCGTCGAAGCTAGTGTTCTTCGTATGAAAGATGCAATGTATCTCAATCAATATGAAGATGATATTGAGCATATTCATAATAGTGAAGATATTTTGACAATTGATGATGATAAAATGGATTGCGATCGAAGTAAAACTACGATTGATGAAATAGAATCATCACCGTTGCGACAAAGAAAAAGTAGCAAAAGTACTATTTCAGACGATGATCTTGAACATATTAATACTTCAGAGCTAACTGAATTATACGAAAAAGCAAAAACGTTAATCGTTGAACAAAACGACGACGTTAACTTGCCAGATATTTATCCATTGTCGACTGGTAAAGTTGGGACTTCGTCAGATGATGAACTTGAACATGTCGCACACTCAGAATTCACCGAACTCAATAAATCACCGTCACCAGTAATACCATTAGAATTATCACCACCGCCGTGTTTAAAATCACCTATAAATAAATCAAGAAAAAAATCGGCAACAAATGATGAAATAAGTAAAGCCTCGATAAAATCTAGAACTTCAAGAAAACGTAAAGATGTCGTTGTGATTGACAGTGAAATTACTGAAGCCGATGTTACTGTTATCGTGAAACCACACGAGCATGCAGAAAATTGGGACAAGAGTAAAAGTCCTGAAAAAGATTTAGCTGAAGAAATTGATCGATGTGTAGAACCTGCTGATCGATCAATAGAACCAACAGCGTCTCAGAGCTTACCCAAGAAGACACGAGTTAGAACAAGTAAGAGTTCAAATTCAACTGTACAAAAAACATCAGCATCAAAACTTATTGAGATTATTGATATAGATGCTATGCAAAAAGCTGAAATGGAAGTAGCAAGTGGTATTACAATACCTGAATGTAAAATTTTGGAGCCATGTCCAGAAATACCAATTGCTAGAATGAAAAAATCACGGCGTAATAAAGAAATTGAAGTGGATAATGAAAGTTATAAAGTAATTAAATCTGATTCATTGAATGAATCTCGACCAGCTGAAGTAATTGATTGGTGTCTAACAGATCAGAAAAAAGAATCAGATATTAGTACAACTAAAAGTAGTACAGCGGAATGCTCAATTGATGAGCCAAAAACGTCAAAGGATCAAACAGTTAGTGAAAATAAACCAATTAAAAAACGTGGTAAAAAATCAATTTCAGGTTCTGAACGCGTTTCTAGTACAAATTGTCAATTTAGCCTTAATAGTGGAACTTGCGAACCTTATAAATGTAGTTCTACTGAAGATCCTTCTATTTTGATCTCAAAAAGCTCATCAATGGAAGTAACGCCGTGTATAAAAGATACTGAAAAATGTATCGAAGAAACTGTAGATGTAGCTATACCAGAAGATGTACAAATTACCGTTGAATTAAAAACTAATGATGAAAATTTACCTAGTAATAGTAGTGGAGATTCGCTGGAACAGCAGCAACATCAACAAAAACAAAATGATTCAAATGATGAAATTGCACCAGAACGATCAAGTTCATCAGATGATCTTAATGCTAACGTAGTTCCAATGGATACTGAAGAAGACAGTGGGGTAAAAGAAGTGGTTGACAAACCAAATTCAACTACTGCTTCTCCATCTTGGTCAACTGTAGGCAAGAAAAATAACAGATCTAAGAAAAAGAAACGCAGATGAGTAAAGGATTGCGTAGACATGCCTAAAGCAAGCCTTGCTCTCTATATACTACTTATGCAAGTTGCTGGGGTGGATTAATAATTAATAATTAATTAAATTAATTCTATAATATTCATAATAATAATAATAATAATAATAATTAAAAAATAACAATAATAACCTTATTAATTAATTGATTTAGAGTGTAGTTATTACAATTGTAATAGATAAATGATAGATAATAATAATTTATGATTGTTAGTAGATAGTTAATCAACGAAGTAGTTTTTGTTTGGATAAATAAAAATTTGTTTAATCAAGTATTTTCAAAATATTGTATTGTAGATTAAAAAAAAACAAAATTAACTGCGAATCCGTCAGCATTATAAAATAATGTCGCATTTCTTAAAATTTTTACGTAGTTTCGATCTCAAAAATTATGACTATAAAGAAATTTTTTTTTCTAGTTAATTTTTTTTTTAATAGTTCAATAATTTTAGTATTAAAATAATATATTAATTTTGCGATCTTGCAAAAAGTATTATATATAGAGTGTTATTAAATATATCTATATTTTTTTTCTTTCTGATTTAATACAGAAGTAAAAGTATTTTCCTTCGTAGCGAAGAGTATGTATTTCTAAAAGAAAAAACAAAAAAACAAAAATTCTTAAATTGATCATGGATACTTTATTGATAATAAATTATATTAATGAATGATTTTAATTGATTTTAAACTGTTCATAAAAAAAAATATATTTAGCTTTGTTGTATTATGAGTAAAATAAAATATAATATTAATAGATTATATTGTGTGTCCAAAGTAAAGCCTTTGATATATTTTGTTAATTGAAATTTTCAATTTTTTCAACTAAAGTTATTGGTAGCATTTTTAATCGGTATTAATTTTGGCATTATACCTTGATTAATGAAAAAATTATCATTATTTAAAGTAAATTTTATATTTAACGTTTAAAAATAAATATTTGTTTTATGTAATTTAAAAATTTCTCACCTTTAAAATTTTTATTCGTTGCTAACTCTCGATAATATTTTCTTTTATCAAATTTTTAATATTATAAATATAAATGTGATTTTAATCTACTCATTAAATTTTGCTTTTGAATTATTTAATTCGACTTGATTTTAAAATTTACAAATAAATGTAGGTAATAGTAAGTAATTTACTAGCTTGAAAAAAGCGCTTATATAAATCATCACCAGTTTGAAATAAATCTATTTGTGCAGTTCCACCCTGTTCTATTTTTTAGGAACTTTTTTTTTTCTTAGAAAATTCTATTAGTTGATAATTAGCTTTAACAAGTAACAAAATATAATTTTAATGTACCGTAAAAAATATAAATAAGCACTCCCGTCCGCTATATAACCAGTATAATTAAAATTTATTCTTGTATTCAACTATGCTTTGTAATTTATTTTTTAAACGATAGAAAAAATACACATACACATATATCCTTTCGAAAATATACTTTTTACGGTGCTAATTCTAAAAAACCTAAAAAAAAAAAATCTGTAATTATTACGTGTGAAAAAAGAAATATTATAATTTTATCTTTATTTTATTAAATAAGATTTTTATTTTTAAACGTGACATCAATATTTTTTATTTAAAATTTATATTCGTAAAATTCCTTTCCTTTGACCATAATAACAACCGTAACTACAACTTGTGATACAAGCGAAATCATTATTACGGTAAGTAAACGAAAATAGAAGTGATTATAAGAAAAAAAAAATATTTGTGTAATAATTCTAATTCGATACTTTTAATATTATGGGAGTTTAGTTGTCAAAAATTATTTGTAAATAATTTTTATTAATATACTGTAATAGATATTTACCACCTGTCTTATTAGAAATTTTTATCTCTGTATTTTCTTGCTAAACTAATTTCTATATTTTCTTAATTATAATGAAAATATTGAAAGTTGATTAATTTTCTTTTTTTTTTTTTTAACTATAATTTAAAAAAATTTATCAAAAACATAAATATTGAAAATTTAAAAATATTTTTCATTTTCATTTAATTCAAGTTTTATTTTTTTCTTAAACAAAGTATGATTATTTTAATTTTTTGATTTGATCTATCGAATACAATATTAATATTAGTAATTTAAACATACTTATTAATTTAAGAACTATTATATTCATTATATGTGATGAAAATACTTGATTATCCGGAAGAGTGTGAAATATTCTTCAAAATTTAGATGAAATTGTAAAAGATTTTTGAAACCTGAATACTTTTTGAGAACAAGAATTAAGGCACAATCCTTCAACTATAAATTTAAGTAAATTTTTTTTCTACACAACATCTTTAAGATACTATATACTATTCTATTAACTTATGAATAAATGTGTTCTAGGTTCATAAAACTAATAAAAGAAATACGTATAATTTCTTAAATTATTACTTGTATTAATTATAATGAAGAAATAAATATTACTTCTGAATTAATTTATTTTTTATTTATTTACTTATTTAAAATTCATACTCTACACTTTTCTTCTCATTTTAAAATTTAATTTATTTAATCAACAATAATTAGATTTAAAAAACAGGAAAAATATCGTTTTATAAATAAGTCCATAGTTTTAGTTTTATAAATAATTAGAAAATGAATTTATGATTTAAGGTGGAAGTCAGTCGGTAGCAAGTTATGAGGATCTTAGTTCCAGTAGTTTTAGTTCAACAAGTAGAGCATCGTTGGATGCAAGAAGTTCTCCAACTCCATCTTATGGAGCGGAAAACATGATGGTTTTTCCTGGTGATAGTAGTGGTTCTATTTGAAGTTATTTAAGGTGCGTGACCATATTGCCTCGCTGGTTACGCTGCCTTAAGTGAAATTATCTTATTTAATTTTTTTTTAATATAATAACATTTAACAAAAATTAAATATCTTAATGCATGTATGAGTGTAATTTTTTTTACAAAAAGTAAAATATTTTTTGGTTGTTTTTTTAAATGGAAAATTTGAACTAAAAAAAAGTTCTAACTTACCATTTTTAATTATTTTAAAAAATATAAATTTAGTTATGGTAATAACTATTATGAAATATTTTATAAATTGAAATGATTGATGTTCCTCTTTTATTCCAGTGATTGCCATTTAATTTAATTAATGGATAACACAGGTTGTGATAATTGATATAAAATGATCTTTTATATTTTTTTTTTTTAATATCAATTTAATTAAATAATTACGGCGAAAAATTTCTTACATTATTAATTTTATTATTATTACTTTTAGATGAAGAAATAATTAAAATTTAATTTTTATAAAAAAGTAAGTTTTTAAAATTTTATAAGCATTTTTACAAATATTATTATATTCAAATGGCGAAGGGTTAAAAATATAAAAAAAAAAGTCTTAAAGGACTGTTTGTCTGTATAGTTTTTCACTTTGTACGTTCATTAATATTGAAAACTATGCTATGCATTTTATTCACATTCTTTGTATATTTAATACTTTTTTATTATACATATTCCAAGTTGAAATTAAGTATATAAAAGTAACCATTTACAGTAAATAAAAAACTGAGAAACTACATTAATTGTTTTTATAATTTTTTTTTTTTTTTATTATTTTTAAAAACTTGATCATTTTAAATGTATAAATAAATTATATGTTTCTCAGTTTTTTAAACACTGATAATATATATTGATATTTTGTAGTTATTTATAATAACGAAACATGTCTAGAATATTATATACTATAGTAGTTTTGAAGAGTGATGAAAGAATTAAGTGATGATAATGATAATCGTTTGCAAAGTTAAAGAATGTCTTTTATAAATTTTTTATATCAAAATAATTTTGAATTATGAAAGTTGAAAATTTTTATATTATATTAATATAAAATATCATTTTTAAATTAATATTATTTCACAAATATTTAACAATTTTTATTCTGAGTAAGTTTTAATCAACAATAAAATTTAATTTTTTTACAAATTTATTTCATTATTACATTATATTTGATGACTACAGGCCTTACAACTGTGTGCCAATTTTATTTTATATCATTATTAAACATAAAATAAAATTATAAAAATTTATTTGTACTAAAATATTATCGTATTGTAAATGAATCAAAAATTAGGATTAATTCATTATTATTTAAAATTTAATTACTTTTTTTTATTTGCAACATAAAAATATTTGATAGCTATTTTTATTACATCCGATCGATAAATATAAGTAGTAGTTTGGATTTTACTACATCAAATTATTATCGAAAATAATTCTATTTTTATTAGGTAAGACATGAACGTGACAGTGGCATTGTTAAAGAATTGTGAAAAAGTTTCGATTTAAAATTGTAAGCGGTAGAAAGTTATTCACATATGAATATTATATTTTTATGTACTTCTTTTGTAACTAATGAGGTAAACTATAATAAAAAATAAACAATCTAGTATAAAGCCTATTTTATTAATATTTAATAAATAATTCAATTCAATATTATTTTTTTAAAGAATGTATGGTAAAATATTCATTACTTGAACACCGCTAAAATGGGACTAGTACTTAGATTTCTGAAATTATTTTAAGGAATCATTCTGGATTATAATTTTTAAAAAAATTATTGTATTTTTTTTTACATTTTTCGAAATTACAATCCATAAAAAAAAACCATCATTTTGAGTAAAAAAAAAGTGTCAATAAATGGAATGATTTTTTAAAAATATTACATATAATTTTCAAAGCTAAAAATATTTATTTTATATTTAATTTAATTGTCTAACTATACTTCTAAATTTTCAAAGTTGTCCCTAGAACTTATTTAAAAGTATATTCTTTGACTTCGATGACATTAAATGTAGCTGTTACTCGACAATTTTTCAATTTTATTTAACAAACAAATTTGTTCCAAAAAATTAATTTTTAAAAAAAAATTACATTTTTAATTTAAAAAAAAAATTTCATTTTTAACTTTTTAAAAAAAATTACATTTTTAATTTAAAAAAAAAATTACATTTTTAATTTTTTTAAATTTCTTCATGTCTTTTTTTTATAAATAAATTTTTCTTATAACTTATTTTTTACAAAAATTCTTAAAATTATCAAGTATCTGCTAAATTAATTTTTATTTGACTTGGATATATATTGAATATTTTGTTATACTGAAAATTTTACTTATTAAAAATCGTTATTCTTTTAACTTACTTATATTCATCAGTTGAGAAATCCAAGTGACAAATTTTCTAATTTTTATTTAGAAATATATTTTTAAAACCCAATTTTATTTTTTGAAATTATTATTACCACTCAGAATATCCACTTCTCATGCCTCTTGAACAAGTTCAAGAGGTGAACGATCATCGATGGCTGATTTCTCGACAAAAGTCAAGATATCAGCCGCCCTCACGCTCAGAGAAGAGGATTATTCCTCGTCATCGTGGCTGTATCGACTCCACAATTGAGTAGAGAGGATGTGAAGATATACTACAGAAATGATCCTGTGAAGTATGATCTTAATCATTTTCAATTTTAAAATAGCTTATAATATGTATATTACAAGTATCGTACAACGAACAAAAAAATTTTACTTTTGCCATCTACATATTTTTACACGAAACTATGTGAGCACTGCGCATGCGCTGAGATTTGAATCGTGTAGTATGAAACAGACCTCTCATCTGTTATCTCCCGACAATCATAATAACTTTACTAAGATAAAATAAAATTTATTTTCAATAATTTTATACAGATAAATTATTAATTTTTAAATTAACAATACTACAAGTTTATAATTTTCAACACAATTTTTTTAATTAAAAACTTTTATTTATTCATCAAGACATACAGAAATTTTAAAAAATTTTAACATTTACATAAATTGAAGTTTTTTTTTTTTTTTTTTATTTAGAATATTTTTATTGACTTATTTAATTTATACATTTTTCTTTACTTAACCAATAAATAACAAGTATAACAAGTAAATACTTATACATATATATAATATAGATTGAGCGTAATTACTTACATATGATATATAGTTAGTTTCATTTTTGGTGATATAAATTGTTTTAATTGATATAGTTTGTTATTTTTATAGGAAAAGTTTACAAAAAACCGATTTATGATATTGTTAGATAATATAAATTGAAGAATTTATGTACACAAGGTACATGCGGTACAAATGATTTTACATTTTTGTAACGCAATTAATTTCTGCTGTTTCCGATATTTCTTTTGTTGTATGATAGTCATGTTCGCTGACTGATAAGTAAAAATTCTTCGACCCAAATGAACAATTAAGAAAATTAATCTCAAATTTTACGCCATCATTTCTCTTAAAATTTTTTTTGCATTCCGATATATCGTTACCATTGACCATTATTGATGCAAATAACAAATCAGGCGAATAGCTGACTATTGCGCTTTCCGGTAAACATTCATATGTGAATTTATTGTTTAACTACGAAATAGATTAAATAAATAAATTTATTACTTAAATTATGACGATATAGCACATTAAATCCTACCTGATAGTGTATAGAGCCATGACATATAGTTGTAGAAAAAAAATAAAAAATCGCAATTATAATTGCGGAATCATGAAACTTGATCATCTTTATACAAAAAAATAGAATTAAACTCACGTTTAGTAAAAAAATATGTTTTTGTATTACTAGCTTATTTTTTATGTCTCGTTTCTCGTTACTCTAGTTAATTACTGTACTTACATTATTTGTTCACTAATGTGACAAATTATCTATTGATTTTATTTCTTTTCAAATATTTGACCTATTTTATACTGTAGTTAAGAGGGGAAAATGTTTAGAGATTAAAAAAAAAATACGTCCATTGTGTGTACTTAAAACAATAAGTAAATAGTAATTAATCAATTTTTTTTTTATAAATTATCTATCAAATATTTACTAAAACTACAAAAAAAAATTGTTATAGATATTAATTTAAAATTTATTTAGCTCAACAAATACACTCTTGAATAACTCAAAAAATGTCTGATTTTTTTTTTATATTTTTCGTACATGATAACTTGATAACGGTTCATCTAAAGCGCAAAAACTAAAATCATTTACGTTCAATATATAAGTAATTATTGTACCAACTACGGAGATTAATATATATTGATGAATAACAAAATGGCGGACAAAAAAAACTGAAAACGAGAATTTTTTCACAGTTTTTAGTCCTAAAAAAATAGTAAAAATTTAAATTTTGATTTGGTTATAGTTTGTACCATAGCTACTACTATGTAAAATATGTGGTTTAAATTTCAGTAAGATCGGGTCAGTGGTTACGGAGAATCAGACGGTCAACCAGAAAAACATAGTTCTAAGATAAACGCATTTAAAGTTTTTTTAATTTAAAAAAACAAAATTTTCCCAAGCGTCATAAAAAAAATGTTGACTTTTTGGTAGATTTTACTCAAAAAGAAGTCAAAAATTAATAGTCGTCAACGTTAAATTCAACAAAACAGCATTTAATAAAAAGAAATTTGTGCCGCATGGGTTATCTAAAGTCAATCAGCGATGCTGGCACCATGCAAAATTCCTTCAGCCTTTTCAAAAATGTGATTTTGTTCCACTCGAAAAATGTAAAAAAAAAAAAATAAAATTTTTTTTTTTAAGTTACAAACCAGAATTACTTCTCCAAGTTTAAAATTTTATTTTTCGAGGTAATTAAATCAATTAAATGTAATTATCAATAATCATATCGAGGTATTCGGATAATTAAATAAAAAAAATTCTTTGACAAATGTTCGGGTTAAAAAGTTAAATGAACAATAAAATTATATTTATTTTCAATATTTATATTTATTATCAATACATCAACTTGAAAATTTTAATTTGTGATTAAAGTTATTTCACAATGAGTACGTTTTTTTAATGTGACCTCGACAATCAATTTTTTGATTGTACAAATTATGAATTTCAAGATTGTTATGACTTTCGGTGACAATCAAAGTAAAATTTCTAAATCCAGATGTGCAATCATTAAAGCTGATTGTCATATTCTTGCTACTTCATTGGTTTTAAAAATTTTAAAGCATTCGGAGTTAAAATTATTGTTAAAAGTTATTGTTGAATAAAATAACGGAGCAGGATTAAATTCAACGTTCACAAAATATGGAGTACACTCATAGAACAATCTTCCATCTATAGCCTGTTCGAATGAGTGTTAAGAAATTAAAGAATAAGATAAAATATGAAAAAAAAATTTTTATAATAATTGTTTACTTACTTTTCCTTGAATAATATACGAATTTGAATGAATACAATTTAAAGTTAACATAATTGCAATATTAATATAAATCTTCATATCGAATAAGATCAAATATTTTTGTCAAACAAAAAAAATATATTATTGTATTTTTTTTTATCAATATTGCTGCTGAAATTTTTAGTTAATTTTGACGATTGAGCGAATAACACGCAATGCCTAGTATTTTAGATCTATTATTAAAAAATGGAACATATTAAGCCTCTAACAATTTGATGATGAAATTTTTATTTTTTTGCCACTTTTTTGATAACGGAATTTATTTTTCGTTTGATCATAAATTCAATTTATAACTTAGTTACTGTCATTTTTTGTTTTTTAGTCATTATTTCAGATATCGTTCGATTGAATTCTTTTATTTTCATTAATGACTGAAAAAATTCGTATCACTAAATGATAACGACAATCATTATCGAGTATTCTAAAGTCATTGTCAATATAATAATTATTAAAAGTACTTAAATATTTTTATTAAAAAAGTAAAAAATTTTGCGTCCTTGCCTTAAAAAAAAATGTACGTTAAATATTTAACACACTTATGTGGAAATTTACTATTGCTTGTGTTAATTCTCTTAAATTAACACAAATAAGTGTTATTATATATTTAATACAAAATTTTTTAACGCAAAATTTTTTGCTGTGTATATGTCTCAATAAATTGGGTTTATTTCAATTACTTCTAGATGAATACTAAATATTTTTATTTTAATTTAACAAAAAATATCAAGTTAAAGTATGTACTTTATTTCAGAAATTAAATGAAACCAAAAAGTTTCTCTACTAATTATTATACATGCAAATAAATTATTTATATATAATCTTTTTTTTAATAAGTATTTTTATTTAATCAAACAAGATTTTTTGCATGTTTATAAACATGTACACATTTTCATTACATATTTAATTATTTACGTAGATTTTTGACAGTCAATTTCGACTTCATTGGTGAATGGAAATTTATTTTTATTTTGAGAAATTTCAATTACGGTCAAATTAAACTTTTTAGCTCCTGATGTACATTGGTTCAAGTCAAATTTAAAACGTATTTGTTCACTGATTCCAGAGCTTTTTACACAATTTTGATCAGGAGAATTCACAATAAGTGAGGTTGAATAAGAGCGTCGAGTCGAAAAAAATATCTTCACTGACGTTGACGAACATTGAAATTTCAGTTTCTCATAGGCCTACAAGAATAATTTTTTTAATAAAAGGCAATATATGTTTATAATTATTTTAAATGTACTTACCGAAAGGTGTATTATTCTTGCATTGGCAAAAGAAAATAATACACTAATAATAAGAATAATAAATTTGACTTGTTGGTAATTTTTCATTTTTTTTTTTTAATATAATACTATTCTCATTGAACACTGGAGTCGTGTAAAAAAGTAATTTGATATTGATTCTAATTTTTTTATAAGTACTTTTTATCAAGTATTTTTTATAGCTTTTTATGATGACAAAGTGGCCAATAGTATCGTTTGAATTACTTATCAAGCAAAGTACATAATCTGACTATTATAGTTACTAAATATAGAATTTAAGCAATAATTCAGAGATTTCAGTTTTTTTAGCTAAAACTTTTTTTTTTTTTTTTTTTTTTTTTTTTTTTTTTTTTCAAGTATGTAACTATACTATTCTCTTTAACTAATATATATCAACTGCCCGTTTCAGCTTTGACCAGAAAACATCTTACAGAAATTATATCTTTTTATAATTATATACTCTAGAATAAATTTGCCAAGTGGTAAAAAAAATTTTGTTTTTTAAATGTCATCGATTTATTTCATAAATCAAAAGAACTTATACAAATAATAATAGATAATTTTTGCTCATAATGTTTGCATAAAATTAATGAATCTTAAAAATTTAGGTGAAAAACAAACAAAATGTATATAAACTAACTAATTAAACGCTTAGATATTTTTATAATCATATTTCAGCTTGATTTTTTAAACATCAATACCTACGTTCTAAAAAGTCGTTACCATTGATTTAACATTGATTAAATTAAATGGGATTCGACGGATGAAAATATTTATTTAAAAATAGTTATTAAATTATTTGACCTCTAAATATTTGATTTGAGTTGCATAATACTGTTGTGATTCCATTAAAAAAAAGTCAAGTTGTAAAATTTTGTAAGTCACACATCTTAGAACTTGGGTACCGATATATTGTTCTAAGCCCCTTATCATGGACAATCAAAATTTTGTTACCCGTTCCACCAAGTAATTATATCTCTGGATAAGCTACAATCGGGTATTATACACTCATGTGAGTCAATATACTATTCATAGCTTTGTAGTTTGGCATTGAGCATTCCTATGCTTCATCATTGGTCTGATGTTCTCGTACTTGGTATCCTTTAACGTGAAGCAGAAGCCCGAGTTGCTTATGATATGATATTATATGCTATAGACAATTGTATCCAATCATTAAACTGGTCCAAAAATAAAAAATATCCTTTTACTTCCACAAACAGGTTTCTAAATTATATTTTAATATTTTGAAAGAATCAATTGATATACTAGGTATGAATAGTTGATGAATCAAGTGAATTTTATTTTTTATTCTTAAATTCAAAAATTTATAACACGTAATTTACTTTTATTTATTTATTCACTTTATATCTTTGTAATTTAAGTTTCACCGGATTCGCTACTTTTATTAAAATCACAATCTCTTCAATAGGTTTTTCTTTAACATCATCTCCACAAACTCCAACTATACGATCTCCGTAGGCCAATTTGCCGGATTCTAATGCAATTCCACCGGCGAGCTACCAAATTAAAACAAAATTTATTTAAAATACTCTGAAGAGTCTTTGTTAGATAAATACATGACTTTAAAATCCAAATTTCTACTAAACATAATTTATATAACATATTTGTGTAGTTTATCTTACCAATTCGGATATGTAAGCTCCTTTTCCGTCTTTATAGCCTTTAAGATATAAACCTAATGGTTTTCCAGCTTTTTTCTGCAATTCAACTTCAAATTCTTCAATGTATTTTTCGTCGCGATATATAACCATTTTTACCTAAATAATTTTATCATGTTTTAAAATAATCACTTGTAGTTTTTTATTTATAAATATTCTATTGTATAAAAATAATTACAGTTCCAGTAGAGCCTATAATTATTAATGTTGCTTTATGATTATCAACATTATTGAATTTATCAGCCCCAACTTCAAGAATTTGATCGCCTTTTTGCAAGAAAGTATCTTCTGTGCCGATTGGAGTATCTGAATTGACATCCAAAACAAATATAGCACCCTGAAACAATAAAAAATTTTCATTTGAAATAAATTTATTTTTTCTATTAGTCTCCACAAACTCGATAAAAACACTTACGATTGGAGTATCATTTCCACCAACAATTGTAAATCCAAGAGGTTTATCATTTGATTTTGAAAATTCTATATTCATTTGTTTTTTAACAGGCTTCGGTGGTTCTACCGGTTTCGGTTTTTCTCCTTCAGGAGCTAAAAAATCATTACACGAATTAATAGATTATATAGAGTAATATATTACGCTTATCAATCATACTAACCAGCAGCTCCAGCAGGTTTATCGCCTCCTTGAGTTTCCTGTGCGACACTTTGTGGAGGTTCTTTACCTTTGGGACTACATACTATTAATGTTACCAACCCTTCACATTGTTTAAGAATATTTGTAGCCTGCAATTCATATATTTTTATCAGTATCATAAAATATATCAAAGACTGGGTTCAATTATTATGTATTTTTTTTTTTATTACTTCATCCTGTTTGGTTTCCAACAAAGTATCAGAATTAACTCCTAATAGTAAATCACCAACTTGTAGACCAGCCTGTAAAAATAATATGTTAAGTAAGACGAGAGTAATTTCAATTTTTCATTAATAATTAGTTACAGCAATAATTTATTAAATTAAAATTCGGAATTCAAAAAATTATTAGTTTAAAAATTTTATATTTACCACTTCTGCTGTACTTCCTTCTTGAATATCAGATACAAATATACCTTGTCCTAATTCAGGATGTTTACCGTGAATTATCATAATTCCCATTCCGTATGTACCCTTTATAAATAATAATGATATTGTTTATAAGATGATGCTTTTTAATTTAGTTAATAACATAATGAGCCGTACCTTTTTTACGGTTACTGTATGGACATTTTCATATTGACTGTATAAATCCTAAAAGAAAAATTTTTTTTTAAGAAACTTCGCTACTGTGTAATTAATTTTTTTATCTAAAATATTAATTACTGATTTTTATTATACACTATCCAGTTAAAGTATGAAAATAAAACAATAAAAAATCAAATTTTTTAAAATTATATATAACTTACACTCTCTTCTAGTGTAGGAGGAAACTGATGAACTTCATCTATTGCTACATAATCATTTTGTTTAGGTGACCTGAATTATTACAGTTATAAATTATAATTAATCAATCATGTTATAAAATTGTATAAGTGCCTTATCTATTGATTTATATTAAATTGATAGGGTGATTTGTCACTTACCGATATAAAACCATGGTCAGTGTGGTGTCGAGTAGTTTTCTAATTACAACTACAGAATTTAAATGACATCGTCCTTTTAGAACTTGGCCATTTACCTCTATAATTTCATCCCCTACTTTAAATAGTCCAGTTTTATATGCTGCACCTTTTGGATTCAAACCACAAATAAAAGTACTCATTTTCTTTCTATCTGTGTGACCAGCAAGAGCTATTCCATAATCTCGGCCTTCTTTCTCTAATCTTACCAATAAGACATTACTTCCTAAATTTTTGTACTTTTTATTTATTTTCACTGTAAAAAATGAAAATATCATTAATAAATCTAGGTATCTAAATTGTTAATTATATAGTTTTATGTTGAAAAAGAAAAAAAAACAGTACTTACTCATCGTATATCCATAATCGTCTTCTTCTTCTTGATCCGTTTCAGTTTTTTTGAGATAAGCAGCACTTTTCCTAGATATCTAATGATATATATGCTCATAAATATTTATTTTAGAGACCTAAGCTTGTAAAAATAAGAATAAAAGTATAAAAAAGATGACTAACTTCTTTTCCAGCTTCTGTAATGACATTTCCTTCCAATTGCCGTTCATCTTCTTCACTTTCAGAATCGCTTCCGGAGCTATACTTTTTTTTCTCTCTCTGACCTTCCTCAACATGATTGCTTGTGGCTTCCGTGGGACCTTCGATGCTTTGTGATTTCGTAACAGATTTAGATTTATCTAAAATTTTTATCGATCTAAAAATTAAACAAATTTATTTTGTGATCTATTTTTTATCGATTAATAATTTTTATATACCTTTTTACCGTTGAACGACGAGGTACAGGTGGATTTTTATTTACATTATTATTGTCCTATTTAAAATTCAATATTATTTATGAGAGTATAGGTATACTTTTTATTTCAATAAAATATTTATACATACCGATGATATGAAAGATTGTACTACCAATCTCAGCGTATCACCGGAATTTTTAATTGCATTAACAGCAAATTCATACGGCACAATTCTTAAATCTTCATCATTAGCTTCTAATATTCTGTCTCCAATCTGAAATTATTTTTTAAAACCTTCGCTATATTTTAATAATTCGGTTTTTATCAGTTTATATTAAAATGGGATTTATTCATTATTATTGCATAGGATTATATTAAATTACCGATAATTGTTTACTTTCTCCTGCTGGACTATTGGGCTCAACACTTTTGATGAATATACCACAGATTTGTTCTGGAGGGCTTGCATTTTCACTACTTATTTCTATCTGTAACAAATTAAAATTTATTATGAAATAAAGAATTTAATGTTTAAACTACATATCATTTTATACACGGAAAAAAATAGTTGAATTTTGATCATTTATAGAGAAAATTTTTAGTAAAATGGCTTTGAATAGTATTTTTATAAAGTACAATTCTAAGTATTGATTTTTAGTTTTAAAATGTACTTCTTAAAAAGTTTGTGAAAATTATAATTAGAAAGTGATACTGAAATTAGCAGACATTTGACGCTTTCTTTTATATTTTTTTTCTGGGAAGAAAAAAAAATTCTAAAGAAGTGCAATCGCACCTGTGCTTAGAACCAGTGCATTGTAATAACGGTTATACATAAATTACTTAGACTTACATATTAATAATACAGTGCGTCGTAAATTAACGTTATCAAAAACAAAATTATAAACTTAACTTATCCTTAATTATATATTATAATTATAATTATTAGTTCTTATCCTATTAATGCACGTCTTTTTAACAGCTTCTTACAACACATTAAAGTTTTCATATTTTAATAGTCGTATTTTTTAGTAATAATTTAGTTATTATAAAAATAAAAAAAAATTTAAAGATGTCTGTTAATTTCAGTATCATATTTTGAAATTATTAAAATATACACTATTAACTATAATTATTGACATTAAAGCTAGCAGTCGCTTGATCATTTTTTAATTTTTTTTTAATAAATAAATTTGCTTCGAAAAATTATTTCTAAAAAATTGCATTTTTTATTTTTTTAATTTTCTAGATGTCAATTTTTTTCTCACTTTCTTTGACATAATTTATTTGTTGTAAAAAAATTCTTAAAATTATAAAATATCTGCTAAATTAATTTTCATCTATAATTATTCAACTTTTTTTTTTTTCGTGTATATCTGTAAACTTTTTTGCAGAAATTTTAAAAGTTCACACACATATAAATACTTGAATTACATAATTTACTACAAATCTTGCCAACTATAAATTTTAAACTTAAAATAACTTATGATTTCTAAATTTAAAAAATAATTGAAGTATAAAACATAAAAAATGGTCACTTAAGATTAATATTTAACTTGACATAACAATGTCCTTAATAATACCTTTCCACTAATAATACTGAACCCCAAACTTCCTCCATATGATTTGTGTAACACGACACTTCGTTCAGGTCCCCAATGATTTGTAAAAAGAGGACTCCCGCCTTTCGTTTCTTGATGAGAGATAGTCATTGCACTGATTTTAACTCAAATATTTATTGAGTCTCACAATAAATTTTATCAATTTCTCTTAAAGTAACTATTTTTTTATATTGATATCGAGTTTTGAAAATTTATGTATCATAATTCGATTTTCTTCCACAAAGATTTATTATCTAGAGTTTAAAATTCTTCAATTATACTTATAAAATTTCACCTTGGTGTTATTTTAAATAATTACTGAGTACATTCCGAGTTAGTGAACTAAACTACATTTATTAACCCTTTTTTTTTTTAAAGAAAACACATAAATTGCGCGTAGAAAATAGTAAAAATACATGTGACAGTTTTGTACAACTTAAGTAATTCAATAGGTATGGTCACACATTCTATTCAACAAATTGGTTTAGCCTGATCTAATAAACTAGTCTTCGAGTATGAAGCCTTTTAAGTACACCGAGAATCTCAATTTTACCTATATAAAAAAATTTTTGTTAGAAAAAAATATTTTATTGCTGCTGATCCAACGGATAATAAATTTTTAGATTTAATTCCTGCAGAAAGTTGTATATTGTAATTATATCTCAATAATAACTAAAATTGAAACGAATTGATTATAACTATAGTAATTTTTAATTGACATTAAGTTTTCATGTTAAAAAATAAATAACACCTTAAAAAAATTAATGAAATTATTGAAATAATAGTTTAACTACCTGGAATATACTATTTTTATTACTGATGTAATTGTCAAATTAAAAATCATAACACTTTAAACTAAAATTAGACTTTATAATTATTTAATTATTATTATTAAATATATTTTAAACCAGTATAAGGTTGTGAATTATAAATAAATAGATTTTATGATTTATAAAATTAATTTAATTATGCAATTATGTAAGTAAGTAGAAATTAAACTTATCAAAAATGAATTTAATATTGTTAAATTTACTCGTAACATTGAAAACAAAATGAATATTATTCTATTTAAAAAGCTTGAGAATTAACTTTCGTTATTCTAGTTTATATTGACTGAGCTTTACGAATCAAGTAATAATTACATTAATTTCGTAAATAGCAATATTAATTTTTGTGACCTGCTATGCAATAAAACTAAAAAGGTCAAAAGGTACATTTTATGTTTATTTAATCAAAAATTTATGTAATTTTTATATATTACGTATGTACATGTAATAACTGGCAATTGATCTGAATAATGAAATTAACTATCGATAGAATAAATTTTATCGTAAAAAATGAATCCTACAATTGATTAAATAATTTTGCATGTATTTTCAATTATTTTTTTCTTCAATATATAATTTTATTGTAAAAATACAAAATTTTTCAATTGAGTTCTTTCATTAAAACTATATAAACGAACTTACTTACAATGTTGACAAAGTATCAGAAAAAAATACAGATAACTGATTGAGCTAGTAAAAATTACAGAAATATTTAAGCATAGCAATTCGTTTCATTACAATTTTTTCTTAATAAATTTATATTAAATTTTTTGAAAACTATATAAATATTAATACCTAGAAGATTATACATATTAATTAAATAAAAAAATAGTTATGAAAATTGATTACATCCAATATGTGTAGTGAACTCCATTTGAACAAATCAAAATTCATATATATTATTAAAACAATAAAATTATTAAGCATTGCGTAACTGAAAAAGAAAAAAATTTCTTCTTTTATCACCATGAATTCAGGAGCGTTTGCTTAAACGTTTGCCATCATATAAACTGCTTTTACTGGAGTGAGATTTACTGAGTGAATTTTAACACATTTGTTTTAACATCTCCAAAAGATATTTGTCAGCAGCTTCTAGACTATACTCGAATTCAAGTTTTTTTTCTTTTTAATTTCATAACATTGACATTCACTTTTTTATAATAAAAAATAATATAAAACCTATTAAGTACTACAAAAATATTCTCAGATCAATTAAATTTAAAGTTGTTTTTATTCGTATATATTGTGGAGTGTTTGTAAATAATCATTTTCGAATGGTCCCAATATATTTTGTAACGCAACTCGTGCATTTATTTGAAAAAATTAAATATTGTAATCAATTTTACCTGGAAATTTTGTAATTATAAATAAAAATAACTACAATACTTACAAGGTATTTGAAAATTGTACCAATAATACGAAATTAATTTTTATTCATTGGAAATGAATGCTTTTTTAATAATTGCCAACTTCAGTGTCATAATTTTTTTTTAATTGCTTAAAAAAATAGAACATCAGTCGACCTGACCCGAAAATGGAAAAAGAATTTTTTTTTTCTAATTGTTACAAGTCAATGACTATATACTAATTAAGTAATTATAATGAAATTTATTAATTGCGAATAAAAAGACGGTAAAAGATCGAGAGTCAGAGTGAGTGAAGTCAATTCAACTTTTAACAGTCCTGTAGCGTGACGTCCGGATGACAATAAAGTTAGCCGTCATTTTTGATTTTTTAATTTTGCCTATTTATTAAATTAGAACTAAAAAAAATTTTTTTTTTCAATTGCACTCATAGTTTTTCAAATTTGCTACATGTCAATTTTTTTTTTAATTTCTTCTAATAATTTTCTTCAATAAAAAAAATTCAATCAAAATTTTTAAATGTCGGGTAACTTAATTTTCATGACGTCCGGTTCAAAACCATGTCCCTTCTGTTATGTATTATGAATGACAATAGAGATGGCGCGTCAGTGTCTGCAGTTGAGAATACGTTATGGACTGGATATGTGTATATATAGTCTCCATAATATACGTGTGTATACATTGCCTGTTACAACATAAGTACTTACGTGATATACAAAACAAGTTTATTTAAAGAGAACGAACTTGTATACGGAAATTACTGAATTGTAAATATTACATGTTTTTATAGAAATTTATTCTATTTTAAAAGTGTAAAATTTTATTTTAAGTAAGCAATCGATATCGGAGTTGTGTTAAGTTTGGTTAGTGTGCAGTTTATTATTTTTTTTTTGATACTTAATAAATAAAGAGACTTAAAAAAATGGGAGGTGGAGATCTTAATTTAAAAAAATCATGGCATCCTTCAACGATGAAAAATATGGAAAAAGTCTGGAAGGCCCAACAACAAGACAATCAGGAGAAAAAGAAAATTGCGGAATTAAAAAGAGACATAGAATTAGAACGTGAAAGAGAGGATTTAAAAAAGTATGCTATGGAACAAGGAACTATTGAGAAAAAGGACAATAAGAAACTTGATTGGATGTATACGAAGCCACAAAATTCTATCAATCGCGAAGAATATTTATTAGGAAAAAAGATTGATAAAAATTTTGAAAAAATTGCTTCTGCGGAAAAAAATTCGGAACGTAATGAATTACCTGGTAACCATGTAGACTATGAGTGTGTACCACCATCAATAAGATCTTTTTCGGGGAACGAACAAGTGGATTTGGCAAGAAAGTTACAAGAAGATCCAATGTTTGCTATTAAGAAAAAAGAAATGGAATCAAGAAGTAAACTTTTGCAAAATCCAGTAAAGTTGAAAAAATTACAAGAACTTGTCAAGAATAAATCAAGTTCATCGTCTTCGCATAGTAGGTCATCAAAAAGTGATAGAGATTCGGATAGATCAACCAAAGATAAGGACCACCGTAAATCTCACAAAAAAACAAAGCTTTCGGAGAAAGAAAAATTAAAACGTTTAAAAGCAATGATGTCTAATGGATCTTGGCGTGAGGAAGAACGTAAAAAGAATGTCAAACGTTACAGAGAACAAGATAAATTAGAAACTTCTGAAAAAGAATATAATCCTGATTTTATTAGAAAACAACTCGCTAAAGCAACAGAAGAAGCAACAGTCGCTTCGAGAATCAAGTCAAATGTAAATAATATTCAAAGGTCTAACCGAAATATGGATAGGAACTTCGCCAGACGATAATATGGACACAATTACAAAAAGAATTTTTAACACTAATTATAAAATTATCAATATTTGTATTCAATTTTTATTTTAATTGTCAGTATATACTGATCTATGTATAGATCAATTTTTACAATAAACTGTTTCATTATTCTTTATGTCATATATTATGTAATTATATTTACATGAAATAACAATTGAATATATTGTCTATTTTGATAAATGTATTTATGATTTTTAATAAACCGATTATTAATAGATATTTGTTTTTTTTTCTTTTTTATTTATATTCAAATAATCCAAATAAGTATAAGGATTTATAAAAAATTACTTTAAAATGTAACTTGAATCTATTAGAATTAGATTAAGTATTCAATTACAAAGTTTCGAAAATAATAAAATGAATCGAACAAAAAATTATTACAAAGACATTATTTCTAGTCATCAAATATAAAATTAATCAATATATTTTAGTGAGCCAATAGCAAACGTATTAATCTTTAATTATTTTTTAAATTCCTACAAAAAAAAACACAATTTCCCTAAAAAAATTTTATAATTAATATCAACACCTTTGGCGATAATCATTTTAACAATTTCGATGTCTTCATTTAAAACTGCTCAGTAAAAAGATAAATTGTGTGTTCGCTTACTAATATATTAATTCTACTTGTGTAAACGCCATGATTTAAAAGCAATTTTGCAAAGTTTCGTCGCTTTTCTTTCATTAATACACGAAGTAAATTATAGCCGTCATCTCAAGAAAGTAGAGCTGAAAGTATTACACAGTTATGTGTATTATAAACATTAAATTTAGATTTTTTTTCTAATAAAAAAAAAAAGTTTTAAGAAGAATAAAACTTATTTTATTTTCAATAAATAACGTGAAAAAAATAAGTTAAGTAACTATGACGAATTATTTAAATCATAAGCATTCTCATACTTCAAAAAATGCATCTGAGATCACTTTTGTGATTTGCTCAATAGCGGAGTCAGGTAATCCAGCTTCTGCAAGCAAATAATCAATTTTATCTAGTAACTCTTTTCTGACTAATTCTTTTCAAAAGTAATTAACGATAACATATAACGAAATATATCTCCATAGATTGGAAAATCAGTTTCTAATTGATCAAATAATATAGTGTCATATATATTAGTATCTTTTTTTCAGACTTGGCTAGTAATTCTACATTTTGATTTAACAATTTAAGGTAAGTAAGTTTATTTGTGCCAATTTTTTTCAATTTTCATCTTCTCTATTTTTTTTTATGATACTGAAATCAGCAGACGTTTAAAATTTTTTTGATTTTTTTTTATTAGTTAAATTAGAACTGAAAAAATATTTTTAAAAAATTGCACTTATAGCTTTTCAAATCTTTTACATGTGGAATTCGTCTTTTTATTTTCTCGTAATAATTATTTTAATAAGAAGAATCCTAAAAATTGTCAAATGTTTGCTAATTTCAGTGTCATTTTTTTATAATACTAAAGTTAGCTGACGTTTTTAAATTTTTTTTTATTTATTAAATTGGATAAAAAAAATTATGAAAATTTTTAGATGTCGGTTAACTTAATTTTTATCATTTTTTTACATTTTTTTCGGTATGGTGCATCAATCAATTTTCCTTTTTTTAGCGAATGGTCTTTGAATGAAAATTAATTTAGCACGTATTTAATCATTTTAAAAATTTTTGTAACAAACAAATTATAACAAGAAAAAAATTATTAAAAAAAATTGACATGTAGAAATATGAAAAACTAAAAAATGCAATTTTTTAAAAATAATTTTGTTAAATAAAATTAAAAAATTTTCAAGTGACGGCTAACTTTGATGTCATAATAATCTGTACACTTTTTTATGCTCTAGTATCGATGATAAAGCGTCCATCAAATTTCATTCATTTCATCAAGAGATAGTGAGTTGAATTTAAACCTTTCAAATGTTTAAGACGCTAGGTGGCGTCAAAAGTTAGTTCTTGTCCTATTTAAAATAATGATATTTTCAATTTCCCATGTTGTATCTTTCTGAAATGTTTTTTAATATTATTAATTAATTCTAGCTATTGAAGATAAATATAAATGTTAGATAGATAGTCATATTTAATTATATTAAAATTATAAAATAATTATTTTTCCCTAATGAAACAGATAAAAATGGTAGACTGGTTGCTACGGCACTTAATATCAAAACAAACGTCCAGTCCGTTGCTAGGGATATCCATGTGTAATTGTTAGTTCGATATAAATTGACATTGTAATTAAAAAAACAATATTTCTCTGTGAATGGACCACAAAAAACATTCACAGAAGCGATCACGCTTAAATAAAACTTTTGAAATAATAGATTCATCGAGTTTGGATAACTATTTTTCAGAAAATAACAATTCAAAATCTTCAAAAAGTGCAAGTGATATATCTAAACTGAGATATTTTAATTCCAGCAATCAAAGTGTAAGTAGGAATCATCAGACTGTGAATGATGACTCTGACAATGAGGAAAATTTTAACAAGATTCCGAACAACGAACAGTATAACAGAAGAGACTCATCTAGTTCAGAAGAAACCGACGAGAATAATTCCGATAATGATGTTCACAAAAGGAAAATCAAACAAAGTAGTAAGGTGCTATCTAAACAAGAAAAAAGACGTAAAAAAACATCACAGAGGCGGTTGTATAATCAACGAGAAGAAAAACGTATTTCGTCGTCTAGGAATGACAATGAAGAGGACATTGACGAGGATCGGGCTTCTTTAAAACGACATCGTACTGTACAGACGGCAAGAAAAAATTCCAAGCGTTTGAGAACAACAAAATCGCGTAATGGCAAAGGTATTAATTATTTTATTATTTTATAAACTTTCTGAATGTTGAGTAATAAAATGACATTAAAGTATGAAAATAAATTTAGCAGATATTTAATAATTTTCAGAATTTTTTTATTTAAATAAACTATAACAAAAAAAAAAAATGAGAAAAAAAATTGACCTACAGCAAGTTTAAAAAATAAAAAATGCAATTTTTTGAAAGTAATTTTTTTGAACAAATTTATTTGTTAAAAAAAAATTAAAAAATTCTCTAATGACCGCTAACTTTAATGTCATCATTAAAGTTAGCGGTCACTTGATTATTTTTTTTTTTTTTTAACAAATAAATTTGTACAGAAATATTATTTAAAAAGAAATGCATTTTTAAATTTTTACATGTCATTTTTTTCTATTTTTTTTGCCATAATTTATTTGTTACAAAATTTCTTAAAATTATCAATACAAATATCTGCTAAATTAATTTTGATGTAATAAATTAAAAGCACTATTATACATAAAATAAAAAAATTTTATATCTTTGTAATTGCTCTGACAGAAAGTGGGAAAAAAGAAGGACGAGGTGGTACAAAAGATAATGAAGTACCAATAACAGAAATTTTACGGCAAGCTGAAGAAAATCCGCGAAGACAGTATGAAGAGCCGAAGCCTTTAACCCAGTTGAGCACAGATACAATTTATGTGCAAGGTGTAAATCGTTTTAGTGCCGTTAAGATTCCTGCAGAACGTATTACTCGAGGTCGCCGAGGTCCTGATACAGGTGAAACTGCCATGTATCCAATAAAAATTGCAATATTGGCGCAAAAGGCTTGGAAGAATGCTGGATTTATTTATCAAGGTCTCCTTGCTGGAATGGCATTTATTCATTTTATTTTAGTATGTAAAAACTTATATAAAACTATTTTTACTGCAATATTGAATTCTTGAAATCAATAATAATTAATTATTATTATTATTATTATATTTTTTTTCGCCTGTATATTATAGATTCAAATATATTTTAAACCGCTGAAGAAACCCATTGAAGATTATTCAATTATTGCTGAAATATACACTAATTTATTTTCTTTTTTCATTGTAATGTGCATTATTTCTGCTTTTGATAGGTAAGCTAATTTTTTATTGATATATTATTAAAACTTCTCAGTTACTCTCAAAAAATAATGAAAAAATTTTTTTTACAGGTTTGACTTGGCTCATTTTGATATAGAACATTTTAGAGGATTATACAACAATTATGCTAAAGCTATGACAGTAATACCACTATATATTGCAGTATTTTGCTTGCATCAAGCCACTTTGTCAGTTAATGATAAATTAGTTTTACTAAATTACACTAAAAATACGACTAGTTATATGAGTGTAAGTTCATATTTTTAACCCGTAGTGGTCGTTAGGGGTCTAGATGACCCCAGGCAATTTTATAGTTGCTCTTGCTTCGAAGATATCATTCAAAATGGTATCTGTGGTACCATCTATTATTGTTTGAAGATTTTTTGAGATTCATGGAAATTTACGATTTCAATTGCACAAATCAATATACTTTCTGAAAAAATCGACATGATACCACTTTTTTTCAAAGTATTCGATATCCGGAGTAGAACCCCGGAAGTCATTTTCATTTATCTTAAAAAATGAAGTTTTTAGTAAAAAAGTCAAATTTTTCAAAATTTGACTCTCGCATTTTTTTTTATAATTAAACAATTAAAAAATGATTGAGTTATTCAACGGAAGTGTTAAGAATTACTCTCATGTACGGCTCGAGTGAAAATATTGAAAAGGACGCAAGTAGCAACAATTTTTTCCGTGCATGGGGTCAACTAGACCCACTATGACCACTACGTTATTTTTAAAAAGTGTGACCACTACGGGTAAATTTAAATATACCAAGTAATTCTTAACTTGAAAATCAATATCTAATGAATATTATGAAAGTTGCACTGAATTTATTGATTTTTATTTTATGATTTTAATAGGAAAATATAACAACAACAACTATCAGTGATGAAGAACTTGAAAATTGGAAAGCAATAACATTAACGAAAGATGGAATAGTCGTAGTAGCCTGGCTTTTAGTTTCATTTGGTCCACCAAATGATATGCTTTTAACTCACCTTAAGTCACTGGAAAAATATCACAATAGCGAATATTATTAGAATAAATATATATATATGTATATTTTTATTAAAAAAGGATAGCAGCAATTGATTAAATAAATAACTCGAGTGAACATGTACGATTATTATTTGATCGTCGGAAAAATGTATGTACTTTGTAATTCGCAGTACAGTAACTTGATACTTTTGTGATACAAAAGATACTAACATTAAATGGATATTTAATGACAATTGTATAATTATTAACTACCGATGAATTACAATTTTTTGTGTGAGATAAAAGTAAAAGACTGTAAAAAATAATAATTATCAACAATAGGACGTAGTGATAGTATAAAACAAGAGAAGGAAAATAAAATAATATTTAACAAAATAATTAGCATTTTTGTTATAGTTTTTGTTTAAAGATTCAGTCGATTCGCAATACAATTAGGTCACGCTCATCGGTTATTTACACCGATAACTTTTACACTTTCGCACCATACTAATATATATTTATATATAGAATAACTTCAGGTATATACTTTGTTATTACATATAATTAAATACTTTTATGGGTAGCGATGACGAACAAGAATTTGCCAATAATTCATCACCTCCAAATATCCCGTATCCACTGATCATATTTATTAAAATTATTTATTTATGTTAACAAATAATTAATTTATCTATTTAATTAAATAACAAATTTATTTCTTTTTTTCATTTAATTTAATGGACATTATTTGATTATCAATTGATATTTATTTCAATTGTTCAATCATTTTATATTTGTTAAACATTTTATAATATATATTAAATTTTATCAAATAATAAAAGCAGTACTTATAAATTGTGTTTTTTATCAGCCAATTAATATATTTAGAATTATATGTAATTATTTAAAATATGTATTTTGAATATATAAGTTACAATGTAATTTAAATAATATAAAATGTCAGCTTCAACGGGGTTTTTTTTTTATTATTTATTTTTTCACACGGTCATACGCGATGTTTAAATATCAACTTTTTAATAAATTTTATTATATATTACTTTTGGCAGGAATGTTATTATATTTTTTGCAGTTGCATAATTATTAAAATAATTAGAATAATAATAATAATAATAGTAACATATGAATATTTGAATGAGCAAAAATAACTTCAATCACATCATACATTATAATTGCGTTTTAATTTTGGTGATGTATGAGACTAAATGTTTTGGTCCAAGCGTAAAAAAACAAAGTTATTTTTTATTTGTGTTGAATGTTTTTTTTTTTTTTTGATTTTTATTCAAATTTGAGTGAATTTATTTGTCTTATAAACGAATTTTTTAATCTTTTGTCGCAAAGGCAATATATAAAGGATTATTAATAAGGACGAATCAGCTTATTACTAGTGGATTAAATGATAGTTAATAATAATTATAATATTAATAATTAATAAAACCTAATTATAATAATGCTTACTTGATATATACAATATTTATTACTGAGTAGCCGAGAGGTTTCAGTTAGTTCCGATCGTAATAATTTTATATATTTATTACATCGGAATATCTTCGAAGACAATTACAAAAAACATTTTCTATATATACATTTAAAAAAATTGCACTTAAATTGTACGATAAAAAAAAGTTGCATGTTGATTTAAAAATACAAAATTACCAAAAAATTTTACATCATTCAGTTTCTTTTTCACCATATTTTATAGTAGATCAAAGAAGAAAAATTTCTAAAACCTCACGATTTCCCACAGATACTCTATTTGAATTAAAGAATTTAAGAGCATGTTCTATTTTACAAGCTGAATATGAGGAGTTTTTTTTTTTTGTATGAATGAATTACATTATATCAATTACATTTTTGTTTGTGTAGTTAATTTATCAGATGGTGATTTTTTTTGTTTTTCAACTTTTTTTACTCGTTTCATTATCGCACCACTAATCGTCGATAATACTCATAATAATTAGTGTTATTAAAAACTAGAGAAAACTTCTAATGACTGTGATTAATTTTTAATTTTTTCTGTTTTTATAATTAGGCTTTTGAGCAGTATCAATCATCGGTAATCAATCAATCTTTCTTGTAATCAGTACTTCACGTCAAGTATTTAATTATTTTATTATTGTTAATATATATGTATATATATATATATTTATGATTGATGATGACACATGTCGTTAAAGTTCGATGAAATAATTTCAATCTAACAATAAAATTTTCTATTACACTTAATAAACAGATTTTTAACTTATTAAAAATTTACATAAATTATAATAATGTGTTGACATATATGTATATATACATCAAAGCGAAATTTGGTGATTTATCTTATTAATTCGGAATCCAACTACTTGGGATAATAAATGATCTCTGTAAATCCTTAGCTCTAAGATAATTTTTTTTTTTATACCGAGCGCATAAGAATTTTTTCTATCGATGCTTGAAAAAGTATTAAACATACACTGTTAATCGAATAGAAATATTAATAACAAACTGCACATTAATAATCTAATTTACACATTAGACTCAATCACAATTTAAATAATTCAGTTACTTTATATTTTATATTACCAATTTTTCATTTATTATTATTTTCTGGTCATTTGTTTCGTTTTTCTTAGGCCAGAATGTAATCAATTTAAATTAAACAAGTGTTTCATTGATTAATTTATTTATATTTCTATCCGTAGGTTGGATATTGATTATTGCTACTTACTTATTAATTTTTCTTCAATAATTTATCTTCACTCATCAACTAGATATTTTTGCGTCATAATAAAACTCGATATTTCATTTCATCAGAGTGGTAATCAATAATCAATAATATAAATATAATATAGTATAATATAATTAAATAAATTTATTGACTATGTAAACGTCCAGAAGGTGGTTTAACTTGATTGTTCCCGACGACCTTAGGTATTGCTCCGATTATTTTTACACGATTTTGTGTTTGCTGCTGTCGATTATCGGAAAATTGTGGAGGTGGCGCAAAAACAAGTTCATTATTATCGGGTTGCCCAGCAGATGGACCGGCATTAAATTCTGGAGGTGGTGGTACAAATAAATCATTATTTTGTTCTTCAGCATCGGCCTCTATCGGCGGTGGTAATTGGGCAAGACTTACAGCGTGTCTTGTAAGCATACCACTGCTGTAATTCATTCTCTTATGATTATTTTCTTTCTCAGTATTAACAATAGATTGATTATTACTATCATTTCTTGTCGTATCATCAAATCCAGTGGGTGGTCCTACTGGAACATCTTGATCAGAACTAACACCACTTGAACTGTTATCACCATCTTCAACCAACTGTTGTGTTTGTTGGCTTAATAAAAATTCATTTGGATGACTTTTAGATGACTTTAATTGTGTTCTGACTTTTTGTATTTCCTCAACACTAAATGAGTGTGGCAATGAACTACTTCCAGATGAACTACTACCTGAAGCATTTGAATTACCGGAAGTTTCACGCGTCGATTCGAATTTTTCACGTGCCGCTGCCTTTTCAAGCTCTTTAGCTATTTCAGATTCACCAACTTCAAATTCTTCTTCCTCATCATCTTCATTTTCAGACTCTGACAAACTGTAGTCTGGTTCAGGAATTGGAGGACCAGACACAACACCCGACAAATTAGATGCCGACGCGCTGGTACTAATTGTTTTTTTCTTAGCCTCACGTGTACTAGCTATACTATGACTGCGATTTGTTTTTAGCGGCTGAGCGTACTGATTACAACCATTGGCATTCAACGTGCCATTATTATTTGAATTAATTACACCGTTTGCAATCTGCTGTCCATTTTGAGAATTGAATCCTCCGTTATTTGACGTACGTAAACTATGTGACTTTCTTAAATGCGTTCTTGATGGATTCCCTGGTAAACTATGTGATCGATAACCAACAGTCTTGGTATCTTCTGGAGATGCATAAAGTTTTGCATTGTTTGCCGGTCGGAAGCTTGACATTATTCCATAATTACTCTCAGAAGCTGCTGCCAACTCTGTAATATTAATTGTATAAATATTTGTTTAATTTTATATTAATTTATATTATTAAGAGAATAAAAAAAAATTTTTGTCCAAAATAGTCATATGATAAAATCGGTTTTTTTTAGTGAAATTTAGTGTCATTACAAAGGTCTTGATTTGAATTTGTGCCTTATCAAGGTTTCATATCATTCTCACCGATAGTCAATTTATTATGATAAGTATTTAGACTGCATTCGAAAATTCTCTATCTTTAGATACATAATTCAGAAATGATCTTTTATCTTGTGAACTATTGACATTTTTAAGGATATAAGCTTACCCCGACATTACACTCATCGAGACCTTTCATTTGAGTACCCACATCAATTTTTCATAGATTTTATATATCTATTTATATATATGTATATATGAAAAATATATCAAAATCCATGTGGGTACTCAAATGAAAGCTCTTGATGAGTGTAACATCGGGATGAGCTTATATCTTTGAAAATGTCAATAGTTAAAAAAGTGCAGTGCAATTTAACAAAAATAATTAAAAAATGACCTTGTATCTTATAAACTATTGACATTTTTAAGGATATAAGCTCACCCCTACATAATACTCATCGAGATCTTTCATTTGAGTACCCACATGCATTTTGATATAAACATATATATAATATATATAAATATATGAAAAAATGATGTGGGTACT